AATCAAGAAATGCTCATACCCGTAGAGTGCCCCATGGATTAATATATGAATACCCAGGTAATTGAATATTTAAAAAAAAAAATATTAAAAAACCTTCCTTATTTTGTATCGTAACAATGTGAATTCAGCTTTTTCTTGATTGAAATTAATTTAATCAAATCACAGAATGGAAATTATGTTAATATTAAATGAAAGTAATTGAAAATTAACATTTTTCAACACAATTCCAAACATTTTTTCAATTGAAAATAACCGCTTGCTATTCTTGAAAATTCTCTCCGAGCCAACTAAGAAGGAAGCTCTCTTTTTTTCCCCCATTTGACTGGAGGGAGACAAAAGGAGTTGAAATCGTTTGCACGAGCAAAAAGAAAGCGCTCCGAGTGGCGTCTGGAAAATGCGTTTTCAGTTGGGCATCAGCATTATTGATTGCGAGATGATTGAGCTGTTCCATTCGCGGTGCTTTAAAAGCGGGCCCGGTTTTCCTTTCCATCGTAATTTATCATTGATCGAGCCGCTTGTAATGAGCAAACATTACGTACAGAGCCAATCTCGTTTTATTGTGGCCAAGGAAGGGGAGAAAGAATTCGTATCGGTCACAAAACAAATTTGGCAGTGTCTCGCGTGCGCCTCCGAAACACATCTTATCGCATGATTTATGAAGCCGAGCGCAGCAATTTCGTCCGCGGCCCACTCAATTTCTCGGCGATTGTCTTTTTTTCCCATCGACGCGCTCGATTTGCGCCGAAAGAAGAGCTTCCGTGTCTCTTCTTCAACTAGAGTAATTACTCAACGTAATGACCATAGCGAGAGCAAGCAAAAACTTTGAATTTATTTCGGTCGACCCACGTAAATTTCCTTTTAATGAAAAAAGCAAGCAATAAGGATGGAAATAAATTTGTCTGCTTGGACGATTTGGAGATATTTTTTTACCAGCTTAGATATTTAATTCTTGGATGTCAAAAGAACTTTCCAATTAAATGGAAAATTTTGTATAGACCTTAAAGTTTAAATATTTAATTTGTGGTTTTTCCCCCTGTGTGTGAGCAAAAAGCAAAATATTCAGCGATTATTGATTTTTTCCCTCTATAATCTTCAAAATCTTGAGTTTACTGGTGACTTCAACACTGACACTCTTTAAACAAAACGGAAATAATACAGTTAAAAGATTTAAAAATGAAATTAAAGAATTAAAAATATTAATATACTTAATCTTTAATTTTTTAAATTAGTTTGATTTTACGCCGTTCTTTTGGCTTAATGATTAATTTTAAGATTTAAAATAAATATTTTTTAATGATTTTAAATTATTAATAATCAAAAATTTTCATTGATTTACTGATGACATCTTTAAAAATTAATACTTAACTATCAAATCAAACATCACTGGAGACTTGAAAGTTTTTCAATTCAATATTTTAGTTTCAAATCAAATCATGTTTATTAATTTTTACTAAAATTTTACTTAAAATGTTCAAAAATAAAATAATATTTTATTTATTTTATAAAATATATAATAATTATTATTATTGTTGCAAGAAAACATTTTGAAACAATCTTGAGCATAGAGTACAGCATAAAAATGGATTTTTTTTAATAAAGATCATTCAAACTGATGAGTATTAAAAATTGTATTCACTTCGAAATTTTTTTCTCTTCCGAATCTAAATTTACTCTTATTTCAACCTGTTGACTTATTAAATCGATGCCTTGATCCGAATATAAAATGAATGTCTGCTAAACAAAATTCCTTCCTCTCGATAAACTCCTGTTTTTTACCTTTCAAATAAAGTTCGGAAAAATTTACACGAGTTTGAAATAAATTATCAGAATTTATGCCGCAGTTTTTCACGTCCAAGGCACGGAAAGCAAAGGTATGCAACCTGCTGCGCAGCCACGTCGCGCGGGCGAGACCACCATCCTGCTCTCGCGTGACAAGATTGTTTTCCGATTTGTTTTCTGCTTGTAAAGTCGCTCGGCTATTGTCGTCGCCAAGACTTTTATTTACGGCCTGTCCCGTATCTGCCGAGCACCGATTTTTCTTTTCCAATTTATTTCCCGAAACAATGGCTGGAGAGCAACATAATTCTTTTCCAAACTTTATACACAGGCGAGGGGGGAATTCTCGGTGGAAAATCGTAATTTGCAATGTACTCGAATATAGAAAAGACGACGGCAGTTAAAATGATATTTAGTTACTAGAGCTGTAGATTTGGAAAAAAATTAGTTATCTTTGTCTTAAAAACACTCCATTTATGCAATTTTAGACAAATAAATCTGTGTTTCTTCATTTCATGGTATTAACGCATGTTTTTTTTCGCAATTTAAATAAATTTTTTAACTAAAAGTTGAATTTTTCTAGTTTAGTTTTATTCGTACTACATTTTTAAAATAAAAATATTCAATTGTACCTTTGAGAATAAACATGTACAATTTTTGATTATCATTATTAACAATTTCAATTATGTTTCTCGAAATGAGCTAATTTTTAATTTGGTAATTAATTATTTTTACTACTTTATTGTTTCAATTACATAACATGACAATTTTCAATCGACCTGTTTGATGATGTTTTAGACAGAAAATACTTATAACAAAGATCAATTTTAAAAGATTAGTATTTCAACATTTTTCTTGTAGTATGATAAAAATTCGTGTTTAATCAAAATCCGCTGGGGGAAAACTTGTCTCCGCAATCGGACGGGACGGATCGTATTGACCACAGTAACTGTGCCGCGGCTTTATTATTTTTTTTAGCACTGGTAAGAGGAGGAGGCTGCTCGGCGTTGAATTACGTCGCGATAATAGGCTTTGCCCGCCAGAAACAACAAAGCCGAACGAGGCTGCGCTGCAGGCACTGCAGTGCACGACGCGCGCAGACATATCATAATATGCCGTTGGATTTATGCCAGCCGACGAAAGGAAAACGTCCGACTCGATAAAACAAACGCTGTCCAGTCGGCGGACGTTTTCAGAAACTTCTTTTTTTTCTTGTAAAGAAAAACTTTCAAGCAAATTCAAAATATTTTTGATAAAAAGAATCTTAATTTATAATAAAGAATAAATTTGAATTACCAAAATGTCCCTTTTGATCCCCAAAAATCTTGAAAACCTTCACCTTTATTCTATTTTAGAGCAAGGGAATCACATTTTGTCACTAAAAAGTTTTCATATCTCAACCAGGAAATTGTTGTGGAGGTTGAAAGCTCATTCTTTTACAATTTGAGCTCTAAAATAAAATTACAAAAAAAATTTTGAACATTAAAGTCTCAAACATAGTTCATATTTTCCTTAACAAGCTTCAGGAACTTTTGCTTTTATTACAATAAAAATTACTTAAAAATTACTCCCTCATTTGTGTGGAAAAAATGAGTATAAATTAAAGTAAGGAACTTATTATTCTTTGAATTAATAACCATCTTCTTTCCAAAAAATAGAGTGCAAAGAATTAGACCATCGGAAAATAAGAGTCAATTGGTCCGTCAGTAGGCTGAAAGCATGTCAATTTTTATACAAATCCCTCTTTCTTATTTGAAAAGACCAGTGAAGCATAAAATTTGGCGCGAATTAATCAATCCATTGGGAAATTAATATACGCTCGCCCGTCTCGGATGTACTTGTGGCGATAAAAACAAGCTAGACTAAAAAATGAGCCGTCTAATGGAGAAGCAATGATTTGAGAGCGCTGAAAGAACGGCCGCGCGCGATCAATATCGCATACATCACTCTCGCCCGTCGCCACCGCTGCGACTTTTCAACTCGCTTGTCGACAGACCCGCAAAACTTTCTTTTATTCTTTGCGGTTGGAACGATAATAATTTATGTTAACTTGCTCGGAGAACGCGCTCATGAAATTTACATCTGATCCCTAATCGGAATTTAATTCGGCCGAAAAGAAAAGGACAATTAATCATGAGGGACCGAAATGCAAATTATAGTTTATCTTTTCCTTGTAATTTGACACTAAAACAAAATAAAAGTTAGAATTAAAAAAACAGTAAAATTAGTTAATTATTACAAATTATCTTCTACATATTTATGTTGTTCCACTGTTATCTTTAAAATCTTGAGTTTACTGGTAAATTCAATACTGACAGACTCAAAAGTGATTTAAAAGATTTAAAAACGATATTAAACATTTGAAAATATTAATAAAACTTATCTTTAATTCATTAAAATTAATTCCATTTTTTGCCGTCCTGATGATAATAATTATTTTGAAATTATAAAATAAATAATTTTTTTAAGTGTTTTTAAATCATTAAGATTCGAATTATGGCTTTTAATTAATGAATTATTTTATTTTTTTAACAATATTCTTTTTCAAACCATAACTTTTATTTAAAATTAAAAGAATTTACTGGAATTAAATTTTAAATCATATTTTTGGAATGGAAAATTGTTCAAGAAATAAAATATTTCATTATATTTAAACCAAAATTTAGATATTAATGATTAAAAATAAACATTTATGTAATAATTTTAAATCAATTATTAATACTGAAACGGTGAAAAATGGAACTAATTTTTAATGAATTTAAAAATACATTTTGTGCTATATTTTACTATATTTTTAAAAGAAATTATTATTCATTAATTTATTTGTTTTATTTTAAACTGCGGGAACAAGTTTTTTAATTTTTTACATTGACACAAGTTCTAATTATTAATTAAAAAGTGCAGCAATAATAAATCCTCATAAATCTTCTGCCTTATTTTTCAAAATAACTTCCAAATTCTTGTTTTATTTGGAAAAATTGTACATTGTAAAATCGTCTTAAAACAAAATAATTCTTCTGCCTCGAGCAAAGTTAGAAATTCCCAAGTTGATCCAAAATTTCGTTACTGGAGCGTCCGGCGAAAGAAAGTTAGGTGAGCGCAAACGGAAACTAACGCACTTTGACAAGGGCCGAGGTGTAAATTTCCGTCACGTGCGACGCAAAATTTTTATCTCGTTAGAGTTTGGTGCAAAAAATAAAAGTGTTGGCGTTTTTTGCTTGCAGCCGGGCCACAAAAGGCACAACGCGCGTCCCGGATGGGCCGCGTGGTCCGAGTGGAGCACTTGCTCGCGGACCTGCGACGGCGGCGCCTCCTACCAACTCCGCAGGTGCACCGCACCCCCGGGCTGCAGGGGTGAACCGGTCCGCTACAGGATTTGCAACATGCAGGTCAGTACAAATTTATTCATCAGTGAAAAAATAACAAATATTTTCAAAGAAACGGAAGGAGTTTTAAAATAAATTTCTAATAAGTTTTTATATTTTATTCAAACACTGCCATTTTCTAAAGAAAAGAAAATCTTTGTGGGAAATCACATTTATTGATTTACTATTTAGTTTATCGTGTTCTTTTTTTAATTACTTTAAATAATATAATTAATAAAAACTGTTTTTGACCAACAAAACTTCCTCAGATACTTTCTATGTTTGCTGTAAATATCGATCAATTTAAAAAAAAATTTATATCACAACTTTTGGTGCGCAATTTGAGTAAAGACAAACACTAATTTGTGTTTTGTGCGTGTTTGGGTCCGGCGGAGTGCAAAAGGGAAACGCTTGAGAGCAAAAATAGCTTTTTTTCCTCTCTCTCTGCAGCTTTTAATGCACGCCGCTGAAAAGCCCTTGTGTGGTATTTGAAGGAGTTTCTTTTTCATCCTCCCGCATTTGAATTTTTAATTCCGCCGCAGCCGTGCTCAGACAATGGCGACTTCAGAGAGCAACAATGCGCGGCTTACAACGACATCCCGTACGAGGGCCACCTTTACAAATGGAGCGCCAGCCACGACGAGTACGAGCCGTGCGCGCTCACCTGCAAGACCAGGAGCGCCGACGGCCGCAGCACCCTCGTCGTCCAACTCGCGCCCAAGGTGCAGGACGGCACCCGCTGCAGACATGGCAGCCTCGACATGTGCATCAGTGGCAAGTGCCAGGTACAAAAACTCATTCAACACACACATTTTTATTATTTTTTTCTTTTATTAAAATCTTTAAATTAAATTTATATTTAATTTCAAATAAATAAATTATTTTTAATATATTTTGAATAAATTATTTTTATTTATTTAAAAATAATTTTAAAATTGTCAAGTAAAAGGAGCCGAAAACTATTTCAGTCAATAATAATATTGAAAATAAAACTTCAATAATGCACAATAAATTATCTTTATAAAAAAATTTAAAAAGTCTAGTTTTGTAATATACAAATCGGTGTTTATTTTCTAAAAGTGAAATAAAGTGCAGCCCACTTTTTCTGTCCTGCAGATTGCCTCGTTTATCATCATAACCGCCGGTTTTTTTTCTATACAAGCAACAACCGTTGTTTTTCTTGCTCAAATGCAAACTAATGCCACGGTTTTGGATGTTTTTGTGCAAACTCTGCTCTTGCCTGAATGAAAAATTGAAGTGATTTCACGAATTTTGTTTTTTGCAGCGGGTCGGTTGCGACCTAAAAATTGGATCAACCCTGCACGTTGATGAATGCGGGGTGTGCGGCGGCAACGGAAGCTCCTGCGCCAAGCCCCTTTACAAATGGGAGGACGCCGGAACCACGGCCTGCTCGGCCACTTGCGGCGGAGGTAAAGTACTTTCCACGAGTGCAAAACTTGGCGAAAATTTACCCTTGCTCTTTTGAGTGGAATACGAGTGTGGTTTCAAGTTATCGTTAAATGCTCAGGGAATTTTTTAAGTCCCCTTGATTTAAATTTCTTATGCCAATTTAGACGAACACCAAAAATTTGCATTTAAGTCACATTTGTAATAATCAATTAATCTAAAATCCTTCTTTATTTAAAAAAAAAGCCCAGTTTATCTATTTTTAATGTCCTGAATATCCTAAATTAGAAGAAATGTTTATTTTTACTTATAAAATTGTCACAGTAGCTCAAAATTTATTAGGCTTCAAATGCGAGAAAAATCCGTTTTTTATTAATTTAATTAGTATTTTCAAATCCCCGTGGGATTTCAAGTACATTCAACAAGCTAAAAGAGTTAATTTAACGTTTAGACTAACTTTACAAACAATGGTCTATCTCAAATATTGCGCTCATTTTTCTTAAATCACGTAAAAAAAGTAAAGAAATTATATTTGTTATAATTTATCAGTTATTTTAGTCAATAATTGCAATAATTAATATTATACTTGAATAAACTGATTAATTAATAAAAATTGCAGGCGTCCGAATGACAAAGCCAGTTTGCAAAAACCGAATAAGCAAGGCAGAGGAGGAGGACGCGCTGTGCAACGCCAGTCAAAAGCCAGAACCGAGCCAGGTGGTTTGCAACCCGCGCAGGTGTCCGCCCAAGTACGTGGTGGGCGAGTGGGGGCCGTGCTCGGTGACCTGTGGCGGGGGCACGCGCTACCGGCCCATCTTCTGCGCCGAGGAGGGCAACGGGTCGCTCACGAAGGTGGCCGACCACTTTTGCCACGGCCACAAAACGCGCTACCAGGAGCAGTGCAACACCGCCGACTGTCCCGAGTGGGACTCTGGCGAGTGGTCGGGGGTGAGTTCGATCGGAAGCAAATTAATCAAAGTTGGAAAATTATTAACATGGGTTTTTGCAGTGCTCGGTGTCTTGCGGCGAGGGCATCCAGACCAGGAGGGTTCTCTGCAGGGACGCCAGGGGCGACGCGAGCGCCAAATGTGAGCCGGACAGGAAACCGCTCAACACCCAGCCCTGCAGAACCGGAATCGAGTGTCCCAAGGACAAGTCCGAGGCTGAGGAGGAATTGTCTGAAGGTGGGAATTCATTCATTATAATATTGCACTTTTTGTTTAAATATTAGTTGAAGTTGGTGTATTATAAGTGATAAAATAAAAGATTGTTAATTTTTTTTTAAAGGCTTTTTGTATTAAAAAAAGTAAAAAAAAAACATGGATAAAATATTGTTAAGAAATTAATTTTTTTGGAAAAATAAAATTAAAAGTTTGTTTCAAATTAAATGTTTATTAAATTCTGTATTAAAATAAACATGATTATTGTTAATTTAATTTCTAATTAAAACTTAAAAAAAGTTTTTAATTTTGAGGCTTGCAAATTTTAACTTTTTTTTAATGATTATTCTTTGAATTTTTCTCAGATCATTTCAAAATATTGACTTAAATTTACAGATGTTCACTACCTGAAGGAGCATTCGCAGCATTTAATTGAGCACCTGCCGCCCCTGCAGCCTCAAAGGTTGATCGGAGAACAAATCATTCCGTCACAGGCAACGTAAGAATAATTTTTATTCAATATATTTGACAGAATAAAAATAAAGCGATTGTGCTTTTCTTTCACATTCAGTCAATAGGACTGAATTATTTTCGTGTGTGACTTTGACTTTTCATTCTGTGCGTGTGATCTGAATTTGTGATTTTTTTTTCTACTGGCCCGCTCTGTTTCAATCTTTGCCTGTCTTGTGTGTCTCATGCGCAGCTTCATAACCGAAGACTGGGGGCCTTGCAATGTCTCGTGCGGCGACGGCTGGAGGCAGCGCGAGGTCAACTGCAAGATCTTCCTTGAGTTTTCTCGAACTATCGCAAAGCTGCCTGACTTCAAATGTCACGGCCCTAAACCATCCACTCTTGAGCGTTGCTATATGCCAAAGTGCATCAGTAGCTTTTCTAGGTGAGGTCCCAATCCGAAGCGTCCGAAAGTTTTCTCCTTTTCTTTTGCATTTTTGCTTTTCGCTTGGTTTTTGCATGATTTTTTTACACCGAAAATTGATTCTGCGTCAAATTTAATCTCAAAACATGAAAATCAGGAAGGAAGAGTTGAGCGTCAGCGACCCCACCATGATTGCGGTCAAAGAGCAACCGATGCCTGACGAGCAGTCCTGCATCGGTCCCTACTGCAATTTCTACCACGACGCGCAACCCCAGACTTCGTCTCGGGAGGGCAGCATCAGGGTCGCTCCGAGACCACCTGGCAAATCGGGCAAGGAAACTTACTCTTGGCAGGAACAGGGCTACACTTACTGCAGCGCTTCTTGTCTTGGAGGTAAAAAACAAAAATAATAAAATAATAATAATAATTGGAAAGTAAATTTTGACTTCAGAAAGTCCACTTTGTAAGCGTTTACAATTAAATGCAATTCTAAAATTGTAAATTAACCACTCCTTTTTTTTTATAAGTAAAAATTCAATTCACATTTTAGGAGTCCAAGAGCTGATTGTGAGTTGCGTGAGGGAGTCCGATGGCCAGTCTGTCAGTCCGTACCTGTGCCCGATTGAAACGCGGCCCGTCCTGCTGACCCGGACCTGCAACGACGTGCCCTGCCCCCCTCGGTGGAACTATTCCGACTTCCAGGAGTGCAGCAAACCCTGCGGAATTGGAATCCAGCTGCGTGACGTCACCTGCATCCACGAGGTGGCCAGGGGAGGTGGAAACACGGTTGTGGTGCCCAACTCCATGTGTCCGCAGCCACCGCCTCCGGACAGGCAGTACTGCAACGTCCTCGATTGTCCTGTCAAATGGCATTCTGGAGAGTGGTCAAAAGTAATACAAAATTTGTTTGGAAAATGAAATTAGTTTTTAAAAGAGACTGAAACAGAATTGAAATAATTTAAAATAAAGCTTCTTAATCATTTTTAACTTTTTAATATAAAATTAAATTCTCAATGAGAGTCAAATTTAATCACTTTTTAATCGATATTTTAATCAATTTGTAATTAGTGTTCAAGAGCGTGCAGTGGAGGAATGAAAACAAGGAAGGTGGAGTGCATGCAGATGATGGCGCAAGGACACATCCAGGGCCGGCCGCCGTCCATGTGTCCACCGAACAAGCCGGCCGAGAGCAAGGCGTGCAACGCAAAGCCCTGTGACCCAGGCGACTCGCCCACCATTGCCTCGACCAACCAGACCTACATTCAGCAGACGCCCAAGAAAAAAGTGACCCTGAAAATTGGTGGCCAGGCTGCCGTTTTCTGGGGCACACAGGTCAAAATCAAGTGTCCCGTCAAGAAGTACAACAGGTGAGGAGACATTAATTGAAAAGATGAGAAAATATATAGTAATTTTTCCATAATCACAGGACGAAGATTTTCTGGAAAAAGGACCAAAAGTCAATCAGGAACTCAAAAAAGTACTCCATTTCTAAAAAGGGCGCCCTCAGGGTTCAAGACGTGGTTTACAGCGACAGTGGAATTTACACTTGCATGGGTAGGACTTTTTTTCTTATTTGCTAGACAATTGTGAATTGTTTAAATTAATAATTCTTCAGCCGGAAGATCTTTTGCGGATATAACTTTGACGGTGAAGCCTCGTCCTGGACACTTTCCGACCTCCGAGGAGATTGACAAAATCGGTCCTCCTGGCTCACCTGTAGGTGGTTCCTCAAGACAAACCGCCAACAACTTGGATCCTTTTGGCTTTAGTACAGGCCATGATAGCAGCGCTGACGCCGGCTACGGTAAGCAGATTATTTTCATTTAAATTATTTAATGACATTTTTATTTAAAATCGATTTCATTTAAAGAAATAGAAATTTCTTGATGGGATTAATTTATTTTTGTGTTGAAAATAGCAGGAAATTGCTTGAGTTTTTCTATACAAAAAAATCGATTTGATTGAAAATTTTTGTGTATTTAATTTAATTTTAGGGTCAATGAACTTGGGAGAGGCGAGGGCGCCTCAGCCATTCAACAATCTTGAAGATCTCAGCCACGAGCTGGGAGGGCCACCCTTGCAGGCGAAAACCACAAAACCACCCTGGCAAAAGGGCAGGAAAAACAAGAACAAGGAGAACAACGAGGTGAGAGAAAAAGGAAAATTTTCAGGTGGCAGTATTTCTAATCGAAAGAAAGTATGTTTTGGTTGTTTCAATTTTCAAACAGCTTTCATCTCTGTTTTGATTGAGACGAGATTAACCGGAAAATAAATCGTGTGGCTTTTTCTGTCTGATTGAGCTTCTGCTGAGTGCGTGTGCTGATCTTTCTTTTTTCTCTCTGTCCACTCATGCTGTCAGGAAAACGACGGTTCGCGCTTTGCTAATAAACCGTCGACTCCTGAATCGAGGGACGTGGGGGTGCCGACGCCACCCCCGCCCCTCGAAGAACAACAACCCCCTTCGGCGGCGTCATCGTCCTCGCGCCCCATGCCCCACTTTCAGCAGCTTCTCGCTAACCTCCAGGTGAGCCTCACAAAGCTTCTCCACCTGCAGGCCTTGTTCGTTTTCATACAATTCAATAAAAACTGAAAAAATATTAATTTTGTCCACAACAGTTGCATGTTTCCTTCACTTTTCTCACTTTTCTCAAGTCTTATTTCGTTTGAATGCGTTTTGCCCGAAATTTTGCTTCTGTGTTGCAAAATATTGTTTCAAATTTTTAAGTTTAAAGATTGTTTTAATATCACCAATTTAAATTTTATTTTAACTGAGGCGCTGTAGCTTGTTGATTTATTTTTAATTTTGCACGCGCGCGCGCCTTGCCGACCCATCAAAATTCACTTTAACGCAAGGCACAGAACTTGTGGCCGTTTCAGCCCTTCAGCAACTCGCGCGGCCTCCGCATGGTAGACTCGCCCTTCGGAATGCTGCCCAAGGTCGACGACTCCAGCAGCAGTGAGGACGAAGCCACCCCTGGACCTGTGGTCATTTTGGGCAAAGGTACACAAACTGAACATATAGTAAAATCTCATAAATTTTTACAGTATACAGCTTTCTTTTTAAGTTGTTTTTTTTTCTTTTTTAAATTTTCACATCAGATAGTCTTTTATTAATCAAAACGTGACCATTTTGAACATTTTCTGGTCAAAAAAAGCGAGTCGCGCGAGTCATAGCCATGCCATCGCCATGCCATAGCTATAACAAAATTTTAATTAACAAAATTATTGTTCAAAAATATTATGAAAAAATATAATTTCATTATTATTTTAAAGAAGTTACTTTAAATTTCCTAAAAAAGAACATCATTTTACATAAAAAATGTATTTTATTTTGTCAAGATATTTGAAAAATAATCCAAATATAGCGCTTTAATTATATTTCTGTTTCTAGTATTGTCTAGAATATGGAAAATTGTGCTTTTTTTCATTATTAACTTTTAATTCTTTTAGTATTATAGAATTATAATTTATCTTAAAAATAAAAGCTGATTTAAACATTTTTTCTCTATGATCATCATTTTCTTACAATATTTATCAATGTTTTCAAATTTTTTGCATAAAACGTCAAGATTTTAATTGTATTCGTGTGAAAGGATCGAAGGAAAACCTGAAGTTTGAGTGGGTGACGCGTCAGTGGTCGGCGTGTTCGCAGCCGTGCGGCAGCGGCGGCATCCAGGCGCGCGAGGTGATTTGCATGGTGCGTCTGCAAAACAACACGCAGCCGGTCGAGGGCAACTTGTGCTTCGACGCGGGCTTGGAGTCGCCGGCCGCCATCCAGGACTGCGGCTCCACCGAGTGTCCCAAGTGGGCGGCTGGGCCGTGGACAGAGTGCGACCACTCGCGCTGCTTCACTTGGAACACAGGTAAAAATCACACCCGCAGTGATTATTTTTTTTACCTTGGAGAATGTCAAATGAAAAGAAAAGAATGTCACGGAAGTGTTTTCCTTTCTTGGATTAAAATGTCAAATGAGCCCAAAAAGCCCAAATCATACAATATTTGGTTGAAATTGACGATTATGATGCAAAATGTAAAATTTGATTTGTTGTCAGAGCTATTTTGCAAAAAAAAACACTGTTTTTGGAAACTGCAAAATCCCAGAAGGTTCATTCTGTTTTTTCATTTTTAATAGCCAATTTTGAATTAAGTTCATAGATTTTTCACCTTCACCCCTTGAAAAGCAATTTTTTACGTTTTTTACCGATTGATTTAGGCAACATCCAACTTTTAAAGCTCAAAATCTTCTGAAAAAATATCTCGATTTGCACAAGTTTTGTTTTTCAAACAAAAAAATTTGCAGCCATGCAGAGGCGCGAGGTGAATTGCCAGTTCCCGAACGGCACCATCACCGAAAGTCCGTTGTGCGACGAGAAGGACAAGCCGAGCGCCAGGCAAGAGTGTTACAACGTCAAGTGCAAGGGCACGTGGAAGGTCGGCGAGTGGTCTGACGTGAGTACAATTTTCCCTTTTTCACTCAGTTTTTTCTTAAATTTCACCCTCTCTGAATTGATTCTTCAGTAGTTGATTCGATTTCCGTGTAGACGAACGAAAACCCCTTTTGGAAGTTAAGGCGACTTTTTAGAATATATTGCACCTCTCGTTTATGAATCAAAATTGTTCTGCACTCTGATTGCCTGCATGTTGACACACACTTTTTATTTTCCACCTGCACCACACAGTGTACAGCAGCATGCGACACTCACGGCACCAAGTACCGAATCCTCCAGTGTGTTTGGTACGGAACCAAAAAACCGGCCGGCAATGCTTGCCGCGACCAGCCGAGGCCGTCCGTCATGAAAATGTGCAAAGGCCCTCCCTGCAGAACACGTAAGGCCTCGTCTTTTTAACCATTTCTATGCTTATATTAATTTCAAACTACGATGTATTTAAATTACAAATTTAATGTATTTTGCTTTATCTATAAAAAAACCAACAATATTACAGAACTACTTTATTTTACTTTTTATTAAAAGTTAGTATTATTTTTATTATTATTAATAATATTTTATAGATGAAAAATAAATTAAAAGTGAACGAAATTTATTATTTTTTATTTTTAAATTTATGCGATATTTATTTATGTAATTTTTGAACTTTCAGATAACAATTTTAATTCGTCTTCAAAAAAAAAAAAAAAAAAAGGTATCAACTGTTGAGTAGCTCTAGCTCATCTGCATAAATTTTAATGTTGTAAACTTTAATTCGTGTGTATTTAAAATTCCTATCAAATGAACGCTCAAAAGAAATTGATTTTAATTCCAAGTTTCGGTTGCAATTGTTGCAGTTGCTGACTGCAGGGATCAGATTACTCATTGTCGGAGGGTAAAGATGATGAACCTGTGCAGGGTGTACAGGTACCAGTATCAGTGTTGCCAAACGTGTCGCGGAGGAATGGGGTGAAATCGCGGACGGATCGCCCTTCGGAAGGGAGGCGAGAACACTTATTCAACCCATAGTTCCTCTCTAGAGCGAAAGCAACAGCGGACAGAGTGAAAAGTGTTTCGACAGTTTTGTTTGCACAACGACACACAACTTGAACTGCCAAAAGTGAAAAAAAGGAGGAGTGAACTGTGCGGGCTGCATGAATTAAAAAAAAATATATATATGATTAAATTAAGAAGGAAGGTTATTATATTATACGAACGATAAAAAATTGATTCAGACACGTTCAACAAAGCTGTTAAATATTCTTAAAATGATTGTATATTGCTGTTTTAGCCATTCCAAATATTATGATTACGTACCGTACTAAAATGCATGGCAAAAGTTTATGGTCTAAAACGGAAAAAGTTTATTTTAAATAAATATGGTTGGCAAATCGTTTCTTTCCCCCGAAAATAAAAAGTAATTTTAATGTAATATCAAATCAGGGACATTTAAATCATTCCTCAGAAAATTGTGATAAAAGTGTAAAAATTTCATAAAATTAATGGTGTGAACTGTATTAAAAAAATTTTTACTTTAGTTCTTCGATTGCCAATGAACATTTCAATTGAAAAACTTGCCAACCTGTTGTAAGATTCTTCTTTTCCACTCCGCACAACTACTGGTATTTTTTTCTCCAAATTCTTGCATTTATTAACCAGCTTGATTTAGTTTCTGCGCATTTATAATATGGATTGTGAGACTGATTTTTTTATTTATACTGCTCCGAAATCTCACCGCTATTGCCGCCCCCAACCAAAATCTCAAAATTTAGCGTCACTTTTTTTGAATTTAAATCCAGTTGATGATTGCAAATGTAGTGGAGAGCTGTGCTTTTTGACGAGTTCTTTGCAAAATGTCATCCTCGCTGACATATCTCGGAATAATTTCTGTAGAAATATTTTTGTGTTTTAATTTGCTTGTGCTGGATGTATAGTTACTATCAATAAGACTGCCGTACGTTTATGTTTAATGAGAACGATAATTATAATTCCACTGAAAAACCCAGAGCGGGGAGCGATATGATTTGAAGAGTTTTTCTTTACATTCATTTCGTTCCTCTCTATTATAAATACCTCAGCCGTTCAGTATGGATTTAGTTTAGCTGTAAAGTTGCGCTTGCGACCACGCAACACACACGATTTCTAACCCAAATGTATTATTAATGTACAATAAAATATATAAAATGATTATGATTTTATCAAAAAATTAAATACCATCCATGTTAAATCAACAAGATTTCTAAACTGCTTTTTATTTTGAACAAAAACAACCTTGTCATCTCTTCAAAATTGTAGTTTTATTAAAATTTACATTATTAAAACCAAATTTCCATTTCAAAATTTAATAAAAATTTATATTGTTTCACAAAAACAAAGAAATTTTTGGAATTCTTACAAAAAATTTAACCATAAAGTAATTTTGTGACCTATTCCAATTAATACGTTATTTATAAAATTATAAAAAGTAAATTTTGACCGAATCTCAGCCAATAATGGGCATTTGAGACATGCTGGAGGCGAACTGTTGGAAATTCTGGGCCATGGCCATTGCGTCTTGGGCCGGCATCATCAGCATGGTGAAGCCGCCCATCATCGCCATCGGCTGGTTGAACATCATGCCGCTCCCGGAGCCGCCGCCGCTTTCGCCGCCCCCGAAACCTGGCATGGATGGCATGCCAGGGACGATTCCACCTTCCGCTCTTGGATTGTCATTCATCGGAGGGATGACGCCGCTTTCGACTGATTGGACGGGCGCCTCCTTTCAATAATTATTAGAATTAAATTTTAAAAGACGATTTTACTTACTCTTTTCGCGAGTTCTTTGACGATCATTGGCAAAAACGGCAGGGCTTCCGTTGAAAATACTGCACACAAAAGAAATATTCTTGTTTGGAAATTCATACTGTAATTTTTTTAAAGCTCACCCAAAAATAACAGGAATGGGATTGAGTGAAGCCTCATTTTTGCGAGTGTCACTCTATTTTAAGCAAGACTGAGCCCCAGTCAGCGTGCGAGCTTATTTATTGCACGCAAACAGGAAGGTTTTTTGCATTTTTATCGTTGCCTTGGGCAGGACGTCAACCTGCAAATCGCCTTTATCTGCATCAGACAGCTGCACATTATCCCTTTGATCGTATTCTTTTTATTTTTATAACTGCCTCTTTCCGTGATGTGATAGGAAATATTCCTTAGAATTTTGCTGATCATTTTTACAAGGAATTTATTATTAATTAATAAAAAAGAGAGAACAAAATAAATTTCTTAAGCATTTTTCCGATATTTTAGTAAATTTTTCACTTTCTTGACAGTAATAAATTTAATGCTCCTAAATGTATCCCAAAATATAATTGATATAAAAATTTGTATTATTGAAAAATTCTTCAAATTATTTAAAAAAGTCTGATTTTATGTTTGAAAATTATAAAAAACAATTAATTGTAACTAATTTTTTATAATATTTATCTTGCAATTTTTTCGGCTCAAATAATACCAGCAATTTTATAGAGAAAACTTGAGTGCAATATTTATCAAAATGTGGATCGATAAAGAACAAACACAATTGGAGAAAGACAAACATTGATATTCGTAAGTAACGCATATATTGATTTGCGTGTCTAATGAAATGACATTGGCCGCCTCTTTCTATTAAAGCAAACCTCACAATTTATTTGAAAAATGCAGGGCGTGCGGGCGCATCCGTCGTTGGCATTCTTATTTCGCTGGAGCAACCTGAGCGGCCTGTGGATCCCGGAAAACGCGGCCGCGGCCAAAAAGCAGAAGTGGCCGCGCGCGACGGAGGCCGTTTCGTTGGCCGTGACCGTGGCCGCCTTTGGCTGCAGCATGTACTTTTTGCTGCAGGACGTGCGCGACTTCCGCAGGGTGGTCAGCCTCAGTCCGTCCATCGTCATCTTCCTGCTCTACACCGTCGTCCTGGCCAAGTCGGCGTACCTTTGGCTCAGGAAGGCCCAAATCCTCGACCTGTTCCGCGCGATGGACCAAATCGTCTCGTTCCCGCCGTTCGCCCCCCACCAGAAACAGGTCGTCGACTTTGTGTGCGCCAACGTGCGCAAAACCACCCTGTACCTGATTTGCTTCTCGGTGACCTTCATGGCCGTCATGCTCTCCACCTTTCTCTCCTTCTCGTTCGCGCACCCTGAGCGCCGCGCCTGGCACCGCGAGATCGGATTCGCCGTCCAAACAATCCTTTCGGGCGACGCCGACCTTTGGCAAAAAATTTGTCACGCGTGCGTCCTGACCGCTCTGCTGACCCACTTCGTCCTGACCTTCGTCCTGCAAGTGCGCAACCTGCTGATGGACGCCTTGATGATTTTGTGTCATTACTTCGTCGTCCAGCAGCTGCACCTGCTGAACCGACTTTTCCGCCACCCGCACACCGCCTTCAACCACTTTCCACAATTCAAAGGCAACGACAAGAAGATCTTTTTGAACACCTCTCAGTTCAATAGCAACAACTTCGACGACTGGGTTGTTTCCTTCAATAAGGTCAAAAGGTATAAATTAATATATATGCTTAATACGAAGGAGAATTGGATTTTTTAAGATATATCTGATAAAATTTGTCTTCTTTTAATTGTTTACCTTTCTATTTTTCACTTAAACTTTTTCAAGTCTTGTATTTCATAGACTTTCCTCTTTATAATTCTAAATGAAATATTTGTGGTTCGTTAATCTTTTATGTGAGGTGAAAAAAGTAATTTGAAAATGGTATAAAAGAAACGCAAATTTTAAGAAGGAAAAAAACACTTTTTGAGCCTCAATAGACCAATTTTCTGCATTTGAAACCTCAAAATTACAAAAGAGAATAGAAATGCAAAAGCACCTGAAATCGATCCGTTTATTTAAAATTGTAACTTTTTAATAGGTTACAGAGCGAAGTCAACAACATGTTTGGCGTTTACTGCATAATTTTGGTGTCATGTGCGATGACGACGTTGTGCTTTGTTGCATTTACAGCAGCAAAAGTACGGATCAGAACTAATTACACCATAAATTAGTTTTTAAACTTAAATTTCTAGGAAATATCAGCGTCTTTCATCGCGTCCTATTCAATGATTGCCGTGGTTCTTGTAATGCAAGTTTTTTCTTGCTGCAAAAGTGGGCAGAACGTGAAAGGAGCTGTGAGTTGGGCACTTAAATTTTGGCCAAATTATTATTGAATTGCGTTTTAGGCTGATAAATTGACGGACACGGTTTGCACGGGGCCGTGGCAAGACCACGCGCTGGCCGAGAGTTTGCATTTGATCGCTGTGGATTTGCAGAGGAGCTTCATAGTGCGCGGCGGTCCCTTTTTCAACCTCAATTTGGAGTTTTTCGCCTCAATGATTGGCGCAGTTTTCACATATTTTGTTGTGCTTGTTCAGATAAAAGAATAAATTTATCGGTAATTTTATTGTATTTAAAAATTAGTTTTAAAATATTTTAACATTTTATTTATTTTATTTTATTTCAGTCATTTTATTGAGTTTTTTAATGTTTTATTGAATTAATATTATTGAGTTAAAAAAAGCTGAAAGTAAATTAATTTGACAATTCAAAGCTCATTCTTATTCTAGTTTGAATGAGCTTTTCTTATTACAATTACTATTACTTAGAATTAAGAAAAAATTATGAAGAAATTACATCAAACAAAATTAATTACTTTTTTAATTTATTAATTATCGCTGAAAAAAGCTCAATTGCATTAATATCAATCTTTCTTTTATGGCTTATTACAAATCACCACAAAGCAGGCTTTAATTTATTCCTATAGTTTATTGCAACAAAACGAAATAGCAAGCGTAATTTACACAAACACTAATTTAAAAAATAATTCAAATACCAAGTTTCCTTTCCAGTAAATTGCCTGTCAGTGCTCTCGTGAATAGGAAATAGTACAATTTTCTTCCATTGAAAAGCACGGAAATCAATAAATAGTCATTTGAAGCGAATTTCGTGGCCAAATATTGCCTTTCATATTATATTATTTACGCGTTTTATTGTATTTCTCACAAAAGGGGTTAAAAAGGGTCAAGTGGAAGAATCAGTCCTTTTGGGAAAATGCAGCCGCTTTGTTTGAACTCGCAACTGAAATTCATCTTCCGGTGGACCCACTTGATGGGTCTTTGGATTCCGGAGAGGCAATCGAGGAGAAGAGTTCCGACGCCGTGGGAAACGTTCACTTTGGCGTACACGGCGTTCGCCTTCTTCAGCGTCATGTCCATTGTGCTCGGCGCCGTGCGCGATTTAAGCAGAGTTTTGGAGCTGAGCGTGCCGATCGTTGTCTCTCTGATGTACTTGCTCATGATGGCCAAGACGGTGTACATTTGGCTCGGAAAAAGCAAACTGCTCGCGTTGATGGACGCGATGGACGACGCGATTGCGTTCGCGCCCTTCGCCCAACACCAGAAAGTCGTCGTCGATTTTATCTGCGGCAACGTTCGGAAAACGGTGCTCGGCCTCATTTCACTCGGCACGGCCGTCTACGTCGCCACCTTGGTCGCCTTTTACTTTTTCAGCTTCCTGCCGACGGAATTCAAGGAGGACCAAGTCGTCGCGGGATTCAAAGCCAAGAACTGGACACTCCTGGAAAACGTCGGTTTCGGCCTGCATTGCATTTTGACTTTGATCATGCCCACGAAAATGCTTCTGATGGACACGCTGATGATCCAATGTCACTATTTTGTCGTCCAGCAGCTGAAGTTGCTCAACAGAATCTACAACCAACCCTGCTCTTTCAATGAGAAAAAGAAATTTTGCTTCAACTGCGGCAAAGAATCAGACTGCGATTATTTCGACAACTGGGTTCGAATGTTCAATAAAGTAAAAAGGTGAAAAATTGAATTCTTAACAACTAATTGAATCTTTTATTTTCAGTAAAAGTGACTTTTTCAGCTCTCTTTTTATTGAAACTACTAAAAAAAATTAAATTTTGCAGAATTCACGTTGAGGTTAACAAATTTTTTGGTCCTTACTGCATCATATATGTGGGATGTGTAATGTTTTTGTTGTGCATAATAACTTTTACCGCTGCTAAGGTAATTATTTTTTCTATAACAAACGCCATTTAAAATTTAATTTTTAATTTTAGTTTCCGTCGTCCCTGCTTGCAACAGCAATGGCATTGGTCGCCGTTTTGTTTATAATTCAAATTTTCGCGTTTTGCAAGAGTGGCCAAAGCGTACGAGATGCGGTAATTTGTCATTTACAATCAAATATTGGAATTTTCATGATGAATTCTAGGCCGAAAGATTGACGGACACAATATGCACCGGGCCACGTTGCAATCTCCGCTTGGCAGAAGGTCTCAATTATTTGGTCGCGTTGGATTTGCAAAGGAGCTTCACGGTGCGCGGCGGTCCCTTTTTCAACGTAAATCTCGAGTTTTTCGCCTCCATTATTGGAGTCGTTTTCACTTATTTCGTAGTTTTGGTGCAAATTAAAGAATAAATGTTGCAATGAATTTTATGTACTTATTCAAATGAACCAAAATATCAATAAAATAAATATATGAGATCAATAAAAATGAATTGATTTGGAAATGAAAATGCTTTCACATTGATTAATTTATTTTGAAGACCGCAAAAGAAATTTGTACATAATAGAAGTTGGTTGACGACAATGAAGAGCGTGAGGCAGAACCAAAATTTGAAGATAATATTTCGAACTTTGTACATTTTGGGCTATCGTGTCCCAGAAACACGTGGAGAAAAGTGTAGCATCTCAAAGTGGGAGCTTTTCACGCACAGTGCCACGGCGATAATTTTCGTATCGATAATCACGGTTCTTGTATCACAAAAGAGTGGCGAAGGAGCACAGTATATAATTAAATTAGCGCAAATTATAGTAACGACCACTTTTTACTTTGTTACCTGGACGAAAACGAGCTACTTGATCTGGCGAAGGGAAAAATTTGCAGAAATTTTTAACCATCTGGACCAAATGATGGAGTTTCTAAATTTAAAAAATCATCAGAATCACATTGCTGAACATTCTTGCGTTCGAGTGAAGAAGATATTTGTTTTTTACATCACTGCTATGTTTATCTTAATCATTTTGGGGACTGCATCGTTTTATTATGTTACTCAGTTTACTTCAAACGCAGGCAATCAATCGGAAATCGAAAATCAGTTAACTTCCTCAAATTGGGGCATTGTTGAACGCTACGTCGGCGCCTTGCATAGTTTATTTTCTTTTGCATCTCACATAAAAAACGCAGCGGTTGACAGCCTTACGCTTCTTTTCAACTTTGTCATTGTTGAGGAGTTGAAACATCTAAATGCTTTATTTAAAATACTTAATCTGGATCAAAATATGCAGCGATCTTCTCTTAAACTAAAAGACATGTTTGATTTTTGGAGTGCAATGCTTAATTCTGTTAAAAGGCAAGTCTGATTTGAATTTTTGTTTTGTTAAATATTGAATTAATTAAATGCATTAACAGATTACAAAGAGAAGTTCAAAGCTTTTTAGCGGTGCAGATCATGGTATTAATTGGGGCCTGTTTTGTAGCAAATTGTTTTCTTGCTTTTGCAGCAGCAAAGGTGAGAGATGAAAAATTATCCGAGTTAATTGTGTCCAATTGAAAACTTTTTTAGTACCCGAGCGCTGTTTTTCTTGTGGCAGCATCATCTTTTATGCTCATCGGCCCTGCCTTTATCTTCTGCCTGATTGGCCAAAATTTAATTGACGCGGTGAGTTTTATTGAGAATAAAACAATTTAATTAATTACGTTATTTAAAAATAGGCAAACGATTTGACGAGTACAATTTCAACTGGTCCTTGGAAAGATCCGCAATACGCTTCGTACATAAAAATTATCAATGACGACATTAGAAGAACTTTTGAGTCCCGCGGAGGTCCCTTTTTTACTCTTAATTTGGAATTCTTTGTCTCCATGATTGGTACTATTTTCACTTATTTCATTGTTTTATATCAGATAAAATAATTTAAAAAGTCTTGTGGGGAGAAACTTATAAAAACAATATAAAAAAAATAATAATATCCTGAAAAGCAGGTCATTTCATTGAACACTTTTACCCAAGATATTTAGATATTTCTGTGTATATTGATTAACTGTCAAAAAAATCAAATCCAAAGACTGTTCATGACATTTGTTATTGATTAATATTAAACCCATCGTGTCAAATTAGTGTATTGATAGTCCACCGAAAATCAATACGCAACTTCATTTTCGCCTTTAAATTGACAGAAGAAAGATGCCTGAAAGCATCCGGCACAATCCTCAACTGAGAATAATCTTCAGAGCGGTCCACGCATTTGGATTTTGGGTTCCTGAAGCCATCAACGAGTCGTCGCGCGGTCCAACCAAATGGGAGGTTTTGACGCACTCGTACGCTTTGGCAATTCTATTTTTGGTGACGTTCGCGCAAAGCACCACTTTGGGAGACGAGATTGGCATCGTGCAAATTGGCCCCTCGGCGATGCTCATATCTTTGTACTTCTTGTCACTATCCAAAACCGTTTACTTGATTTCAAGGCGAGGAGACCTGATGGATCTTTTCAAGAAGTTTGACGAAATCGCAAAAATAACAAAAGAAAACCACGATAGAATCTGCATTCGAATTCGGCGATTGTTCATTTTCCAAATTACTGGGCTTTTTCTAGCAAATCAGATCGTGATGATTTGGTTTTTATTCTCCGCAACGAGGGCGTCAAAGATTATATCCCAAAAAATACAAAACGGCACTATGAGTGCAGAGGACGCAACGGTGACTGCGCTTTTTAGGATTGAAAAATGGACTGCCTTGCAATTCGTCGCTGTTGGCTTAAACGGAGCTTTAAACGTTTTTCTGCCGATTAAAAACGTGGCTGTTGACTGCTTGACCTTCATTTTTTATTTGAATATAGTCAATAACCTGGAGATGCTAACAAAAAAATTCAAGAAGATTCGTTTTCAAAATAAAATTTTCCTGCAATCCAAGCAGGACCAGACGGATTTGAACGGTTGGGTTAATATTTTCAATAAAATAAAGAGGTCTGATTTTGACTGAAACTTTTGCTTAATTTAATTACTTATTTATCAGATTTCAGCAGAGCGTCAACAATTTGTATCAGTTTCCAATAATAAGCCTGGTCTGCTGCTCAGTCGTCTCAATGTGTTTCTTAACATTTACAGCAGCACAGGTAAAAATAAAATAAAATGACTAAACCTAAAATTAACCCTAAATTGTAAGTTTCCATCTGGAATTGTTATTATTGGGATGTCGCTTTCATGCCTTACATCGGCCGTTCAATTACTGACCTATTGCAACAGTGGACAAATGCTTATGGATGCAGTAATTATTAAAGAAAAAAAAATCACTTATATTTATTAAATTATTTTTAGGCAGATAAATTAATAGACGCTGTTTCTTCCGGGCCATGGAACGACCCGCAGTACGCATCTTGTTTTAATTTGATCAGCGCCGACGCAAAAAGAACCTTCGTCGCCCGCGGCGGCCCCTTTTTCGCACTCGGACTCGAGTTTTTCACCACAGTTATCGGCGCAGTTTTCACTTCTTTTGTTATTCTGGTGCAACTGAAGTGAAGAGCACCGTATCAATGAAAGAATAATTATTAATAATCAACAGAAAAACTAAATTATTGATTCTTATGTTAAATAATATAAATGCCACTTTTATTTGGCGCATGACGAAGCAAAAATAATTTTACCACAAACTTATCTTCCAGCAGGGGGCTGTAATTAACCTCTTCACTTTCAAAGATCAAATCCCCTGTATGAAAAAAAACCGGAAAATTAAATTATTTCCTCTCATTTTGAAATGAATTATTTCGCCGTTACTCAAAACTTGAAGAGTTTCGCACCCGGCCACAAGAAACTGGCGCTGATTTATTTTCTTTTGTTACTTTGATGCAAATGAAGTCATTATCTGATATAACAAGCGCTGTTCAAATTCCATTAGGCAGATATGCTTTATTTATTTGTAAAAGAGCGCCTAGAGAGAAAATCAAAAGCAAGTTTATTGCTGAATTGTAAACGTCGGCTTTTTAAAAGCTCTAGAATAGGAGAATAGCTTCTTGTTTTTCCCAGCGGCAGAGTGCGTGCTGAATTTGCATACCGAAGTGCAAATATGAAAGCGAAAAACTCTATTGTGGGAACGAGAAAATTGCTTGTGGCCGATTGTGAGGATATTCACCTGCGCTTTGATTTCTCTGGTTCTCACCGCGGCTAATGACGAGGTGCGAAAATGGGTTTGATGCTCGCGCCGTCCGTGACACACAGGAATTTTTATTGCACTCCTAGATAAACTTGGAAAATAAAATCAGCCCCAACACACTTTGATACGTCAGTCAAAGTCATTAATAAAGCGCACGTCAAGTCTTCTCCGCGGTTGATATCTTTTTCCTGCTTTTCTCTAAGGCGTCAATGCTGTCTTTGTAGATTAGCGAAAAATAAATGCTCGCTCTGAGGGTGAAGGAAACGAACGTGACACGGTTTTCGCCGATAATGACACTTTCCGCACGCAATTCACGTTGATAAGTTTGAAAATGAATTGTATAAAAGCCGACGGCCGAGTACGGTAGAGCACAAATCAACTTGTCTCTGCAAACAGTCAGGTGAGCTATCTCGGCATTTGCAGCAAAATAAGTTTTATTCTAAAAACTTTTCCCTCAGAAAACCCAAAAATCAAACATGAACAAGCTCGTCGCCGTCATCGCCTTGTGCTGCCTTGGTAAGTATAATTCGAAATATAATTAATTTATAATTTAAAATTGATTTAAAATTCACAGCCAACATCACTTTTGCATCCAAGGTAAGAATAATATCCAATATTTCCCCAAACTCCAAATTTAAAAGTATTTTTTCAAGTTTGCCCGTGAAGAAGGAGCCGAAGGCGGTTCATCTCCCGGCGGCATGCCCGACGTGAGCAACTTCGTGAGCCAATTCCAGGGCATCATGGAACAAGTGCAGGCTGGCGGTGAGTTGAATGGAAAAATTAAAAAAAATCAAATTAAATTGGTTTTCAGGCAGCGGAGGCGGCGCTGAAAACGAGGAAGGTTCCTCCGGAGGCGGCGGCATGTTCGGTTTGTTGGGAGCCATGCCCTCAGGGATGCCCGAGCTGCCCGCTGGCATGCCCTCCGGAATGCCTGAATTGCCCGCCGGCATGCCCTCCGGAATGCCCGAGCTGCCCGCAGGCATGCCCTCTGGTTTGCCCGGCATGGGAGGCGGCGAATAAGAACAAGTCTTTTCAATTCACCCTGACATTCACGACCTGGCAATGCTGATGATACCAATCTTAACCAGTCATGTAATAATTAAATAAAATAAGCACTATTTCAACCAGAAATTTCTGTTTGTTTAAAATTTTAATCCTACTAGTTTATTTGGGAATTATATTGAAAACAATATTTGTATTTAAGATGAAGTAATGATTTTAATGGACAAAAAACACAGAGTTATTGAACAGGATCGGATGGGAGGCAAAAAACAAATACTAACATTATCACAAAAAGATAAGGACAGTTTCGTAATATGTAAAAATGTGTATAATTTATACAAAGATTTAATAATGGTTGCTTTGTGTAACAACCACTCTGACAACTTTCACTTTGTATGGGTAATAGCATGGCGGAATTACCTTTTTAAATTTCGCCGGTAATCCTAGCCTAATTCTGCCATTAAATAAATAGTGAGTTGGTTTTAATAATGTTATTGTGTGTACGCAAAAGCCCATGTACACAATCGGAACAATTAGGCAACGGAAATAATTACGCCTCGCGCATTGCACGCATACCAGATCAGGACTATCGCGGCGTGAATATGGAGGTTTATTTATGTGCAGAACAAAAGCTAATTTCAGTGAGAGTGCAAAGAGAATCCTCATGAAATTAAATTTATATAAATTAACTGGTGCTCCTTTCAGATTTTTGTGCGCAAAAATGAGAAGAGCAAATAATAATGCTTGTTGAGAATTAATTTTTAAAGGCTGTACAGTGTAATATGAAGTCGATGAGGAAGAGAGTCTTTTATAAAATTAAATTAATAACACTACCTTTTTAAATAATAAATTCCTCAAAGTGTTTTGTATGTAGAAAAAAATGGCTTGAAGCAAGTTGGGGACGAACTAAAATATAAAAAACACTTGACTTCTTTAGACTTCCTTGGTGTACGTTTTCCTGGATAACCAAGTGGCCTTGATGGAGTCGGCGGCCTTCTCGGCGATCATGACGGCCGGCGCGTTCGTGTTGCCGCTGGTGACCGTGGGCATGATGGAGGCGTCGGCCACCCTGAGTCCGGCCACGCCGTACACCCTGAGCTCGCTGTCGACGACCGCGTCAGGGTCGGAGGGCGGCGCCATCTTGCAGGAGCCGGCCTGGTGATTCTCGGGGCCCGTCTTGAAGCGCACGGCGCACTCCCAGTAGGCGTCCGTGTTGAACGTGAACTGCTCGCAACCCTTGACCTTGGTCGTGTCCAGCTTGAAGCCGTACCGCTTCAGCGCCTGCGTCTCTCCCAAGCGCACGGCGAACTTGACGCCCTCGACCAGCCGCTTCACGTCCTCGGGCTCGGTCAGGTACCTGGCGTAGATGGCCGGAGCGTCCGTGGGGTTGGCCGTCTTCAGCTTGATCTGCCCTCGCGACTTGGGGTGCAGCAGCGCGGGGAACATGACGATGTAGCGCGACGAGTTGACGTTCTCGCCGCCCAGTTCGCCGACCTGTCCGGTCTTGGCGCAGTCGGCGAGGTAGCCGCCGAAGAAGAGCTGCAGGTCGGGGTGGTCGGCGGCAGGGTCGGCGTACTTGGTGTTGACCAGGGCGGTGGTCTCGGAGATGCCCGTGCCGGCCATCAGACCGTCGCGGAACAAGAGGTACTCCATGGCGGTGGCCCAGTTGAGGGGTTTCGTGTCCGTGTCGTTCATGGTGAAGCCGACGAAGTAGGCGACGTGGTTGTGCAAGTTGCGGCCGACGCCGGGCAGATCGTGGACGACGGGCACGCCCAGGGGCTGGAGGTCCTCCTTGGGGCCGACGCCGGACAGGAGGAGGATCTGCGGCGAGTTGACGGCGCCGCCGCTGACGACGATTTCCTTGCGGGCGTACACGCGGTGCGTGACGTTGTCTCGGAGGAACTCGACGCCGTACGCGCGCTTGTTGGACGGGTCGATGAGGATCTTGGTGGCCGTCGAGTTGAGCAGGACGTGCAGGTTGGGCCGCTCGTTGAGGACGGGACGCAGGAAGGCCTTGGCCGTGCTGAGGCGCGAGCCGTTGCGCGACGTCGTCTGCGCGATCATGAAGCCGGTGTGTTTCTCGCCGTTGACGTCGCGCGTGTCGTAGCCGAGTTCGCGTCCGGCCTCGAGGATGGCGTAGGACAGCGGCGGGTGGTACGGGAAGCGCGTGACCGTGAGGTAGCCGCCGGTCGCGTGGTACCCGCGGTCCATCTCGTCCATCTGCTGGTTGTCCTCGGACTTGAGGAAGTAGGGCAGCACCTCGTTGTAGGACCAGCCGTTGTTGCCCGCCTCGGCCCACTGGTCAAAGTCCCTCCGGCTGCCGCGCATGTACATCATCCCGTTGATGACGCTGGTGCCGCCCAGAACTTTGCCGCGAGGCCAGTAACACTTGCGGCCCTCTTCGCCCAAACACGCGTTGTCCTCCGGCTCGGTGTGGTACTTCCAGTCGATGTCGCTGCCCAAGTAGTTGAGGAACATTGAAGGAACCTACAATTTTAATTAGCCATTAATAAAAGTACAATTAAATGGCCTACAAATCTTCAAATTAGATTAAATCATTTAAAGTTTACTTAAATCAAATTTACAAAAAAATTTTAATTTCCTAATAAAATTTATGCCAAAACTAGAAAACTAATTTCAATTTTGATAAGAAATAATAATTTCCAAATTTACCTTTGCTAAATTCTGTTTATTTTCTGATACAGAAAAAAAATTTTAGATTGAGACAAATAAACTTGTGTATTTGTGCGAATATTTAAATTCTGTATATTATTTACCTGAACGCCAGTTGGCTCGTTGCCGCCGGCTTCAATGAGGAGCACGTTCCAGTTGGCTACTTCGGACAGTCTGGCAGCCACGACGGATCCGGCCGAGCCGCCTCCGACAACAATGAAGTCGTAATGAGGTGGATCGAGCAACAATCGCCCTCCGAGCTGCGGTGGCGTCGGCCCTGGTCTCCTGCACGGGTCTTCGAGGTCACATTGCGAGCGAATGAAAACCTCGAGCAGGCCCATGAACAGCATGAACGGAGCCCCTCCGCACACGGAGGCCAGGCTCGGCCCTACCGTCGTCACAGGGCAGTTACAGTCCATCTGCAACAATTAAATACAAAAAATTAAATTTTTTTGCAAAATAATAAATGAGTTTTACTAGGATAAGAAAAAGAAAAAGGTTTCTCTAGAAGAACACGCAGTGCGGAATTAAAAATGCGTTCGAAGCGGCGCTTTCTTTGTGGATCTTTAATTACATCTCGTGACTGCGAGACGCATCTCACTATCAACTCATTTAAGTATGAATTTAGCTGGCAGCTGCGAAACTATTTCTCTACACGTGACACATGAAATAATCGCAAGTGGAGGAGTCGTGATTTATAATGAGCATTGTGAGCCTCTCTATTGTTTGCTCTCGGAGCCCATTCGCAGGTCACGCCGGGTGCCTTTATGGGTTGTTGCAATAATAAAAGTGATTCAGGAACTGCCAATTAATTCTCCTGCTTTGCCAATCTCTTAAGTAATTAAAATCACCATAAATGCAGCAAAAAAAATTGATTTCAAAATGATAACAATAATATTGGGCTTGTTAGCATTTGTGAGAAAAAGGATCGCAGAGGTGAGAATTTGATTGTCAGGGGAGCGTGCGATTCGCACGAGCCGCGATTTCTTCTCGAGCCAATGTCAATTTCAAAGTTTTGCCTGCGCGTGATTTTCCTATTAGACTTGCCACACAACTAACGGCAAATGCTACTCTGCAATTACCATCTCAACACCCTCGCCGCTTTCGAATTCAAGTCGGCAGTCACGATTTCAGGAAAATATGAACGCGCCGGCATCTTTCTCTAAATTGTTTTTTTCTCCTTAATCGAAATGATATAAAACGATGGTTGGAACTCCTCAAGATAATGATCATAATAATATTACAGTCCGCAGTGGAAAATCGCAAAAAATACACTGAAAGAAGGATTAAATTTTTTTAGAACATAATTAAATATTTCTTTTGTTTGTACGAAAATTAATATAAATTTTGTATCATTGAAACTATTGGGTCAATATAATTTAATATGATTTTACTTTTTTTAATTGTACTAATAGAGAAAATAAAACAATAAAATATAATAAAATATTAAGATAATAAATATAATATAACAGTACAAATTTTAGAGAGAAAAAGACAATTTTAATCTAAGTTGACAAAAATTTTACTAAACATGACTTTTTCAATAGAATTTTTATTTTTAGAATTTAAATTATAATAAAATAGGTTGTAATTTGAATTATTTCAATAAATTTGCAAGATTATTTTAAATTTTTTTAGTTTTTTAAAGAAAAAAAAACTGCTGCAAGATGGAACTTTCTATGATTAAATTTAATCTGATTTTTTTTTTCCAAAGATCTAAAGATTATTTAGCAGGCACAAAGAAACGTGCAATTAGTCTTGCCGACGCGAAAATTGATATCGATCAATTAACATGCTCGCTCTGTGTAATTAAATAACCAATTGAGCCTGATTCACGATGGATCGACTGATCAAACACACAAAATGTCAACTTTCACTGTGCTCTGTGTAAAGATAAAGCCGGAAACACACGCACAACAATAATTTTACAACAGATCTGATATAGTTTGCTCTCGCGAGATGACCTGCTCGCTTTTGATACACAAACCCATTCTCTCGCGCACTCCCACGCTCGTGTGTGTTATCGCGCGCTTGTATAACAAACTTTCTCAAGCGGACAAATGCAATCTTGGGATGTTAATAGTTTTCCTCTGTGGCGAAACAAACAACCAGAGATGCGCCCAAATCCGTTGCGCTTGAGTGCAAATTTGATTCTCCTGGCGTGATCCGAACAATCTTCATGAAGCAACAGATTTTGAGGAGATTTGAAAAAAAATAATTAATCAAAGCTTTTTCATGTAAATTTATCTTTAATTAGCAAAACGCGTTTGGTAATCCCAAAATTAAAGACAATGCAAACTTGTTTTAATCCTTCATTCCCAAGCATAATGAACAAAAAAAAATGAATAATTAATCTTGACACAATTCGTCTTAATTAAATTTGCAATTCGTCCTTGCAAATCTAGCACGGCTGCTAAAATAAGAATTTAATCCTGAGAGAATTGAGGAAGTGGAGAGGATAAATAATCTGGCCGTTTGATTTTTGCCTGTCAAAACAGCATCGGATGGCGCAACCGCTCTCCGGCGAACAAAGCCTTTGCTCTCAATCATGGCGCTCCATTGCGTACATAAATTCTCCGCTCATTATCATAACTAGCGTTTCGTAACGCGTCGCGGATCTCAGATTGTTTCCCTGTCTGTTGTGAATGAGAAAAGATGTATTGGCGCGCGGTTAAAATTTCTTTGTTTATGCTTTTATTGCAGGCGTAATAAAATTGCAACCGCAGATGCACTTGTTGAGTGTATATTGTGAAATTTTGATTCACTTTCTATCAATGAACGGGGTAAAAAATTACGTGATGAGATTTTATTTTATTTTTGAAATGGCGCAGGAGTCAGAGCGAAATAAAAAGCGTCTTTTTAACAAAACAAAAATGATATTCAGGTTTAAAGTTTAAATTTTAAAAATCCAGGGGAAAGGAAAAGTTTTTTAAAAAGAATAATTTCAAATAATATTTTATTAAATTTATTTATAAATAAAAAATTAATCATATTATTTTCTTTAATTTATCTTTGAAAATAATATATCATTTTATATTTTTTAAACCTTTTTAATTATTGATTTTAAATCAGAATTATTAACATGAAAGCTTGCAAAGATCCATTACCAGTTCTTTTTGGAGAAATTTAAGTAAAAATTGTTTTGATAATAGAATAAACCTAATGTGCAATGTAAGCTGGATCACAATTTTTAATTCAACAATAATTTGATTGTGGACTTTTTTAGGATAGCGTCAAATTAATACCTTTAATTAAGATATTTATATAAAATTCATGCCTCTCTTTAGCTTAAAATCGCGTAAACAAGTGAAAGTCCGCCATAAAAAATAAAATAAAATTGACAAGCATTAAATATTTAGTTCGTCACAAATTCACACAAAAATTGCCAGATTATTTTTATTGCATTCCAGAGTAAATTGAATTCAGTTGAACGCACACTTGACACAATGACCGCACAGCAGTGAGCCTAAATTATTTACTTTTGTCACGATTTATCCCCCTTTCGTGCACCAACTCTGCAAAAAAAACTATTTTGATAAAAAGGAAGTCTATGGACGAAGTTAGCCTAGCGTGAATTGATGATAAAATTGGCCTGTGGCATCATCGAGGTCGGTCGGCGCCCATAAAGATTCGCAACGGTACATTCGCTTTCATTGTGCGTTGCTTATTCGCGACGAGTCACGGGCACATTCGCCACACATTATGCATATTATCTCTCTCGCTCGCTCAGATACAGTTACTGCGGCGGCCTCGTCCACGAGTAAAAATGTGAGAAGATCTCGTCTCAACTGTAAATATGCCTCGGAAAAAGAAGCATAATCATCTCGACGTCAGACGCAAATTATGCATTCCGCGTTTAGGTGTTGCTAATTGCAGTTTAATTGAAGTTAATTTTCAAGGCCCGTTGCGTGTCCGGAATAGATCAGCAAAAAATTAAATTTCTTCTTTATTTGTACGCTTGTTTAGAAAGGTTTTGATGTCCAAAGGCGAGGGAGTGAAGTTTATTTACAACACGAGGAAATCAATTGCTCTCGGCGCCGCGGGAGTTTTAATCGGCTGCTGATTGATGGCCCATTAGCAAAGTTCAGATGATACTTTCTCTTACAAAAATTAAAGATTCGCCATTCATTTACAACTTAATTGGGAGGAGAATTAACGAGTCTGGTAAATAAAGACCTCGTATAAATGCAAGACTTCGTGCAATGTCGATTTCGAAACGAGAGAGAAATGTCAAAAATTCAATGCTAAAGAGCAAAGGTTGTTGAATTATTTACAAATTTATTTAATTAAATATTCAATTTTAGACCTAAACAAAAACTATATTCTCAAAGCTATGTGTTTTTTTGCCTCTCATATAGTTTTTTTAGCATGGCAAGGGACTTGCGTTTGCAGCAGCGTGAGAGATTCATCCGTAATTGCTATAAGAAGTTCTCTAACTGGTCGACTCGATCCCGAGCGAGATCACAAAGCTGGAAGACACCTTGACCAGTAAAGTCAATGCTCTCAGTCACGCTCGGTCAAGCATTCGACGCCTCTCTCAACTCCAGCTTGTGAGATCAAACGACCGCCTTGATCGAAAGTGAATCGGCGCTTTTTGTTTCACCTGTTCAAATATAACAATAACTGGTCCTAATCTCACAAATACATAAAATCACCCAAGGCCAATTGTTCAACGAGGCTTTTATTGTTTATTGCACCGGCACTTTGTGAATTTTTTTCATTGTACGAGCTGTTAAAAATATTCCTGATTAGCATTAATTTATAATTTCGCCTCAAGATGATTATTTCAGCGGTATTTTTTGTATCTTTACTTTAATCCAGGACAAGTTCAGCTGAATTTTAAAACCTGTTTCATGTCGGGCGCTTTTTTGCATATTTTTATTCGCAAGCGTGATGTAACGCGGCAGTTACGCAAAATTAACGTCCCAAAACTCTTTTGTACAAAGTTAAAATTAAGTAAAAAAATATTAATTATTGGAGTTTTTTATCTGCAACATTTTATTATTGTATTAAAAAATAAATTGACTTTCACATCCTCTGTGTTGCAAAGAGCCGTGTTCGGCACGACGTGTGTTCTGAAAATATCAGGGACTGGCTGACCTTTTCAACTAGTGCAAAATTTGATCCCTTTCATTTCGCGTTCACTCTTTCGCACGTTGGCCGCGTGTCTCTCGCAGAGCGACGCCGAATAATATATCAACGCTCCATATATTCCGGTTATTGTGGCGCGCACACAACCTGCTTGAATTCGAACGTGCTCCACATTGCGTAACGCACGCACACAGAGAAAGACAACAGGTCGCTTTAATTAATACTAATGCGACCGCGTTGAGTAAAAAGTTATATAAAACTAGAGCGCACAGTGTCACATTTTAACAGATTTTGATATTTTTAATTCACCCAGCTCGGTTTTTTTATTTTTAAATTAAAATATATTTGTATTACATTTTTATAAATGAAAAATAGAAATCAGAAATGTAATCATGTAAGAATTTAATGAGGACTAATGATTGTTTAATGACAAAAGTACCTTAATTGGTATAATCGCTCAGGCAAACGGAATTTTCAATTAACAATTTTTGACGATTCATTGCATTTTCATTATTAAATATTTTTTGCCGGTAACTTAAAATGCATCATCACTCTCAAGACACTTAATTTCAGTACAAAAAAAAATGTAATTTTCAACCGGCTATAAAAAATAACTCATTGAAATAATAAAACTTTGATCTGCCTCGCAATGGGGGATTTAACGTGGAGATTTTCGGTCGTTGAACTCGCTTTACTCACCACTTGAGTGTGCAGACGGTGTGTTCGACAAGCGCGCCGTTTGGTCCTCAACGCAGCAACACACTGACGGACGAGTCCGTCGACTGAGACCGCGGCTCTCAGGAGCACCAGGAGAGGGGCAGCATCTCCTCCTCCTCTTCAGCGTCTTTTGTCTGCCGTCATCGAATTTCCTTCAAAAACACGCACTTATTATATTATTTTGCTTCCTCGTGGCGTTTGTTTTGATTTGAGCTGGTGCCACGCAACAGGAAAGCACGGATCTACATAAACCTTAAACTGAAATTTAGAAAATTGACCAGTTTTGTTGAAAAATAATTCTCTATAAAAAAATTTTTTATTAACATCTTTGATTGTATGCAACCGGCAACACCTTTCAATGAACTTGTTGCAATTAAAATTTTCAAAAGGAGTTAACATTTGAGCATTTTTTTTATACTTTTATTCTCCTCCAAACAATTTGGCAAAATACGAAAGTGGAACTTAAATTTTGAGACAATTGGCTCCAGTTAACAAATTGCTTGAACTCATAATAAGCATCATTTGAAAAATATTTAAATCAAAATTAAATCTACTTGCAGAGCTGGAGCCATATAACCGGGGAAAAAACATAGTCACATTAAATTTAATTTAATTTAATTTTTTTTAATGAGGACATTTTTCGGGGTATTGGAGAGGTACATGTTTTTATTAATGGTTCTCAACAAAATAAAGTGTTTTTGAAGAAATTATTAAGTAAGAATACTACTTGACAAAGACGAAGGACAAGGCCATTGAGGAAAACCTCTTCACGCTTAAGGGATTCCCGTCTTCAAGCAGCTAACAAAGACGTGTTTCTTTTCTTTAAATCCATGTCTCAATTCGTTTCAGACAAATTTACAGTAAAAAGTTTTGCATTTCCCAAGAAACTATTTTTTGCAGTTTTTTTCATCTTATTATGAGTAAAAATAATTTTTAAATAATTACATTTATTTATAAATTGTCATTAAATTTATTTAATTTTTTTCATAAATAAAGCATTTAAAAAATAATAATTTAATGTAGATAAATTTACTTACACTAGAACAATTTTAAAAACTTTTTAATTCCTCCACAGTTATTTTCATTTCTATGATTTCTGGGTTTATATCTTTATTATTTGTGCAATTGACTATCAAACTTCATTGATGGTGATTACGAGTGGTTTTATTGATAATTCGTAAGATGAAAAATAAAAACTAAAAGCACTATCTCCTGAAACTTGACAATGCCTAAAATTATTAATTTGAGGAAACGTTATTTCAATCAAAAGAAATACAAAGCATTATTTTCCTGGAAATAAACACCAATTAAATATTCATTTCAAAAAACTGTGTAGTTAATTATAAAAAAAGTTAAAAATGATTTAATTTAATAAACTTTACAGTGAGCTCATAAAATAACCCTACATCCTCCCAATATGTCCAATAAAAACCCATTGAGGTTATTCTCTGTAATTCTGACTCCACCGATGCTCCCTTTACTTCTGACGCCTCAAAGAGACTGAGATGAATTGCACTCGCCTCACTCACAATTAGTCAAAGAAGTGATTATCAAGCAGCAACAAAGGAAATGAAACGTTAATTCAGCTTTTTAGCGACGCGCAGAAAGGCATGTGAAGGGAAAAGTTGGTTCCCACAAAGATCGTGCACTCTAAAGAGGTTACTTTATTTTCCAATGGCATCTGCAGAGCTCGCGAGAGCGCCTTCAAAATTGTAAATATAAAAGAGGTGCGCGCGGCCAATTTATGGCTCAGTGGAAAGAAGTCCATTTATTGTGAGGCGCAAAGTTTTTTTCTGTCTCGAGGGATTTCATTGAGCACTTTTTATAAAGAGGTTCAGCGCGATTTTTCTTTTGTTCATCTCATGAAATTCTGCACCGACCATCAATTTTCACTCTGATGGAGCTGAAACAACAACGCCTCTTCCCATTATGCACGTTTAAAAGTGATCGGACTGCCGCGCACGACTGAAGTAATGCATTTCATTGAATTTGATCAAGAGGCGTGGTGCTTTTTCACGAGGTAGCTGCTCAACAGGTTTTCACTGGGCGTTTATATGCTTGAAATTTCCTTGTAGAAATAAATTTTAGGAATTACCCAACACAACACTGTGATATTATGACGCACATTAAGTTAAAAATATATTATTTCTCATACATGATGGTATAGAAAAATCTATATTCTAAAATATTAAAATTGCACCTTGAAAAATTCAATAAAAATTAAATTAATTTTTAACTCGTTAAGTTCAAGCACAACGGCTTGGCAGGAAAAAGACTAAAATTCCAATGATTTATATTTAATTGAAGACATTTCCAGATGATATTTTTGTGTGTGTAAATTTATTGTTGCAGTAGAAATGGATAGAGTTGATTTTTTTATTTATGTAAATTTTCAGTGAAATGTTAAATTTATTTTTTAGAATTGCACTCTATAAGCATCTCTATTGGTGCATCAAAAATTTTCCCTTTCAAACAATTAAAGATGACTCTTTGCGGTGTCAAGACACAAAAACAGTCACGCTTTCATGATTCTGCTGCTGAGAGTTTAACAAAACAACCATAAAAAGTAAAGAGCTTGTCAATCGTTAAAATCAAGAGACATGAATTGAATTCACTTATCGCAGCCCAGGTTGGTTTTTCACTTTGTCTTCGGTCAAATTTTCCACCCTCGGAGTTAATTCCATACAAATTTTGTTTGCAGATCAGGAATTATCAGTTCTTGCACAGATTATTTAATGTTTTATAAATTCAATTTCAATTTATCCAAATGTGAATATCAAGCCAATTTTCTCTTTAAAGTCATAGCTTTCCATAGAACCATTTTATTTAAGAATAAGAATTAAGTTTGATCAGTAAAAATGATTCACGTTTGATGAGGATTGATAAAGAAGAGCACCTTACTTTCGTAGAACTCTTCATAGGAAAAGTGATCCGCAGTCAAAGCCAAGCCAACATCAGAACATGTTACAAAAACCCCGAATTTTCTTTAAATTAAATTATATAAATATTTCTCACCGTGCGTCTAATTGATACTCCACTTTTTCACCAGATTTTGAAAAATACACAGGCAGATCCTTAAAAGAAAATATTTAAATTTTTATTCCAGTTTCACAGTTATTGTTTCTTTATTATAGAAATTTGGTAGTTTTGTGAATATAATAATTAGGTTTGCATATTATTTTCTTTATAAACTGGCAAATCATTTGAGCGCAAAATGCATTCTAAAAATTTGCCCTCGCGCTCTTATCAACTCTTATTATAATGGACAACTTATTTAATCAACGGATTTTCAGACATCATAATACAAAGATTATCAAGATAATACTTTCTAAAATGATGAAATTTGAATACCATCAATTTGATCAATCAAGTCAAACAGGAAAGATTTTTCGGCTCTCTTTTGAAATTCACCGTTACCAGTGAATTTGATTCGAATCAATTCAAGTTTAGGCGCATGCACAGGAAGAAGACACAGGAAATTCAATATCTCATCTGTTTTACAATCAATTTGAATTGTTTTTAAACTTTGCAAAATACATCCTGCTACTAGCTGCTCACTTAAAGTAGTAAGGTCAGCGTGAGAGATGTTAAAGTTAATCAATTCTATTGTTTCCAAGTGTGGCGCAGCCAGTACCAGGGCCAACAGATCAGATATGTAATCTGATTCACCACAGTGCTGAAATGCAACAAGTAGTGCTCTGACCGTTGGAACATTGCGTCTCAATTAAAACACATTTACGAAGTTGCGGGCACTTCTTGATGACCTTGTAAGGGTCCAAAGATCCAAGGGCATATATTGTCAGAGCTTGGAGTTTGTGACCACAGTGGGCGAGTAGATCAGGAACAACAGAAGCTTCAACTAAAAATAGTTTTAAAACTGTCAGATTGGAGAGAAAAGCTCGCAATTGAACATTTTCCACATTGTCCACTTGAAGTTTTTCCAAAAAGGGGACCAGTTTCAAGTCGAAGCCATTTTTGATTTCCATTTCCCTTAGAGAGAGCTCTTTTCTGTTGCCACTGTAAGGATGAAAGTTGTGGTACTCTCCACCTCCTGAACAGTACTGCAAGCTCGGCAGGTGCTCGATGCATTCGGCTTTGAAGTTCTCAAAAAGATGGGTCTGCTCTTCAATCAACAACTGTTAAAAAAAGAAAATTTAATTATCAATTAATAAAAATTGGTGTTTTTATGAAAAATAAGCTAACCGGATAATGTTTACAATGTTGGCTTAAGTCTTCCATGTTCCATTTGATGTCAAGCAGTTTCAGGTTTTGGAGCAGAAACAAATTACACATCGTGCTAGGGTAGACAAACTCGAAAGCTGCTGATAAGCTTTCCAGCTTCGGAAAATGCTCAGCAATTTGGGCCAAATCGTCGGAGCTGCAGATGTACTGTCTAAAAATGATGTGCCTGAGTTTCTGGAACTTCTTCAGGTAAGGCACCACACAGCGAATGTAGAGGGGTGCAGAATCTTGGCCAGTTCGTCGCTTGTCTGAGATGCTTTCCAAGTTTGGACACATGGCGATGAGCATCTGCCACACTCTGAGGTCTCTCTCGATTTCTGGCCGAGTGCAATCAAAACGCCCAAAGATGCTGAAGTCGATTTCCTTTGTGTTTTTAGTCAAGAGACGGTTCACCAACTCCAATATCCATTCGGCCATGGCTGGAGTCTGCTTGTCTTTATTGGAACCTTGCTGAGCTGCCATGTGTTTCAAGATTTCATTTTGCAGCAGAGGTGCTGTAATCAAAATTATTGAATTAATGAAATTTGACAATTTTTATCGTCACGCAGAAATTTATAATCAGTTTTTAATAAAAATAAAATTAGAATTAAATAAACTCACGGAGGTTACGATATGGCAGGTTCGAAGTTTTTGCACATTCATCGCTGTCGGCTACTTTGATAAGGCACAGTTCTTTCAGAGGCCTGACGACTTTGACCACTTTTGACCTCTTCGCTTTGGCAATTTTGAAGAGATTTTGTAGCTCTTCTCGATCTTGATCACTTCTACAATTAATTTCAATAATTAATCATCATCAATTAATCTTATCTATACACAAAGCACAATTACAATAATATAACTTCTTTAAGATATAAATTTTTGAGCAATTTATTTTCTGAAGACGCAAACAAAAATAAGTTGAACAATTTTCAAAATTCACAATTGAAATATCATATAAAACCAAATAATAAATTTAAACTTTGTCTGACCCCTGATATTAATGAAAAAAGGAAAATAATATGTATGTAGTTAAATTTTTTTTTGAAATAGCTGTTATCGTTCTAAAGATTAATTTCTGCTCTGACAAATTATTTGGTTATCAAAAATCAAAATATTTAAAGTTATGTTATTAAAAATTTAGTTACCTTTGTGCTGACATTGTTTTTGGTTCTCACTTCCTCGCAAATCAGTTTTCCGCAAAGGACGATCAGGTACAGTAACGGTGCGTGAGGTTTGTGACCGATTTTTGTCTAAAGCTGACAACAGTGCTCGTTCGCTCTCGTTGATCCGGAAAACCTTGAAAAATTATAATAAAACTAACGTGAAAAGGCACGAGGCAAATGCATTTATTCATAAAACAATACAGACAGAAAGCCTATTATAAAGTTCTCTTTTCAAGGAAATATGGCATGAAACAATATGCAGGCAGGAAACAATAAATTTAAAATTATTTAAAAGACACTAAGGTGATTTCATCCTCTTTAAAAGTACTTTTTGAAATAAAAATCCTTAAAAAGTCACTACTATTAAAATTTCATTAAAGACGTGCATGAATAATGAATCATCGAGAAATAAAATAAAATTAATGCCACACGTTTTCGTAGCTATAATATTGAATTATGGTCAAAGAAATTCATTTGATGGACCTTTATTGGCAAGTTTGAAGAACATGGAAAATTAGACAACTTGCGCGGCATCAGCGTTGCGTCAGTTGCATACTTATTTTTTTAAGGTAAGAAATCGAGGACTAGCAAAAAGTTGGCAAATTGTTGAAAAATTAAAAATTAGCGCGCGCCGAGATTATGGGTTGCGATTAAGATGAGCAGATTGCATTGGGAGATCTTCAGAAAAGGCGGCGAGCGAGTTTTGAGGCAATCACTATGGACACTACGACTTTCTTGAGGCCGTTGTCCTCCGAGGGTTACGCCAGACAAACGGAAAACACCGGCGGGTTGCATTAAATACTCTCATATTTCTTTATGAACACAAAAAACTTTAAAAATATTAAAAAAAAAAAAAAATGTCAAACACGCAAACTCACAGTTCTGATTCACTGTGGACCGTAAATTTACAACCTACGGACCACACTGAATTCAAATATAAAGATTTTACTCTCTTGAACAATTTATTGCAAATTAATTTTTATTAGTTCGCTCGAGATTCCGGCAAAAACCCGCTGAGACATCTTCTGAATGGGCCAAGATCAACCACATCAGTTGAGAATAAAATTTTCAAAATCTAGAGAAACTTCACTATTTGACAAGCCACATGTGAGCAATTTCCAACGTCGCTGATCTTTTTGAAATCACTCATTTAAAACAAAAAAAATCACCTTATTCATAAATTTATAGAGAAAGCCTGGACGAGGCTCATATTTTTCTTGAAAATCTGCACCATATTTCACTCTGCATGTTAAAATTTCTTCTCATTATTCTTATTAAAGACCAAGAAATTCTGGTCATCAAAAACCGTCGTGAACCTTTTTAATACATACATTTTTTTCAAATGCTGCTGTGTTTAAACACATCAATGTCATCAATTATTAATTAATTAGTTAAATTATTAATTAAAAATAAATAATTTAAATGTTGAATTAATGTTTAAATTATTAATTAATAATTTAAATCCCTCAATCACCAAAATTCAACCTTTTTATTTAGATATTTGCCCAATTTTTATACAGTTGAATCTATTAAATTTCCTTCATTGCTATTAATCGCAGGAGGGAGAAAGTCACTGACCTCTGGGGCTCTACGCCAGACATGAAGGAATTCCTTTTCTTCAAGGAGCGCGCCGGCGGGGTGAGGAATTCAGAATTGGTGAATTCTCTCTCCCTGCTAGACATGACATGCTATAAATGCATGCAGCGGAGCATGAATCACTTAATCACAGACTAACTGTTAGTCTACTGTGCACTTAATGTACAAGATTGAACATGAAAAGAGACGAATTTATGTATCACAAGAGAGAGTGAAAAACCAATTTTCAGCGGAAAATTCCTACTTCGCCACATAAATACATTATTATAGAATAATAAATTCATTAATTACCAAATAAATTAATGAAGGCTGGAAATCAGCAGAGTAAAATGATCGTTTAACATTAAAGTCCAAGAATGATTTAACTTCAACCTTCAAGAATTAAATAAGATCCGCCGAGATCGAGCCGAGCAATAAGTTATCCCTATTCAAATGGCGGCGGGGCAGATTAGGCTCGAAAAAAACCGAATTTGCAAAATTGAAAAGCAAGTGGCGAGTGGCGAGGTAAATTTTGCATTGCCCACGCTTGAATTGACCGTAAAAACACGTCGAGGGCAAAATGGGACAATTAAAGGGTACGGGGGTCATGAACTTACCACGTGTTCTCGCTGCACGTGCGAGGGAGAAGAAGTTGGATCCTTCAAACCGCTGCACAACAACCGTTGCCTGCAAACACTGCTCAAAGTCAACTGGACAGGACACACTGGACAGTCTGGTTTCTTCGGCTCTAACCGGAATATCGATTTTAAGACAAAGTTTGTGAGCCTCGATGCGCTGAACGATCACTTCGGAATTCGCAACCAACTCTCACAGCTCACAGACACGGATCACGGATAAAATAAAAGACGCCAGCAGCAACGCAGCATTTCAATGACGTCAAACACGTGATCGACTCTTATTCGCGCCCTTATTTGAAGCGACACTAGCGACACATCCGTTTACGCTGCGGCAATTGCTGAAGCTTGTCGTTGGAGTCCTTGGTGTGCTGTGCTGAACAATTTGTCTGTCTTCGATAAAAAAAAACTCACTAGAATGGCTGCGATTAGTCTGCTAAACCCGAAAGCCGAGTTCGCTCGAGCTGCTCAGGCGCTGGCCATCAACATCTCTGCGGCCAAGGGCATCCAGGACGTGATGAAAACCAACCTGGGCCCGAAAGGAACACTGAAGATGTGAGTGTCGCCGGTACCATGTGACCTCATGGTCTGGAACCTTCCGCCGCTTTTCGCCTCAAATTTCAGCATTTCTGCAGTTGCACTCATGAATTTTCGTTCGCAGGCTCGTGTCAGGCGCCGGAGACATCAAAATCACCAAGGACGGAAATGTTCTTCTGCACGAAATGGTAAAAAAAACTACTTAAAGCCTAAAGTTGTCAAACACGCCCACACAAATTTTGTCCCAATGTTTCTAAATTTGCGTATTTTCATCTAAATCCGCAATATTTCTGTTAAAACCAAGCACTAACTTGTAGTATCAATCTTAAATAATACAAATGTTTCCTCTTTATTGGTAATTAAATTAATTTCAATTCAAATTTCAGCAAATCCAACACCCGACAGCTTCGCTCATTGCCAGGGCGTCGACGGCCCAGGATGACATGACCGGCGATGGCACTACTTCCACTGTGCTTGTCATTGGAGAGCTGCTCAAGCAGGCTGACGTTTTTATCTCGGAAGGTCTGCACCCTCGCATCATTGCCGAAGGGTTCGACCAGGCCCGCAAGAAGGCCATCGAGATTTTAGACAGCATCAAAATTCCTGTCGAAATCACCAAGGAAGGCCTCTCAGGAGTCTCAAGAACCGCCCTCAGAACCAAACTCCACTCGAGCCTGGCAGATCAGCTTAGCGAAGTAAGAAAACAAATTTAATTTTGTAGTTTTTTTATTACTTAAAATTTCAATCTTCTAGGTTTGCGTTGACGGGGTTTTGAGTATCTACAGCAAAGACCGCCCTCTCGACCTTCACATGGTTGAAATCATGGAGATGCAGCACAAAACCGAGTTGGACACAAAGTTGGTCAGGGGAATTGTGATGGACCACGGTGCAAGGCACCCAGACATGCCCAAGCGAGTCACCGAAGCCTTTATTCTCACTTGCAATGTGTCTATGGAGTACGAAAAGAGGTAAAATAATTTTAAATCAAACAATTCACTTTTAAACATGCATCAATCATTTCTTATTTATATTATTTCAAATCTGTTTGCCGTATATAAAATGGATACCTTCTGGGTGATTCTTTAATGTAATTTTGATATTGATTGATTTTAGTGAGGTTGCCTCTGGATTCTTTTACAAGAGTGCCGAAGAGCGAGAGAAGTTGCTCAGGGCCGAACGTGACTTCATCGAGAAGAGGGTTCAGAAGGTCATTGAACTTAAGAGGGCGGTTTGTTCTGGCAACAAGAAGGGATTCGTTGTCATCAATCAAAAGGTTGGAGATTTGGTATTGAGCTTTAGAATTAAATCTAAGTAAATAATTGCAGGGAATCGATCCCTTCTCTCTGGACGCCCTGGCCAAAGAAGGCATTTTGGCTCTGCGAAGAGCTAAGAGACGCAACATGGAGCGTCTGACGCTTGCCTGCGGTGGGGTCGCATTGAACAGCTTCGACGAGATGCTCCCCGAACATTTGGGATATGCTGGCCTTGTCTACGAACATGTTCTGGTGAAATAATTTTTAGCCGAAAAGTTACAGTAGTTTTATTTCTGTAATTAATAGGGAGAAGATAAGTTTACATTCGTTGAGGAGTGCAAGAATCCTCAGAGTGTGACCATTCTCATGAAGGGCCCCAACAAGCACTCGCTTGTGCAGATGAAGGACGCCGTCAGAGATGGTCTTCGAGCCATCAAGAACACCATTGATGACGGATGTCTTGTTCCTGGTGCCGGTGCTTTTGAAGTCACAGCCAACAAAGAGTTATTGGCTTTCAAAGACACAGTTTCAGGAAAAACTAAGCTCGGAATTCAAGCTTACGCTGAAGCCCTTCTTATCATTCCTAAAATTCTCGGTAATTTTGGTTTATGAAGTTTTAATAATATAATAAATTTTTTTAATTTGTAGCACAAAATGCTGGTTTCGATACTCAGGACAGTCTTGTGAAACTGCTGGAAGAGTCTAAGAACACCGGTTTGCCAGTTGGCTTGGATTTGACAACTGGTGAAACTATGGTGCCTGCAGATGCTGGAATCTTTGACAACTATATCGTGAAAAAGCAAATAATCAACTCTTGGTAGGTTGAGAATAACACATTATCAAAAGTTGCTAATCATCTTAATTTCAGCACTGTGATTGCAAGCAACTTGCTGCTGGTCGATGAAATCATGAGGGCCGGCATGTCATCACTCAAGGGCTAGAAAATCTCCACCAACTAATACCTGATTTTGCCTTCAGCTAATTTGTTGCTATTTAACTTTATTTTCATTCACAAACGTATTTTCCCGTCACAACGTTCTCATTTTGCTTTAAAATAAAATAACTCAAAAATTTAATAAGGATCCTGATTTTATTTTTTCACACGATGTCTTTGAGCATTCTTGCTTTTACCTTTTTGGTGCTCCGTTCTGCTGGCTTGGTAATAAAGTGCTTGCCGAACACCGAGATCGTCAAATCTTGAATAGTAATTTCAAACAAGGAGGACTGTTTTGGAATGGCTGCAAATTTAAGTGAATGAGTAACTTGACAAAAATATAAAAAAAGCCTTACATTTGACCATATTATTCTTGCAAATAATTTGGAACATATTTTTTGTATCCATCAGAATGATTCCTTGGCTGCCGACCAGTGACGAACATTTAGAACGCACAACCCTGATTACAGCACCATGAAAATCTGCCTTCTGTAGCATTAAGGTTCCTTGCTCCGAAACACCTCTGTTGATATACATTATTTAATTCAAGTTATGCACAGTTTTTATTAAATTACCCTCCATTCCGAATTTCGTCAAGGTTTACATAGCTTTTGATGTAATCAGTCCACAATTTATTTAGAGGTAAATAATCGCTATACTTGAGGCCAGTCTTCGGAAGTTTTCTCAGGTTTAAACTTTTCATCTCTTTGTAAGAAAGTTTTCCTTTTTTCATACGCGTCTTATCCTGTTTGATCTTCTTTTTGTGCATTTCCAGGGGAAATCTCTGTAAATCAATTGATATTTTGTCACTTCATACATAATTTGAATTAACTTTTTGTTAAACCTTTCGTAATTCTTCATCGATACCGCCTCTGTCACCAAAAGGGAGAACACTTTCGATGAATCGTTTTGTTTCACTGTGCTTAATATTAATCTGTTTTTCCAGCGGCTGTCCATCCAGTGTAAGATAAAGATCTGCAAATTGGCGGATTGATTCTGTTTATCAAATAGATTTAAAAAAAATTATCCTCACAAACATCTTTATAAACTTATTGTTAGTTAGTATGTAATACAACATAAGCATCACGAATTTGTTACATATGTTTATAGCATTAATTACAAACCTTTCACACTCTCCATTTTCCAATGTTTATGAATTTGCGTTGATATCGTCGTTTTAAGTAAGTTATTTTGAAAAAAAAATAACAGATTTGCAGGGCAATATTTATTTAAATTAATGTTCTAATTTGTAAAAACAACAAAAATCGGCCATGCCTCTACAAACACCAGCTGAGTTTAGAACTTTTAAATTTTGCCGCACTTTCCACGCCCCGAATAACGAAATGGCTTTGTGAAAGATTCTGATATAAATACCGTTATTTAATAACTTTGGTGATTTATTTGAATGAAAAAAACCAATTTGTATTTCAAACATTAAAAATCGGCTGATTTCGAGCCGAAAAAGCACAGGAAAAGCCGAAAACAATGAGTCAACAATGCGACGGCGCATGCGCACTGCATTGCGACTGCGACTTCGGCCTTGAACGAGTAGAAAATAGCAATCGTTTCTCTTGCTGGGGTTTTGGTCATTGTTAGGAGTATTTTTCGTTAAATTTCCCACCTAGACACACACATGTCAGAATCCCAATCATCTCTTCTACTCCGGAAACAACTTTCAGGTAAGGAGCGCGGAAAAGCCGTTGGGAAAGCTCGCGTTCTCGGCGAAAGTTTAGTGTTGAAATTTTAGCTGTGCGTAATCATGTCTCTCGCATCAGCAGCTGATCCGAATCCGCATTTCCCGTGAATTTCTCGAGCCCTTTGCGACAATCTGAGGCGTGTTTGCCCGTTTTCGCAAAGCGCCGTCCCCCGAGTATCTCGTTCGACCCTTATTTTCCTCCCCCCGTTCGATCCGAAACGCCTGCGGCGTTCGGTCGCGGTTAATAAATTTAAATTGTATGTACATGATGCTCATGTATGCAAAGCCATTCAGACATATTTGTTTTATATTTTTTGTTATCAGCCTCCTCGTGTTCTCCAACTGTCAAAGCATCTGCATTGATCGATGAATTTTTAAAGCAGGTTTATTCGTTTTTCAGAGTTGAATAAAAACCCCGTCGAAGGGTTTTCTGCAGGACTGATCGATGACAATGAGATTTACAAATGGGAAGTCTTGATCATAGGACCTCCTGACACCCTCTAGTGAGAAAATTCACCTCGTTTCTTTCCAAATCATTTCATTTTTTTTTCTGCTTTCAGCGAGGGTGGATTCTTCAAAGCTCACCTCTATTTCCCAAAAGAGTACCCTCTCAGACCTCCTAGAATGAAGTTCATCACAGAAATTTGGCATCCGAACAGTAATTTTTTCCTAACATTTTCCCAAATTAAGTTCAAGTTTGAATCTTTCTATAAAATTTAAAATTTTCAGTTGATAAAAATGGTGATGTCTGTATCTCAATTCTCCACGAGCCTGGCGATGACAAGTGGGGTTACGAAAAAGCATCTGAAAGATGGCTGCCTGTGCACACAGTCGAAACCATCCTGATATCTGTCATCTCAATGCTAGCTGACCCCAATGACGAAAGTCCGGCAAACGTAGATGCAGCGGTAATATTATTTGAAAATAATAATACATGCTTCTCCATTTTATTCTATTCAAAATACTAATGAGGCATTTTGTATTTCATGTTAATAGAAAGAGTGGCGAGAAAACTACCCCGAGTTCAAGAGAAAAGTAGCAAAATGTGTTCGCAAGAGCCAAGAGGAGTGCGTGTAGGAATCTTAGGCCGGTGAATTTATCTTCCATGTGATGATGATTCAGAGCGTGCCCCTCCAAACACAACCAACAAGACTTTTTTGTCGTTTGCTTTTTTACTCGGAAAATCACCACTAACTAACTCTGCAAAATATCAGCCGAAAATACATCCAAATTCCTCCTGACAATTCGAACTAAACAATATGTTAATTTTTTTTTCAATTCTTTGCTGCTTGCGTCAGAATAACCCTACACATTTTTCCCCTTAACAATAAGTAACCGAAATTGCCCCCGAGTTGATGGCACGAGCCAATTAACCTCTCCCGTTTTGTACAAAATGCATAATTGGCATTTTTTTTGGTAATGAAAACGTACGTGATCAGCATGGCTCAAACTGGAAATGACAACTGAGTATGAAATTTGTGTGACTGCGTGTCGGCAACTTTTTTTACTAGCCCCAAGTCATCAGTAGCCACCACACAGGATCTACCTCTCTTTCTGCTGGACAAACTTAACAGACGAAAAAACCTCCCGATGACAGGACTCTAATTATGATTCCATTGCTCCACACATACGAACACTACACGCCAATCGGTAAATCATTAATGTATAAAACTGCTGAAAATTTTGTTTGCTGGTAATAAATAATAATCAACTCAGTGCTGCAGCAGCCTTGGTTTTTGTGCTGCGGACATTCTCATTGCATGCTTCGACAAACACACCGCGCACTTGGCGAGGCAAAATGTGCAATAAGCTCTTTGATTTGAAAACTAAAACCGCCTTCGAGGCTTTGATTTAAACTTGGATTAATAACACAGCTTAAATGATGTTCTCTTCGGTAATTATAGCCAATTAAAAATCCAATCTCTGAGGTATATTCCAAGCCTTATTCAATCTCTGCTCGACCATGTTTTATTTTTTCTTTTGCATTTTTATTTAAATCTGATGTTTGAGAAAGTGACTTTGTAACTGAAAATCTTTGAAGAGGATTAATTATGAATGAGTAAATAAAGCTTAAGTATGCTCTTTCCACTGAAAGGCTTTCACTCAATAAGCAACACCTCAATAAGTTAAAAAATTTCACGATGCAAAGATATTTTCATTTTCAGAATTTGTACACGGAGCGTACCTTTCATTTTTCCTGTTAACTTTTTCCATTGAAAAAAGTTTCCAGCTAGGTGATCATTTAAATGTAAAAGTAAAAACTATAATAATAGTTTTGAGTGATTATATTGTTATTAAGTTAATTTATCTTAAGTAAAAGCGCTGCATCAATTATTAACAAGTTTCCAAGTTAATTTTATTTTAATTTCAACTAGAGCAAAAAAGTCTTTTTATATTAACAATTTAATCCTTCTCGTGTTCATGCAGAGCATTAAATTAAGCAAAAGTTATGAGAAGGAATTTCAGAATGATTTCTGGAAATTCAGCTTCTTTGGCACTGAACCCCCACAGGACCCATCTTTAGGGTGGGCTTCATATTAACAAAACTGCATTTCAGATCCCCACTGGCTTTGTCACTCTTTCTTCAAGCCAAAGAATATTCTTAAGCGGAGCAACCTCAGAATTTATGAATTCTTTTAAAATTTTATTAATAATTTAGCTTTCAAATCTGGTTTTAGGAATATAATTTATAAATTTATATCAAAAGTCTGATAGATTAATTTAATTTAAGAGGCATTTTATTTTTTATTAATACAAGATTATTAATGAAGTTTGAAAAATAAATGGGCAGGCGCTGGTTTAGTCCTTCTCAGCAATAACAGCAAGATGACGATCAATCTCTTGCTCAGAAAGTTTCCTGAGGAAATGGAAAATTATTAAATCAGTCACACTTAAGATGCAAGTAAATTGTCTTACTGGAATTTCCTGTTGTTAGCAGTTGAGACGACCCCAACTTCAACTTCGTTGGGTTTGAAGTCCACAGACAAGACAGTGGAAAGGCAAGTTATAGCCAGCTGGATTGCCTCGTCACCAGAATAAGTCAGTTTCTTTTTGAGCTTCTTTTCGAGGAAGGAGTTTGCCTCGGTCTGCTTGGAGCCAGCGCTGGTGGCTTTGTACCCCGAGAAGTAACCAGCAGGGTCAGTTTTGAAAACGCAGGGGCCAAGCTCATCATCATAGCCGATCAAAATCATGCCTGAAAAAGAGATTTTTATAACCAATAACCAAATTCCTCAAAGACATCTCACTGCAGCCAAGAGGTCGCATTTCAGCGTTTTGTGTGTAGACCTGGTTGATGTCGGCAATTCGGCGACACAGGACATCAACAGGCATCTCATAGCCGTTCTTGTATCTGAAGTTTGATGCCTCGTAGCGCGATCGCTGCACTTGGGCCAGACTGTCGGCTACAATTACAAGCAACAAAAAAATTAGAACCATTCAAAGCAATTTAATTTTCTTATAGTACCGATCATGCCAGTCATCACACATCCAACTCCTTCAGTCAGCTGGAAAAGGTGAGTCACACTTTTGGGATCCATAAGCTTATCCTGAAAATTAGATTAATGGATTTTCGGGTTTTGATAATTTCTCAAAACTATCTTACAGGCACTTTCTTCTGCGTGGCCACAACCGCAATGTCAGTGCCCCTGATGGCAACTGAGGTGAGTCCACTCTGGTTGATTGCTTTGAATGCATATTCTGGAGGAAAAATTGCGTGTATTTAACACAACAGTGAAGATCAAAACTTTTAAGTTTTGGGCTATATAGCCGATGATGCAAAAAGCTTAGTCATGGCATACCCGCTCAAGTTTGATGCAAAAATTTGGTGCCAAAAGGCCATTCAAGATAATAAAATTATGAGAATTTTGAAAGAAACATTAAATAAGAGTGCAAAATTATGATGAACGTACCAACTTGATACAATCTTCCCTCGGGAGAAAAGATTGTAATATGCCTGTCAAAACCGGCACTGCTTGCGCGAGCCATGTTTGTTTCTTCGCTAAATAATAATTTTCATTTGTTTCGTGACGTCATCAGTTGCGAGATACACTCACTGCTGCCAACTGAATGTTGATAATCTTTCTTTTCTGTCAACAGACGTTAAATCAATAAATTGAAGAGGAAAATTTAAAATTTAAATTCTAATTTTTCAAATTAATGAAATCACGTGTAATGTATTATGATCGGGACCAATCGGGAAGAATAATTGCATTTCTTCAATTTTATGTTGGCAGAACTTGCTGCCTTTGCTTTTGCCAGCTGGAAGTGGAAAGTAGAATCAAAAACATTGCGTAAAATAATAATAAATTGAAGTTTCTGCAACCTAGGATGCAACATTGAAAATAAGAAGAACCTGGAATATCGTAATTATTTAATGATTATTATGAAATGGTTAAATAATGTTGTAAATTTACGATAGTAATAATTCCAAAATTATGGAAAAACAATTTAAAACACCCATTTTTATGATTTTTACATTACATATTCGTACATAATTATTCCTATTGTGCTAAAACTGAGAGCTTACATAACGCTATGCACTCATTTAAAATAAATTCTTTGATGCAGGGCTCAACCTAATACATCTCAAGCTTTGAGGGATGAGAATGGAGGACTAACTTCTGCAACTTCCAAGCTTTAATGCCATTCATTTTGCAAGCCATGTCCAACGCAAGCCAGCAACAAGGCCCCAATGCTGCGTCGCCTGTGGTCATCGCAATTGTATGTCATTTTTTTTATGCTTCAAAACTTTCCACTGACAAATTTATCAACAGGACACCCCTGATTTGGCGCCTCCGTCAACTTCCCAGGCACAGAACTCGGCCTCTCCGAGCGGAGGCATCAGGGTGATCATCTCGTCCCTGAAAGCGTCCGCAGGTCCAAACTATCCACCACCGCCAACCTATGAAGAGGCACTTGATCCAAATGGTACATAGAAAACGTCAAATTTTAAATTATAAAAAATTTAATTGGTGGAAATTGTTTAGCTTTGCCGCCGCCTGCTTATGACTCGCTCTTTGGTCAAGTGCAAACTGCACACCAATCTTCTGACGGAGTGACGGAATTCGTCAAGAACCTCACCATTCTCCTCTTTGGAACAGGTGATGAGATGAATTTAAAAAAATATTTACTTCTTCTTAACTTATTTCTGCAGTCGGCTGCTTGGCCTGCATTGGTCTGGCCGTGGTGGTTCCTTTTGCCATGGTTGTGATCGGAACCATCTATTACAACCAGTGTCCCGCAGAACCCAACATTCCACTCTACCTGGTCGTCGGAGGTTTGTTGCTTTATTAAAATTGGGTTTCTTTACTTAATTTTCTTGCTTTAGGGGGAGTGACACTCTTGAACAACCTGCTGGGCAACTTCAGAATTGAGCGAAATGAGCAGAACAACGAAGTGTCTCTGCAGCGCAGAAAGTCTCCGGCCAAGGCGTTCATCACCACCTTCATGTTCATCTGGTTTGTGCTCGGCTCGTTTTGGGTCTACAAGCACTACATGCCCAGCTTTGACCCGATGGACAGGAACTACTGCCACCCCACTGTCTACTTGTTTGCGTTCTGGGTCATCACCTCGTCCTATCTGATTCTGCTCTTTCTGTCCCTCTCGATATTCTGCATTGCGTTCATGGCCGTTGGAGCTGCGGAGCAAATTCAACAGCAGGCCTCCAGCCGCAGATGAGTCCGTCAAAGAGCACTTTTGTTGTATTTGAAGAATCTTAAGAATATCCACTGCGAGCTGCATTTCACTCAATCGTTAATAAGTTGTTGTAAATGTTTTACCAATTCTCGGAATTCCTAAGTATAGAACGTGTAAGTTGAGTTGTGACTTTGATTAGACTTTTTCGTCATAAATAATCGTAAATCCTGAGATTGAGGCTAAATCACACATTCTTATATCAGATAATTGCTTAAATCTAACGCCATGTGTTTATTGACTGGATAATCGGATAATCATTAGTGTATTCGCACGAGATGAAATGGATTGCATCAAATGCATTTTCTCTTCAAGTGTGTGCCCATTATTGGTCCTTTTCCCACCATTCGCAGTTATAACTAAATAGCAACCTATTTTAGCTTTAGACACCCGTTGTACACCTAGTTGTGTTCAATAAATACTCTATCTATTTTATAATATCTTTTGTCTACTGAATAAGAGAAAAAAGTGTGTTTATTGTGAACTGATGGTAATTTTAATATAATCATATGTATATAAATACAAATTCACGTGTTTTCATTACTACATATTTGAAGAGTTGAACCATGTCAGGCTCTCTGAAAGAAAAGTTAATTAATATTATAAATAATTTTAACCCCCCTGGCCCTGGCACTTGCGCAGCAGCAGCAACTAAGGAAGAGGGAGGAGTCAAATCACAGAATGTAAACAAATAACAACTACGGCGCAAGAAGAGTTGCAAATATTATTAAAATGGATCAAATTGCAGGATAAGTTGGCGGCATCAATATTGGCAGGTTCCTTCCATGTCGATGTTGAGCTTCATCAGCAGTAGGTCAGCACAGTTTATCAAGTCATGTAATTATTACTTATGTTTGTGAAATATTGCAGAAGTGCCGGTGGTGACTGAAAGAAAAATCGTGACCTCGCCTTTCAAATTGTACATTTTCTTGTCTTTCAACAAGAAAGCGGCATTATGTCTCTTCTGCATGATCTGCTAGATCTTCAAATTGGAATCGGCAACAAAAGCGTGATTCGAAAGAGGGAGAAAATCATCAAAAAGCTGATCACGTCGCCTTGCCGAGAGTTCAGGAGCACCGACTCGATTTTCAATCGAGGCTCCAACATCTTTACATTTCTCCATTGTGGACGGCTTTTCCGCCAGAAGGATAAAGGTTTAATTAGCATATCACATAAATATGAACAAAAGAAAATTAATTTCTTGATTAAAATTTGCAGTGGTCCAATGTCGCAGTGCTTACCCAAAACGAATCGACTCTGCAAAGGAAGTTTCATTTGAACACGAACAACTTTACAACTTCTCATACAACTTTAAGTGCAAAGACTTGGTGGTTTGGAGTCCTGACTCTCAGATCTCCACAGAAAGACTTGTCCAGTTAGGAGGTTTTTTTAGAATTATAAAGTATTTTTTATTTAAAATAACTAATATTTTTCTTTCTCAGAAAAGCACACCACTTCCATTGTGTACCTGAAAGACTCACAATTTTTGGTTCGTCAGTGCTGTCTGAGTGGAAAAATCAAGGAAAAAGTTTTCTTGTCAAACACAATCAAATTCAATGAAATGACAACAGATTCAGAATCGGACACAATTGCTCTGAAAAGTACAAATATGAAGGACAAGTCTATAAAGGATCCAGATGCAGTCTTTGCTATTGCATTGTTTTCCTCTCCACCTTTAAGATTTGTTGCAATGTTTGAGGTAAATAATATTTGAAATATTGAAACAAAATAATTTAAATTTAATTGTGCCTTCAGGTGAAAAGATCAATATTTGGGGATAAAATTCAGGACTGCGGAATTGGGCAGGGGCTTATTTTCATCAGATACACTGATGAGCGTGTTGCTCTCTATTCTTTAGAGACCATTCTAGCTGAGGTAATTTATTATTTGTATTTATATCTATAGTATTTATTGACTTTTTTGGTCACAGAGTATACAAACCAAAGTTGAGGACATGAGCAAGATTGAGCGCTTGAGAATTGGCAGAGAACCTCACGGACTTCCCATGAATGCCGTCATCAAAAGGAAAATCCCTCCACTTTTTGAAATCAACACTTGCCAGGGCGAGCTAGTCATTGGGAGTAATCCCTGGTACTTCATCACCAAAACCAGTCCTAACGAGCTCCAGGTAATTAAGTTGTTTTTTGTAAATGCATGTTTTATTTAACTTTTCCGATTCAAGCTTCGTAGTTTGGACACCAAACAGTTGGTGACGACAGTGGAGTTCTCAAGATTCTTTGCCGGGATGGAAGTCGAGCACATGTTCTTCCACCCTGACGACACAGCTAAAGTGATTCACCTTCGCAACAACAAGCTCAGGCATGCCTGTTGCCTTAAATAGTTTTCTTTTGCTTAAAAATATAATTTTCCAGCATTCACCACATTAGCAAAAATGGCCTTCAACCATTCCTGACCCACGTCGAAGAGGTGCCAAAATGTTTTACTCCGAGCGCAAGTGCCAATGTTACAAGATCAGGCCGGACCGTGCGCAAAAGTTTGGTGGCCCGAGAAGCTCTGGAGTCTCAGCTTTTGGAGGAAGACGGAACCCTGACCCACGATCTATCCATCAGCCACGACCCCGAGTCGAACATTTTTGCAATCTTCGCAATCACTTATGTTGGACCTGAACAGTTGAAAATGCTCCATGTGAGATTGATCCTTAAAAATGTTTCAGCATCTTTTTAATTTTAATTGTTCACTCAGGTCACACTCTATGACAATGCAACGGGGCAGGTTTTGAGAAGAATTCCACTCGACACGGTTCATAATTCCTGTCTCTTCAACGTCACATGCAATCTGACTCTGGATGGTGTCAACATGCTGGCCGAGGTGAGAGACAGAACTTGCATGCACGGCACATTGCTCAACTTGGTCGAAAACTTATAAAGTTAAAATTCTTCAGCAACTTCACAAGACTGTCCTAACTTATAGTATAAAAATATTGAACTTGACAAATTCTGAATCAATTTACAAAATTTAGAGCTTAATTCATCTCAAGTAAATATCCCTTGCAACATGAACTAGGGACTGACTAAAAAGAAAAGTCAATTCGCACCTTCGTCCCGAATCTGACGGCGTGGATCATAATGGTGCGGAAGTAAACTTTGACCGCCGCCTGCACTACTCGTATGATTATAAAACTTATGTTTTTTTTTTTTTTTAATTTTTAATGTGTCTTAAAAATGTTGGCAATCAAGCGTGTTTTGAAAGAGAAACACAAATTATTGCTGCAAATTGCGTTCTCAACTTTTTTTGTTTCCTTATTTTATAAAACTTGCCAGGGTTTGACCAGAAAACTAAATCCATTAAAGAAAGTCAATGAAAATCTTTTCTCATTTTATTCCTTCCAATCCTTCCTTATTTGATTGGGTTCCAACTTAGGCAGCCGGCATACATTCATGTCGTGCCGGTTGCATACTTTCCAGCCAATTATTTTTTTACTGCCGAAGAACCTCCAGCTCGCGCGGGGTGAGTTTGACGAGTCTGGCACACTCGTCGAAGAGTTCGGCGGCCACTTTTGGGTCTTGCGCGTTCTTTGCCATTTCCGTCTGCTTGCCGTCCACAAAATACTTTCCGCTCACGCTCTGCACTTCCTCCGAGGAGGCCAAGAACACACTTGTTGCGGCTCCTTCCTCCACCGTCTTAAAAGAAAAAACAGCTCAATTAATTGAAGTTAAAAGTTAAAGCAGAGTTTTTCGTTTACTATGGTAATTCCTTTGTAAACGAGGGAGAAAAAGAAATTGAAAATTCCCGGCAGTCTCGCTCTGATGCCGGTGTTGACCACTCCAGGGTGCAAGCAGTTGCAGGTCACTCCTGATTATAAATTTAAAACTAATTATTGTCCAACAACGATCTCAATTTAAAAAGCTCATTTAAATTTTTTTATCGGAAACAACTGACCAGATCCGTGAAGTCTTTTGGCGAGTTCTCGGGAAAAAAGCGCGTTGGCCAATTTTGCGTCCTGGTATGCCCTCCTGAATCCAGGGTAGTACCTTTGGTAATCGACGTTGTCCAGCTCGATTTTGCCGCTGGCGTGCCATCGAGAGGAAACCACCACGACTCTGCTCGGCGCCGACTTTTTCAAAATATCTGAGGAAAAATTGAAATTTTTTTTTTTACTTAGTCAAAATCTCTTTACCTAAAAGCAGAATCGTGAGGAGGAACGGGCCGAAGTGGTTGATTTGCATCTCCTGCTGCAGTCCGTCCGCGGTGCGTTTGTTCTGCAGACCGACGGCGGCCGCGTTGTTGATCAAAACGTCCAGTCGTGTCTCGTTCGACGTGAATTTGCGCACGAAATCCCTAACCGAGTCCAGACTTCCCAAATCCAGCTTCATCGCCGTCACCTTTTCATTCCCAGAGCTCGCAATGATTTCATCTTTTTTCAGTTAATTAATTTAATTTTAATTTCAAAGTGGATTTACTTCTTGCTTCGTTGGCGTTTTTCAAATCTCGACAGGCTAAAATCACCTTAGCGCCTTTCTGCGCCAATACTTTTGCAGTTTCTTTTCCAATACCTCCAAAAAATTAATAATTGTGAAAATAAAATAATTTAGTTTAAATTAAAAACAGACCTCTGTTCGCGCCTGTTACTATCACGACTTTTCCTAACATCTTTTTGGAATTATTCACTTTTAATTTTAATTGTTTATGAATTCTTACAGTCAACTGGATCCAGTTTCTTATCAGTTATCACGTTTTTAGAGGTAGGGGTGATAAAAAAAACCCGACGGATCTTTTTTACTGTTTAATTAATTTTCTTTTAAATTAAAAATACAATCAAATTTTTATACACTTGACTTCCTCTTGCGAAACTTTGACCAACTCGACGCATTTGTCCCAGAACTTCCTAGCTAAGTCCTTGTCCAACGCGACTTTGTTCATTTTTCCCTCCTGGATTAAATTAATTTTTTTTAAATGCAACGAATTTCATAATAAAATAAAAAACCTGGCAATCGACGAAATATTTGCCTGTGACGCCTTCAACTTGTTCTGAGACGGAAAGATGAATCAGTGTTTGCGCGCCTTCCTCTGGGGTCTTTTAAATTCAATAAAATTTCATTAAAATTTATTTATTTAATCTCATTTTTTCTTTTACCTTGATCAAAAATCCAAATAACAATTTCATGATGAAGTACAAAACTGCTGGTAGTCTCCTTCCCACTTCTGTGTTGACAACTCCAGGATGCACGCTGTTGCAAATAATGCCTTAAATGCAAAATTGTTACATTTTATATTTATTGATTGTAAGTTTTTGATCAAACCTGTGCCTTGCAGTCTTCTGGATAATTCGTTCGAGAAGATGACGTTGTACAGTTTTGCGATTCTGTACAGGGCCATGCCCCCGGGGAACTTTTTCTCGCAGTTGACGTCGTCCAAATCCACGTATCCATTCAAATGAGCCAGCGAAGAGACGACGACGACCCTACTAGGGGCACTTTTCTCCATTGCGTCTTGAACGAAAATTGGTTAATTGAGGTTTGATTAAAATTTAAAAATACCAAGCAAAAGAAGTGTGAGCAGAAAAGGCCCAAAGTGGTTGACCTGCAACTCCTGCTGCATTCCGTCCTTGGAGATTTTGTTCTCCAGGCCGACGGCGGCCGCGTTGTTCACCAAAATGTCCAGGCGTTTTTCGCTGCCCAGAAATTTCTTGACGAAATTTCGCACCGAGTCGAGCGAGCCGAGGTCAAGAAGGATGACCTCAACTTTTTTGTTGCCAGTCGTTTTGATTATGTCGTCTGAAGTTTCAAAACAATTTTTTAATCTTATTTTATAAAAAAGAAAAAATCAACCTCTTGCAGCATTTGCTCTTTGCAAATCGCGACAGGCCAGGATAACTTTCGCACCTCGACGCGCCAAATCACGGGCAGCTTCCTTTCCAATGCCTAAAATTATTTTTACGAATCAAGTTAAACTCTTTTTTTCCATTTCAAGTTTATTTTTTAATAAAGTCAGTTGTTGAAATAGTTTTGCTCAATTTGAAGCTTCTTCTCTGTAAAATAATAAATAATATATTTTATGACGCCGGTTTTATAATTAAGTTTATCTGTAAATTTGTTAAGTTTCGTTTACGTCAAAATGAAGTTGGAGAAATTTATTTGAAGTGCAATATTCTCCTTAAGGTGTTGTTAGCGATTATCAAGGGACTATGAATATTTTTTGAGTAATTTTTTTCTTAAAAATCACATTTAATTACATTACACCCAGGAATTAAATATTTTGTTGCCAACCCTCCGGTGTCGGTATGCAGCAGCAAACGTAGGGAAATTGATTTTTTGTTCTCGCTTATAACTTTGTTTCTTTAATCCTCAGGAGTGCCAGCTCCTCAGGAGTGCCAGCTCCTCAGGAGTGCCAGCTCCTCAGGAGTGCCAGCTCCTCAGGAGTGCCAGCTCCTGGAAGTGCACTCCTGATCAGCTGGCACTTCCAGGAGCGCCAACTCCTCAGGAGCGCCGACTCCTCAGGAGCGCCGGCTCCTCAGGAGCGCCGGCTCCTCAGGAGCGCCGGCTTCTCAGGAGCGCCGGCTCCTCAGGAGCGCCGGCTCCTCAGGAGCGCCGGCTCCTCAGGAGCGCCGGCTCCTCAGGAGTGCCAGCTCCTGGAAGTGCACTCCTGATCAGCTGGCACTTCCAGGAGCGCCAACTCCTCAGGAGCGCCGACTCCTCAGGTGAGATAAAAATAAGAAAATTACTGGAGGGGTAGATCTTGAACAGTACAACAACGTAATTTTTCCATACTTGTTATTTTCCGGAAAATTGGCCATTTTCCAAAGGTGTTCACGTTTTGGTCAATTTCTCAACTTCTATGGGAGCTAAAAACAAAACTTTAAGTGATTCTGAAAGCTGATTAAATTTCACATCTTTCTCTTGTGGACATTAACCTTCCAACACTAGCTGCTTTTCCGGAAAATTGAAGTAAAAAAAAACTTATTTATTCACAGGAAGTATGCAACCCGCAACAAAAAGGCTAAATTACCAAAATGTAGCTTGGTTCTTTGGAGAGACAACCCTAAAATATCAAAACTTTTCCTCTAGCCGTTTTTCCGCAATCGCTGATTTTTCCGACCCCTTTTGAGAAAACTAAAACTTTTCCGGAAAGGCATGTGCGATGCATCATTCGATTGGGCACATCAAGCAGATGCGATGAATAAATTTTTATGAAAATCGGATCATTTTTCCAATTTTTAGGGCAATTTTCATTAATTAAAAAAATTTTAAAATTCAAACTGCCCTGAACATTGGAAAATGATCTGATTTTGATAAAAATTTATTTTTAGCATCTCCTTGATGTGCCCAATCGAATGATGTATCGCACATGCCTTTTCGGAAAAGTTTTGGTTTTCTCAAAATGGGTCGGAAAAATCAGCGATTGCGGAAAAACGGGTAGAGGAAAATTTTTGAAATTTTAGGGGTGTCTCTCCAAGGAACCAAGCTACATATTGGCTATTTAGCCTTTCTGTTGCGGGTTGCATACTTCATGTGAAAAAAATAAGTTATATTTTTACTTCAATTTTCCGGAAAAGCAGCTTGTGTTGGAAAGTTAATGTTCACAGCAGAAAGATAGGAAATTTAATCAGCTTTCAGAATCACTTAAATTTTTGTTTTTAGCTCCCATAGAAGTTGAGAAATTGACCAAAACGTGAACACCTTTTGAAAATGGCCAATTTTCCGCAAAATGCATCCGAGATCCTTCTGACCTGACTCGGAAAAATCATATCTACTACCAAATCAATTGTCATGTATTTAGCTTCACGCAGTAATGTTTTTTAGCAAAATCACTATTTTTCAGCACTTATTCAAAATTTGAAAATTTCGAACCCTGTAAATTAGGCAAATTTGAGAATTTTCCAAAATCCTTTGAATCTGTTAGTTAACATACCTAAGGGAACCCCCATACCAAATGTTATCAAATTTGGGTGACCTTTGCTTTTTTTGTCAGGTTGGCAACGAGACAATCGCTGACAACACCTTAAGAATTTAACTTTTCAGATTTTGTTTTTTACATATTGTGCAATGGAAAAAGTTGAAAAAAAGGAGAAATGAGGCCGTTCAAATTTACACTGGCTTTAAATAATTTCCCTCAAATTCTAATTTAAATCATTTGATATTTTTCATTTTCCAAACCTGTATTGGATCCAGTTACGATCGCCACTTTTCCATCCAATCTTCTTTTGCTGACGCACCTGCCGCTGGTCCATTTGTACCAAAATTTGAAAATCAGTGCCCCGACGATAACTGCTGACGGAATTCCGATCAGGAGGTTCTTTAAAGAATGACATCCAAAATTGATTTTAATTATTAACTAACTAAACAACAAACGAACCATATTTTCAGCGTCTATTTTTTTTTTTTTAACTGCGAATTCAGCTCAGAATCGAAAGCGACTGATTGGGTCCGTCCACACGGAAGAACAAAAATTATCTTATCTTATATGATGATAAGCAGTGTAAAGAAATGAACTGTAAAGAGAAACTTCATTTTTATTTCTAGTTGTGAGAAATGAATGCAAACGTTTACATACTTTTATTTTAGGTTTTTAAATGTTAAGATTGGAGATAAAAAAAAATCAGTACATTTATTTAAAGTTTATTTAGTCCTTTATATTTCTTTTGAATTTCCTTTCATCTTTTAGGGGGTTAAATTATATTTTTATACATTTGACCTCCTGTTGAGAAACTTTGACCAATTTGACGCATTTCTCCCAGAACTTCCGAGCCAAGTCCTTGTTCACCGCGTCTTTGTTCATCTCTGCCTCCTGGATTGAATACAATCAAATATTAATAAATAATAAATTATACCGAAATAAACCTTGCAATCGACGAAATATTTTCCTGCGGTGCCTTCAACAGTTTCCGAAACAGCAGCGTGAATCAGAGTTTGGGCTCCTTCCTCTGGGGTCTTTTTAATTTCTATTTTAATTTTTCTTAGCTTCAGCATCAATAAATGGTCACCTTGACCAAAAACCATGAAGCCAGTTTCACAAGAGAGTACAAAATTGCTGGGAGTTGTCTGCCCACTTCTGTGTTAACAGCTCCAGGATGTACACTGTTGCAAATAATGCCTATTTAAATGAAAAGTAAAATATTTATGAAAATTTTGTTTTCTTTCTTTATACCTGTGCCTTGCAGTCTTCTGGATAGCTCATTTGAGAAGATTACATTATAAAATTTTGCGATTTCGTACAATTTGAGGAACCCTGGGTACTTTTTCTCACAATTGACGTCGCTCAAATCGACGTATCCTCTCAAATGGGACCGAGAGGAAACGACCACCACCCTGCCAGGTGCACTCTTCTTCATCAAGTCTTAAATTTTAAACAAAAAATTAATCGTTAATAATTACGAAATTTTATAAAGAAAAACTGGATTTTCTTTTAAAAGAAAAACAAATACCCCGTCATTTTAAAGGAAAACATTGGCCCGTAAAAAAAGTCTGAGCGTGGCCTAAATTGATGCCATTTTTTCGCCAAATATGTCAACCAGGATTAACTTGTTCTCTTCTCTAAGTACCAAGCAGAAGAAGTGTGAGCAGAAAAGGCCCAAAGTGGTTGACCTGCAACTCCTGCTGCATTCCGTCCTTGGAGATTTTGTTCTCCAGACCGACGGCGGCCGCGTTGTTCACCAAAATGTCCAGGCGTTTTTCGCTGCCCAGAAATTTCTTGACGAAATTTCGCACCGAGTCGAGCGAGCCGAGGTCAAGAAGGATGACCTCAACTTTTTTGTTGCCAGTCGTTTTGATTATGTCGTCTGAAGTTTCAAAACAATTTTTTAATCTTATTTTATAAAAAAGAAAAAATCAACCTCTTGCAGCATTTGCTCTTTGCAAATCGCGACAGGCCAGGATAACTTTCGCACCTCGACGCGCCAAATCACGGGCAGTTTCCTTTCCTATGCCTGCATGAAAATAAAATTCAACCTTCTTTTATTATAATAATACTTCAATTTTACCTTTTTTCCCTTTTTTAATAATTTTTTGAATCAATTATAAATTTTTATTGTACCTGTATTGGATCCGGTGACGATCGCCACTTTTCCATCCAATCTTTTTTTGCTGACGCACCTGCCGCCGATTGATTTGTACCAAATTTTGAAAGTTATCGCTGCGATGAAAAAAGCAGACAAAATGCCAATTAAGAAACCCTATCAAAAAATAATAAAAATTCAAAATTTTTATAAATAAATTAATTAAAAAAAACGGACCATATTTTCAGTGTGGAGCTCTTTTTGGCCTCTGCATTGAATGAATTTATCTGAATTGCACAAACTCTGAGGCCTGAACCAAGATTGGCTGCGTCGATCAACAGCAGATTACAAAATTTTCTTATCTCGATGTAGATAAGTAGGGTTGGGATATGTGGTTAGAAAATTTGTAAATTTTATATTATTTATTAACTACTAAGACCACTTAATAAATCACAAGGGATTTAGAAGTCGTTGAAACTATGAAAATCCCCGCCAGAATAAGAGCAAGAGTAGAAATCGAACCTGACTGGAAACCGTCTTAAAACATTTGTATAGAAAGCACTAAGAATTAGTGAAGAAAATCCCAGTGTCCCAACCAACCGTAATTTTAAGGAGAGTTAATTTTTTTTCTGTGGTACGCTGACAAAAAAGGTAAATGATTTAGTGTGTGGGAACAAATTTAAAAATTTTCATATTAAAATTAATACATATAATTTAGATTGTGAGGAGGAAAAAGTAATCGCAAACGTCATATTTTGCTGAACCGCGATTGCCCTCTGCATTTTGACCCAGTCGTCATTTATGAGGAAAACGTGTATCAGAGGCACATGCGAGATGAATAAAAATTAGAAAAACGGCGTCAGAATTGTCAGGCAGCTTTTTCTCCTTTACTTTTCAAAAATATTTTCCAACTCTTCCTTTGCTTCTTAAAAAGGTTGGCAAAATTCATCGCAAGCATTAAAAGTAAATAGTAAATAATGTAAATATCATGTGAATGAAGAGCAGTGACTGAAAAAAAAATTGGTAAGCATAATGTTTAAAATATTTGTTTGTCCTCAGAAGATTATTCGCATCCGTTAAAAAATAAATTTTCATTTTCTGATCATATTTTTGGTCTAACAATAAGTGATAAACTTGCGGGTCGTTTGTTGTATCATTAGCAAATCAACAGAGAAAAATTAAGGAAAGGACAAAATCACAAACACTCCATCTATTTGACCAAGATATAGGAATTATAGGAGTGGTTTAGCATCACTTGGGATGAAATCATAAAGGATGCACACTATAAAAAACCTGGCGCAAATCGATGACAAAAGAAATTCATTTGTGAATTCAAAGTTTTATTAATAAAAATCGCATATTTTGAATACCGCTGGACGAGCTTAGGATTAAATCAAACTTTCATACTTTTAAAATTTTTAACCTTTCTTTTTTTAGTCCTCTTAAGTATGAAAATGATTCGGCTGCGAACTTCTCTTTTTGAGACGATTGAATGTTTTACGCTCCAATATAATAAACGTAATTTTCCTTGACTTGAAAAAAGAAAAAAATCAACTCTCCTCTAATTATGAGCTTTGCTCGGGAAACACTCAGGCTAGCTGATGAGACCTGGATTGGTCGAAACAGCTGTCGTAGCCAGTAGTGTATGGCAAATTGTAAAATTTTTGATAAAGGTTCATTGCCTTTGAATTAAATTGATAATATAAGCGCGGATCTTTTTATGGCTCTTTATTTTACTCTTTTTGCCATTATCTATTTCAGCATTACTTGTCTGTTTTTTTCTTCAAACGATTGTCCACATTCACATCCGTTAGAAGAAAAACACAAGTTGTTGATATTTTTCTAGTAGTTCCCCAGCTGCCAAAATCGAATTTTATCTGGAGAGGACAATATCCGGATAAAAGTCGCTTTTGGCAACTCTGGGGTTTCCTCATTTTTTTTCTTTCTTTTTATTTGTATGTTTGAGGATGAAATGAGGGCATCAAGCCCCGATAAAAAGGCGCGTCCCTTGAACTTGTGGGTCATTCGCAAATTGAGATTTACGCGATCAAGATGATGCTCCGCCTTGGGTTGTTGCCCTTTTTGGTGGTCGCCGCCGTCCTGGCCAACGACCCCCAGCAAATTGACCAACCTAATAAGGTACAGTACGGAGCCTCCAGTTACTAATTTCTAATTTGTCAAAATTTATTATTTCATTATTATGTTAAAAATAAATAATTATAATTAAATTTTAAGGCTGCAATAAGTCAGTAGCTTCATTACTTGAGCTTTAGTTTAATTATTTTTTTGTTAATCAGCCGTGCTATCTGAAATTGTCCAGAAATATTTATATGCAATGGATTATTGTTTTTGTTAAGCTGACTTCTTATATTAAAAAATCTCTTTTGCATGGACATTGATTTTTATCCAATTTAAAAAAATGCCATCGAATTACAATCTTCACGATTTAAATTTTAATTACAATCTTAGATTAATTAAAATAAATTAATTGTTGTAAATTAGTAAATTTTTCAAATAATTTGGTAAAAAAATATGAACATAAATAAAGGACTTCTGTTGATTTAAATTTATAAGTAACCATATAGTTTATTTATTCATTATATACAAAGTAAAATATCAATTCAGTGGTTTTAGCAATAAAAAACTATAAAAGCAGGCGCTAATTTCTTCCCTTGATGGCTCCACATGAACAAATTTCTACCTGCTGAGAGATATTAAGAAAATCTAAATAAACTTTTCGCCTCAATCGGGGATTTGCGGATTTGCGCGCAATTTTAGGGGTCGCATATAGTTAAGAATAAAAATATATCCTGATATTTTAAGAAACTTTTTCACTTATACTGAATAAATGAAAATAAATAAACACAATTGTAACTAAATGAATGAATTATATACTCATTATCAAGCATTTTGATTTCACTTCAATTCAATCGCAGGAGAATAAAATCAGGTTTCCTTTTTTTCTTATAAATTGCAGAGTGAAGAAATGATGGAGTTTCAAAAAAGACTCATGACGAGTGTTGAAGCAACAAACGACAACCTCAAACGATTGGCCAGACTCTTCTACGAACAGGTAGTAATCATTGAAATAATTCACGCGCTTCCAAAAGGATGAAGCAATAATAAATTTAATTAAAAATTTATTTGTCAAAATTCTAGAATATGTTGATGAAATTTGAATTTTTCTTTTTTTATGAATTTGAAATTTTTTTAATTCTTCTAATAACAGATGGTGAACACGAGAAAACTGGCTGAGGAGCAGCAGAAAAATTTCAACTCGACCAACCAGAGACTGGCCGAAATTGCGCAACTCTCCAATGATCAACACAAGCAGGCAATTTAAAAAAAATCATTAAAACAAAATTTTTAACACTTGGAAAATATTTACACAATTGTAATTGTGAATTTCAAAGGAACAATATTTGCCTGTTTATTTTAAAAGGACTGAAAAAATTGTTTGCAGGTGGCAGAGGAATTGAGAAATTTGAGAAATCATGCCAATGAAACAAACCAAAAGTTTATCAATTTGGAAAAGCTCGTTGACAACCGCCACAATGAGGTAATATTAAAAATGAATCAAACTCCCAAAACCTGTTTGGAGAGTTATTATAAAATGGGAATAACTTGAATTAATATAATACTGGAAAAAATTCAAACGATTCTACATATAAAATTTCATTGATTGAATATTTATAAATTTATATTTTCAAGAGAATTCCAATTATTTTAGAAAAGAAACAAGAGGATATATTTGATCAGGAGTTTGTGGAAATTTATATCCAGGCAAAAATAGAATGATAGATATTTTAAGATTTCTTAAATGACAATGCCTTTGTATGAAGAAAATAAAATCGAATTCCTCTTCACCACAGAGCCTTGAAAACGTCAAGCACGTTGGTCAAAAGCTGGACAAAAGTGCAGCACTTGCTATGCATCATTATCAGGTTCATTTAATTTATTAGCGCTCTCTTTTTGTAATGAAAAATGTTGAATTGTTTCAGCTCTTTGATTTTATAATTAGATATCCGGTCAACTGCAACCTCGCCCGTAAGTTTTTATGAAAATAAAAAGCAAACACAAATAATTAATATTTCAAAAACTAAAAACCAAAATTTAATTTCCAATTTGTCAGGATCGGCCTCATTGACTCAGCTGTCGAATGGGAAAAAGTACTTGTTTTTAACAACTGGGGTATTCAAATTCACTCAACTTTATTTTATATTCCTAATATTTGTATATTATCAGGGAACCTGGACTCAGGTCAGAGAAAAATGCGCCAAGAAAGGTCTCCAAATGATAACCCTGAAAAACATGAACGACCACAACTTGGTTTGGCAGAAGATCAAGGAATTGCTTGGCGAGAATTTGCTTTTTACAGATAACAAAATTTTCTAACTTGATTTTTTTTCTGTAGGTGAATCTTACTATTGGGTGTCAGCCAGGAACACCGGGAACAGCGGTCAAATGGACTACCGTTGGCAGGATGGCTCTAAGTTGGAGCTAAACAGCGATTTGTGGAAGGACAATGCTAACAAGGCGCATGAGTGCGTCGAAATGAAGTATGGTTCCAATAATGGCAAACTGAGCGGCGAGACGTGCAATTATAGTGGAAGCAAATCAGTCTGCGAGTTACCAAGTGAATGCTACTGACGTTTTCCATCGTGGCATTAAGAAATTTGTCCATAATAAATTGAAGGAAACATTTCTGCAAAAAGGCTAGAAACAATATTGCTTTAATTTCAAGCTATGACACATAATTATTTATTTATTTATTTATTTATTCCCCATTCATAGTACATACAACGCAAAAAAAAAGTACACTGTACAAAAAAAAAGCGGAATCATGCATCGACATAAAAAAAAAGTACAAGAATACAAAAAAAATGCCGAAAATCAGGAGTCGGAAATTTATGTACAATGCTGGAAATACATTAGAATAATGATTACATACACATAAAAAAAGAATGTGGGAAAGAATGGAGAAATGGCTTTTCGCTAGCAAACAACTTGCTAAAGCTCAGCACCCTCTCCTTCAAAAGAGAGCGTACCGGCCGCTAGAGCCATCAGGGGGGGGGGGGGCATTTCTAAACTATTTAATAATTTTGCCACAAGTACGCCTTGCACAGAGATGGAACCTGTGCCGCGGTACAGTCCTTCAATGCGGGTGGCAGGTCATTCCACGGTTTAACGACGCGGTATGAAAAGGCCTCGCGTCCGAACTTAGTTCTCGCGTGCGGCTGCTGCAGCCGTGGATGGCTGTCGCTGTCGCCACGCAGCGTTCGGCCCTCAATTATGCGCGCCTTTGCGTCCATATCAGTCACTCCCGAGTCACATCTTTTAAAAAAGTTTAAATCATTATATCTGAGCTGCATATCCACGGGCATGATTTTTTGCTCTTCACGAGTGGGGAGATGCTTTCCGTGAATAAAATGCAGGGCTCGCTTTTGAACTCGCTCGAGTTTTCCAATCGCGCACTGCGCTCCCCCGTGCCAGGCTGGCGTGCCGTAGAATAAAGTCGGCTTCACTAAAGTTAGGTACGCCACCCGTTTTACACGTGGAGTGCATCCGTGCAGATTTCGCGAGACAAAGCCCAAGTTTTTTGCTGCTTTTGCGCGCACCACGTCCGTGTGATGGTTCCACCTTAGATCTTTTGAGAGGTGCACGTTGAGCAGTCGCTAGTAAAAAACATAAAACATTTTTATTACATGTTATTTTAAATGCATATTTTCAAGCAAAGAAGAATCGATGCTCATAAATTGTATTGCCGTTTCTTCGTCAATCAGAAACAAAATTTATCCCACACCAACTCAATTAATTTATTATGTAAAATTATTTTGCCTGCAATTTTCTTTTTAAATCATATTGAAAAGAAAGAAAAAATAAAACGCTGGTTGGGACAAGAATCGCGTAGGTCACGTTTAATTGAACCGCGATTGCCCATTGCATTAAATTTTGACCCAGTCATCATTTATTATTACTATGAAGAAAACCAAATCATGCACGTGCTCAATATATCTGATTGATAAACGCACGTGCCGTTAATTAAGTTTCGTCGTTTTCAAATTAATGGAGAGAAATTAAGAAAAGTAAAAAAAATCACGGACATATATTTCGGCAACATAAGAATTCAATCAATTGGAAGAAATTACAAAGTCAAAATCTTCATAAATCGTGGCGCAATCAAGGATTTTAATTTGTATGCAATACAAATTTATAATTTACCATATTATTCCAGCATCTGAATTACTCGTCAGTGTTTTCCTCAAAAGGTTGTTCACTTCTTTTGATAACAATAAATCACTCTTTCGATATTTTTCTGCATGGTACTTTTCCTCTTATTTTTTTTGTCGGCGGATAAATTGAGGGCATCAAGCCCCGATAAAAAGACGCGTCTCTTGAACTTGTGGGTCATTCGCAAATTGAGATTTACGCGATCAAGACGATGCTCCGCCTTGGGTTGTTGCCCTTTTTGGTGGTCGCCGCCGTCCTGGCCAACGACCCCAAGCAAATCGACCAACCTACCAAGGTACAGCACCGAACCTTCCACTTAATGTAGAAATTTAATTGTTAAAAACGTAAATAATATACATAATTTTAGACTGCAAATTGCTTAAATTAAATGCTGGTGCATTATTGTAATTATAATTTTATGTTATGATTTGTAAATACGTCATTAAAAAGTTAGATAAACGCCAATTAGAAGAAATTAAAAGCAGTAAATTTAAAATAATTTGTAAAGGCAAAAGTTTTCACTCTACTGCTGGCGTGGACTGTGTGTGCGAACTATTCGTTCATACAGCGGCTAAATGGACAAAATGAAATTTACAATTGAGACGTTTGGTTAGTTTGAAATTTTCAATATCAACGATTGGTCATTTCACGATTTACAGGCACGGGTGTTCTAATCGAGAAAAACAGCGTTATTTGTGTGTCAACGGGAAAGTGATTTTTGAGAGCGTCTAAAAAATGGAAATTTTGAGATTTCAAGGGTGGTCAGTCATGAAATCAGTTGATTTAATTTATATTTATGCGCTAAAAGTGTAGCAAAAATCCGGATTTCCCGGAAAAGTGAGTTATAAGGAGGTTTGACAAAAAATTCATATCTCAGCTTCTAATTGAGATAAATTCAAAAATTTAAAGCGAAAATGCAGCTCAAGACATGCCCTTTCTCGGGGATGGGTAGGGATAATTTTCAAGGCCGTGTTTCTTAATGAGGGTGAGGTGATAAAAATTGAGGGGTTGTAAAACAAATGTTATGCAACTTGCAGAACGTTGGAAAAAATTACAAAGAAACCTCATCATATGAGACAACAACCCCTCATAGGGCGAATATTTCCTGCAACCCCTTGGTATTGTAATTAATTCTTAAATATGTGTCTCATATGGCCAAAATGGACCTATTTTGGGGATTTATTTTCAATACCAGGAGGTTGCAGGAAATATTCGCCCTATGAGGGGTTGTTGTCTCATATGATAAGGTTTCTTTGTAATTTTTTCCAACGTTCTGCAAGTTGCATAACATTTGTTTTACAACCCCTCAATTTTTATCACCTCACCCTCATTAAGAAACACGGCCTTGAAAATTATCCCTACCCATCCCCGAGAAAGGGCATGTCTTGAGCTGCATTTTCGCTTTAAATTTTTGAATTTATCTCAATTAGAAGCTGAGATATGAATTTTTTGTCAAACCTCCTTATAACTCACTTTTCCGGGAAATCCGGATTTTTGCTACACTTTTAGCGCATAAATATAAATTAAATCAACTGATTTCATGACTGACCACCCTTGAAATCTCAAAATTTCCATTTTTTAGACGCTCTCAAAAATCACTTTCCCGTTGACACACAAATAACGCTGTTTTTCTCGATTAGAACACCCGTGCCTGTAAATCGTGAAATGACCAATCGTTGATATTGAAAATTTCAAACTAACCAAACGTCTCAATTGTAAATTTCATTTTGTCCATTTAGCCGCTGTATGAGCGTATGACGAAAAATGCTCCCAATACCATGTACAGTTTAGAGATCACTTCACTCACTAAACTTTTACGCCACGATGAAAAGGAAATAGTGCAATTTGATTAATTTAAATTTATATCTGTATGAATTTATCAAAAGTTGTACCCAGATGGGTTTAATAAATAGACAAAAAATAATAATAAATTTAATATAAATAAATCTCATTCAATAGTGTCAGGCGGATTTTCGTTTTTAACAATTATTCTTTCAAGAAAATAAAGTAAATAAACATACCTAAAAAGTGTAAAATGGAAAAAATTGAAAGAAGTACCTGCCTGAGCGCAAGTCCTCACAAAAGGGGTGCCAAGAAATATACAGGCGCTATTTTCTTCTCTTGATTTAACAAATTTTTAAACTCGGAAAGAAATTAAACCGAGGCTAAATACATTTTTATCATGACAATATGCATATTCGCGCGCAATTTTTGATATTTCAAATAATTAAAAACATATTTCAGCATCCTGATATTTTATGAAAATTGGAATAAACGAATCAAACAATATTATTCCTTTTAATTACCCATGAAAACCAATTTTTCATTAACAACGATTCAAATGCAGGTGAATAAAATAATTATTACATTTTCAAGAATGACAAAATGACGGAGTTTCAAAAAGGACTCATGACAAGTGTTGAAGCAACAAATGAAAACCTCAAACGATTGGCAAAACTCTTTTACGAACAGGTAATATTAATATCATTTAATTAATTCACACGCACTGGAAAGATGAAAAATTAATATCAAGTGAGTGTGTTTTTCAATTCGATAATCGTGAGGAAATTTCAAAATTGCAAATTTTTTACTCATTTTCATTCATGGGAAAATTTCCAAACTCTATTTAGATGGTGGAGATAAAAAAACTGGCGGAGGAACAGGAGAAAAATTTCAACGCAACTAACCAGAGACTGGACGAAATGGTGCAACTCTCAGACGATCGACACAGACAGGTAATGTAATCATTGAAACAAAGTTAAAAATGTTTGACTAAAAAAATACGTATAGAAATTATATTTGTGAATTATTGGTTTAAAAAGTAGTCTATTTATTTTCCTGTCTATATCGAATGGATGCAATAAGAAAAAAATGTTTGCAGGGGACGGAGGAAATAAGAAATCAAGCCAATGAGACGGACCGGAAGTTAAATGATTTGGATAGGCTCGTTAAGCGGGTAATATCAAAATTGAAAAAAATTAATTAATACCTGCAAACCTCTTTGGGGATTTGTGATGAAATTGGAATAATTTGAATTTTTAATCATGGGGAAATAAATTCAAAGAGAAAATCATGTTAAATATCATTTTGGTGCTAATCTCATTAACAACGATTTATAACTACAAGCCATTTTCCATTGATTTAAAAAAAAAGAGACGAGAGCAGGGAAAAATGTATAATAAGGAGTTAGAGTAAAATATCGATGAAAATTTTAATCAGTTGGAAAAATCTGAAATGGAAAACAGATTTTTTTAAATTTAAATTCATTTATATGATAAGAAAAAATAAAATTAAATGTCTTGTTCACCACAGAATCTGGAAAACTTAAATCGAAAGGTGGACAACAGTGCAGCACTTGCTGAGCGTCACTATCAGGTTGTAATCATTTTATCATTTGTACAATTATGCGGATTCTTTTAATTAACAAAAGTGTTGAATGGTTTCAGCTCTTTGAAAGCAGATATCCCACCTACTGCAAGAGGGCTCGTAAGTTTGTTTGAACAAAGAAGCTTAAAAATAATGAAAATAATTAATATTTTAGGATCAAACTCATTGACTGAGCTGTCGAACGGGAAAAAGTACTTGTTTTTAACAACGGGGGTAATCCAATTCGCTCAACTCTATTAAGTGTTCCTAATATTTGTAAATTATCAGGGAAATTGGTCTCAGGTCAGGGATAGATGCGCCGAGAAAGGTCTCCAAATGATAACCCTGAAAAACCTGAACGACCTCAACTTGGTTTGGCAGAAGGCCAAGGAATTGATCGGTAAGATTTTTTTTTTTTTTATTCAAATATACAAATTTTCTAATCTAATATTTTTCTTAAGGTGATAAATACTTGTGGGTGTCAGTCAGGAACTTCGGGAACAGCGATCAAGCTGACTACCGTTGGCAAGATGGCTTCAAGTTGGAGCTAAACAGCGATTTGTGGACAAACGGTGCTAACAAGACTCTTGGGTGCGTCGAAATGAGGACTGGTTCCAATAATGGCAAACTGAGCGGCGAGACGTGCAATTATAGTGGAAGCAAATCAGTCTGCGAGTTACCAAGTGAATGCTACTGACGTTTTCCATCGTGGCATTAAGAAATTTGTCCATAATAAATTGAAGGAAACATTTCTGCAAAAAGGCTAGAAACAATATTGCTTTAATTTCAAGCTATGACACATAAAACATTTTTATTACATGTTATTTTAAATGCATATTTTCAAGCAAAGAAGAATCGATGCTCATAAATTGTATTGCCGTTTCTTCGTCAATCAGAAACAAAATTTATCCCACACCAACTCAATTAATTTATTATGTAAAATTATTTTGCCTGCAATTTTCTTTTTAAATCATATTGAAAAGAAAGAAAAAATAAAACGCTGGTTGGGACAAGAATCGCGTAGGTCACGTTTAATTGAACCGCGATTGCCCATTGCATTAAATTTTGACCCAGTCATCATTTATTATTACTATGAAGAAAACCAAATCATGCACGTGCTCAATATATCTGATTGATAAACGCACGTGCCGTTAATTAAGTTTCGTCGTTTTCAAATTAATGGAGAGAAATTAAGAAAAGTAAAAAAAATCACGGACATATATTTCGGCAACATAAGAATTCAATCAATTGGAAGAAATTACAAAGTCAAAATCTTCATAAATCGTGGCGCAATCAAGGATTTTAATTTGTATGCAATACAAATTTATAATTTACCATATTATTCCAGCATCTGAATTACTCGTCAGTGTTTTCCTCAAAAGGTTGTTCACTTCTTTTGATAACAATAAATCACTCTTTCGATATTTTTCTGCATGGTACTTTTCCTCTTATTTTTTTTGTCGGCGGATAAATTGAGGGCATCAAGCCCCGATAAAAAGACGCGTCTCTTGAACTTGTGGGTCATTCGCAAATTGAGATTTACGCGATCAAGACGATGCTCCGCCTTGGGTTGTTGCCCTTTTTGGTGGTCGCCGCCGTCCTGGCCAACGACCCCAAGCAAATCGACCAACCTTCCAAGGTACTGTATTTTGCACCTGCCACTTAAAAATTTATAATTTGTTGAAATTTAACATAATTATACATTAATTTGAGACTGCAAATTGCTTGAATTAAGTGCTAGAGCATTATTTTAATGATGAATGAAATATTTATTGAACACCAACGGCGTACATACTTACATGTTATTATTATGTAAAAAAAAAAACACTCAAAAGAAATGCATAAATAAACACAATCTATATTTTATTTAATGATTTAAAAATATGTTGATAAAAAGTTAGATAAATGCCAATTAAAAGAAATTAAGTGACCTAAATTTAAAATAAATAATTATATCTCATCCAATAGTGTAAAAATTAAAAATCTTATTCAGGCAGATTTGCGTTTTGAACAATTATTCTTACATGAAAATAAGCGTCACTAAGAGTGAAAAATTAAAAGAAGCAATTGAGGGCCGAACGCTGCATTGTGATAGCGACAGCCATCCACGGCTGCAGCAGCCGCACGCGAGAACCAAGTTCGGACGCGAGGCCTTTTCATACCGCGTCGTTTAACCCTGGAATGACCTGCCACCCGCATTGAAGGACTGTACCGCGGCACAGGTTCCATCTCTGTGCAAGGCGCGTACTTATGGCAAAATTTTAGTGTGTAGTAATATTCTTTCCCAAATTTTTCTCTTTATGTGTATGTTTAATCATAGTTCTTATTACAATTTCCAGCAATGTACATAAATTTTCGACTCCTGTGTTTTCCAGCATTTTTTTGTTGTACTTTTTTATGTCGATGCATGATTTCGCTTTTTTTTTGTACAGTGTACTTTTTTTGCGATGTATGTACCATGATGAATGGAGAATAAATAAATAAGTACCTGCCTAAGCGCGAGTCCTCAAGAAAGGGGAGCCAAGAAATAAAAAGGCGCGCTTTTCCCTCTTCATCGCTCCAAATGAACAATTTTTCAGACTTCAAAAAGAAATTAAACCAGCTAAATAAATATTTTATCATGACGATTAGCATATTCACGTGCAATTTTTATCTTTAAAATAATTAAAAACATGTTTCAACATCCTTATAATTTACGAAGATCTAAATAAATTAATTAATCAATATAACCCATCACCACCAATTTTTCATTAACAACGATTCAAATGCAGGAGAATAAAATAAGATTGTATTTTGAAGAATGAAGAAACGGAGTTTCAAAAAGGACTCATGACGAGTGTTGAAGCAACAAACGAGAACCTCAAACGATTGGCCAAACTCTTCTACGAACAGGTAATATCAATTATCATTAAATAATGCGCTGAAAAAGGGATAAACAATTTAAAAAAAAAGATGCATAATATTGAGTTTGTTTTTGTTAAATTATAAGAAACTCGTGACTCGTGAAGCATTCACAGTTATAAATTTTTCGCTCATTTTCATCCATGAAAAATTTTTTTAACTCTCTTTATCAGATGGGGGAGATGAAAAAACTGGCTGAGGAGCAGGAGAAAAATTTCAACGCGACAAACCAGAGACTGGACGAAATGGCGCAACTCTCAGACGATCGACACAGACAGGTAATTTATTCATTGGAACCAAGTTGAAAATGTTGGACTAAAAAATACATAAAAATTATTTTGTAAAATATTGATTTTAACTATTATTTATTTCTTTTTTAAACCCATCTGGGCACAACTTTTGAAACATTCATACAGATTATAATGTTTTTAATGAAATTGCACCATTCATCATGGTGTAAAAGTTTAGTGAGTGAAGTCTCTTCTCGCAGAACTTTAAGTGGTATTGGGAGTATATTTTTTTCCTCATAGTTCGCACACAGTCCGCGCCAGCAGTATAGTGAAAACCTTTGTCTTTACAAATAAGATGATTATGAAACCCTGTCATTTTGCGGATCAAATAAAAGCGTATCTATTTTTGAAAAGGGGTGTTGCTTCCTTCCAGCAGTCATTTATCATGGCTGGCGTTTCGAAAAAGTCCAAATCAAATTATTTATTGGATGTAATCTATTTATTTTCCTGTTTCTTTTGAATGCAGGATCGAATGAAAATAAAAATGTTTGCAGGGGACGGAGGAATTGAAAAATCATGCCAATGAGACGGACCGGAAGTTAAATGATTTGGATAGGCTCGTTAAGCAGGTAATATAGAAAATGAATCAAATGAATCAAAATTTGCTAACCTCTCTGAAGAAAAATTGAAACCGGGCGAACCTCGTTCGCTCGGTTTCAATTTTTCATGAAATCCACCACGAGTGTTACCATTCAACTCTCCGGGAAGTTGCGGTGAAATTGAAATAATTTGAATTTTTAATCCTGGGGAAAATAAAAAAGACGATCATGTTCAATATCACTTTGGTCCAATCTAATTAATACAAAATTTGTAATTACACGAGATTTTCCGTTGATTTTAGAAAAAGAGACAAGAGTTTAAGGAAAAATAAATAATTAGGAGAGTTTACGGGAAAATATGTCGACGAGAATTTCAATCAATTGCAAAATTGAATATGGCAAAAAGATAATGAGATTGATTTTTTAAAGACATCTTAAGCAAAATCCCTTTGTATGGAGAAATTAAAGTAAAATTCCTCTTCACCACAGAGCCTTGAAAACGTCAAGCACGTTGATCAAAAGCTGGACGAAAGTGCAGCCCTTGCTAAGCGTCAAAATCAGGTTCAAATAATTTAGTTGCGCTAGCTATTGTAATAAGAAATTTGGAATTTTTCAGCACTTTGATCGCCGATTCTCGTCAAATTGCAACCTCGCCCGTGAGTTCTTATGATCATCACAAAGCTAACAAATAGCAAAAAATAAATAATATTTCAATTAAATTTTCTAATTTCCAACTTTTGTCAGGATCGGCCTCATTGACTCAGCTGTCGAATGGAAAACAGTACTTGTTTTTAACAACGGGGGTAATCGAATTCGCTCAACTCTAATAAGTGTTCCTAATATTTCAAAATTATCAGGGAAATTGGACTCAGGTCAGGGATAGATGCGCCGAGAAAGGTCTACAAATGATAACCCTGAAAAACATGAACGACCACAACTTGGTTTGGCAGAAGATCAAGGAATTGCTTGGCGAGAATTTGCTTTTTACAGATAACAAAATTTTCTAACTTGATTTTTTTTCTGTAGGTGAATCTTACTATTGGGTGTCAGCCAGGAACACCGGGAACAGCGGTCAAATGGACTACCGTTGGCACGATGGCTCCAAGTTGGAGCTAAACAGCGATTTGTGGAAGGACAATGCTAACAAGACGCTTGGGTGCGTCGAAATGAAGTATGGTTCCAATAATGGCAAACTGAGCGGCGAGACGTGCAATTATAGTGGAAGCAAATCAGTCTGCGAGTTACCAAGTGAATGCTACTGACAAATCCCATCGTGGCATTAAGAAATTTGTTCATAATAAATTGAAGAGGCAAAGAGGCATAAAAATACCTATCAAAAATTGTGCTTTGATTACAAACTACTTGAATAATATGACAGCTGAAAAAATTGAATCTTGATATTTTAGGTAAATTTCAACCAATTTCTTTCATAATATCCTTCAATAATCAAAAATATAATTTATCAAACATCGATTGAATTTGTAATAATTTATATTTAATGAAAAGGAAATTCAAAACATACCAATTATGTATCATAAAATTTGCACTAACACATAAAACATTTGCTAAAAAATAAGCTGCTCTCAAGAACATCTGCTCTTGAAAATATTAAATCATCCATCATTTTAAAAAACTTTCAAAGAAGCGAAATCTCTTCTGGAGCCAGTTTCACCAGCTGCACGCACTTTTCCCACAGTTTCTTGGCAAGCTCGTGGTTTTGCGCGTCCGATGACATTTTCGCGTCCTTTTTTTATAAATCATAAATTGAAAAAAGCATTTAAAAAGAGTGGAAAATTTCATACTTTGCAGTCGACAAAGTATCTGCCGGTGACGCCTCCGACCTCTTCGGAAACGGCCAAGTGAATCGTCGTTTGCGCTCCTTCATTTGCATTCTGAACAAAAGCAATTAAATTTATGCCGGAAAAATGAAAATTTAAAAACGTGTGCCTTGAAAGCAAATCCGATGAGGAATCCGAAAATGTGCTTGACAAATGAAGGCAGCCGCCGACCGATTTCCGTTTTTACCACTCCAGGGTGCAGACTGTTGCTGCTCACGCCTTCATTCCATTAATTAATACAAATAAAAAATTGTTTTTATTTAAAAAATTTTATTTACCGGTTCCGTCGAGTCTCCTGGCGAGTTCGTTGGCGAAAAGCACGTTGGCCAGTTTTGCGTGGCAGTAAAGTTTGCCGCCGCCGGGGAACGACTTTTCGCAGTTGAGGTTGTCCAGCTCGATTTTGCCGAACTTGTGCGCCATCGACGACACCGTGACCACCCTGCTCGGCGACGACTTTTTCAAAACGTCTGCGAAACAGAATTATATTTTTTTTTATACATTTATAAAAAAAAAAATATCGAACCAATGAGGAGGACGGTGAGGAGGAACGGGCCGAAGTGGTTGATTTGCATCTCCTGCTGCATTCCGTCCCTGGACAGTTTGTTCTCCAGCCCGGTGGCGGCCGCGTTGTTCACCAGCACGTCCAGCCGCGTCTCCCGCGATTTCAACTCTTTGACAAAGTCGCGCACCGACGCCAACGAGCCCAGGTCCAGTTTCAGCACCTCCACGTTTTTGTTGCCCGTACTCTCGATTATCTCCACTTTGTATTAAAAAAAATCCGTAATTATGTTCAGGGGAAAATAAAATTTAGTACTTCTGGCGCTGCTTCCTCTCGTCAGGTCGCGGCACGCCAGGTACACGCGGGCGCCTCTTCTCGCCAGGTCGCGTGCCGTTTCTTTTCCAATACCTTTGTGTTTAAGAATTAAGACATGCTAATTAGACTTTTCATTTTACCAAATTATTTAATTGAATAATTAATTGCAGTTTCTATGCTTTTGAATTGGTCTCTACTTTTGAAACTTAATTAAGAACATATTTATTTGTAATTCAATTAAATATGGTTAAACGTGGATAAAAAATTAAAGTTTATTTTGATCAATTTCTGCTCATCTCAGCTTATCATTGAAATAATTACAATTATTTTGATTAATTATTATTAATATTATATATTATTATAAAATTTTTATTTAGATGTAATCACTGTGCTATAGGAATAGAAAAATAGGTTATCACCTTTTAAACCTACTTTTTAGAAATTAAATAGAAAGTCTGCAATAATTTGAACTAATTTGATGATAAAAATATTACCTTAAATCACTTAATTTAATATATTAGAGCATATACAACCATTTTTAATGCTGAAATCGCCAGTTTTGAGGTTTTTCATTTTTTAAATTTATATTTAAAAAAGAAGCCCATTTAAAAATAATAATAATTAAATATACTAAAATTTACATTTTTTTATATGTATATTAAAAGTAAAGATAGATTTCCTTCTCACCTACTTGACGTTTTTAACCTAAACACTTATTTCTCTAAAAAATAAAACACTTATTTTCCCAAGCCGATAGCGTGTGATTTTTCATGAAAGCAATTTTAATTTTTTTGAACTGCGTGTGTATTAAGAGAAAAAAAACCTACCAGTATTGGCTCCGGTGACGACGACCACCTTTCCGTCCATGCGGCGCGTGCTCCTGCACATTCGCATGGTGCTCTGGTACCAGGCCTTGATGGCCAGCAGGGTCACCAACACCACCACAAAGCCCACCGCCAAAATGCCCTGAAACAAAAGTGATGCAAAAAAACACCATTTTTCCACAATTAAATTTTCTCACCATGTCTTCTGCTGGCTGCTTTTGAATTAGTAATGAGCGGTGACCACACCTGCTGATAACGTTTTTTACTATCTCAAAAAAGCTTATCTCGCATACTAAACACCGATCAACAGCTTTTGCGGAAATCGAATTTACTGAGAGAGAGAAAAAAAGTGATTCTCAATGGCGAGTTTGTTGTCGCTCGCAAATGGGACGAAACCAGCTGAATCATTTTTTGCTCAATCGAAGAGCGAAGGTCATTCCACTCGCGCTTCCTCGTCTCTTCCAGATGCTTAGATTGGCGTCGAGCCAAACGAATCTTTCCGTCCCACTGACCGAATTCTTATTTTGTCCTCTATTAAAAAAAAAAATTGGGAAATTATTTATTCAAGCAAATTTGGCCGCGCGTTGGCGCTGAGCAAACAATTAGCAATCGTTATCAGTCGGGGGCATCAGCAGAAGATCAGACAAGAGCGAGTCACATGCAAAGTCAATGCCACTCTTCGGCGTTTTCTTTCCCAGTTGCGCTTCAACCGCACACGCGAAAACAAGCAGCGCAATAATAATGCTGAATATTTATTATTAAAAAGGAAAAACATGAATTCGCCAAAGGAAGTGGACTCGCTTTTGGGACTCCGGTGAGTGAGTTTATTTCAATTTGAAAAAAAATATATATTTTTTATAATTATGGGGAATTCAAATAGCCAAATCATAAAATTATCGCAAAATTTGGTTCATTTCATCAAAAAACATTTCTTTTAAAATTCCTAAGGTTTTAAGAAGATTCGATTAACGGAACAAAAATTTAATTTACTTTTTTTTTTAAATTTAATAGTTCATATTTCCTCTGCGGCTATAATTGAAGATGTAAATATAATTCATAATTCTATAAACGGATTTAGATGCACAATCAATATTTCATCACGTTTTTATTACAAAAAGAGGTTCTCATGCGGTGCTGCACCCAATCCGGTCGTCCTTCCTCGCAAATTGCAACAACTATAACAATACTCTCCTTTTTTCCTATAACAACAATTCACCCGCACTAGCTCACGTCAACGTGCTTTTACATAATCAGTGGAGTTTTATCAAAGTGATAAATGTTGGGCGGTCTCGCCGCGATGGGAACTATTATATTGACGCGTCGGAATTATTATTAAATTACAACTCCGTAATAAGCTGTTCATATTTCCCTTTCGTTTTGTGTCGTTTACATTCTCCTTTTAATGCGTCAGGTATTAAACCAACAAGCGCTGACCTTGACGGGGACATACTCTCGTACTTTATGGTCATTTGAAACGAAAAATAGCTTTCCACATTTCCATGTCATAACGTCATGTTGTTCCAGGTCGTGACACCAACTTTTATCACGATTTAAAGTTTATATCTTGATTAATATCAGTATAATTATAAAAAAATTAAAATAAATTTTTTTTAAGTGGAAAAGTAAATATATTTTTATTCATTCAGCTTGTAAACTAAAAATACAATAAAATAATTTTAGAGAGAATTCAAATAAAATAACAAATAAAACATATTATTATTATTTATCATATTTTTTAAGTCTTTTTAATCATTTCATTCAGTTGAAACCTTTATTAATTTTTGATTAATTTTCGCTAGTAATATTATTAATTTGTTCTTAAAAATCACATTTTTATTACTTAAAATAATGATTTTAATGCAAATTTTTTAATAAAATTAAAAAAATATACATAATTCAAATGAACAAAATAAAGAAATACAGTTACAAATTCAAATTCATTATTTTTATTATTAAAAGATTTTTATTGCAAAAAATGCTGATTGAAGTGCGTGAGGTCGTCGTCAGTGTGTAAGAGTGTCGCGAGCAGAGAAATTATTGCACTCTGTTTGCGTACGAACGAAGACTTCCTTGTTTGTACTTAACACTTGTCAAGATTCGCGTTTAAAGGAATTCGCCCTTTGGCTGCGAGTTACAAGTCTATAATTGCGAGAGACATTTACTTAAAAGTTCTATGACAATGTGTCACCAATCAAAATCTTCTGAAAGGCTTTCTTTTTGCAAAATGATTGATTTTCTAAGAAATTGCGTCCAGGTTAATAAATTGAGCAAATAAGTCAGACATACAATGTGGAATGAAAGTTTCTAATTCAAATAACAAGGAAGCACAGTTATTATTTTTAAAATAAATTTAACCTTACAAACTGCTTACAAAGATTTCAAACTATTAATGTCGAATTGGGGAAAAATCTTGTTATCGTAATCGTATAACAAAATTGATTGTTTGTTTTGAAAAAGTGCAAAAATTATTTTGAAATACGTAAAAAACTTATGAGTTGAATTTCCAAAGATATGATATTGAATTACAAAACTTGTGGTCAACAATTACGAACTAAATTTAAAAATAAATATTAATAACATCGACGTTGGTAATTACATCAAATGTATTCATTGAACTTATTTTGTCTGATCACAACAATCAAAAGAAACTTTAAAATTAATTGCGACATACAAATTAATGAAATCCTAAGAAACTGAATTTATATAGAAATAAAAATGGTATAAACAATTGCAACTTATGGCATTAATTTTGCGGAAGATAAATATTGTGTGTTCGATATTCGAAAATGAAAGACGTTTTGCGATTGTGAATCACTTTCGATTTGCGGAATGGACGTGATGACCATATCTGCGTGTGGCGGTTGGTTTCCTTTTGAATTAGAGAGCGGCTGCAATTAAGCAAAACAAGAGCAGTTGGAGGAACAATCGCGGTGGCGGCGGCCGGGACTTGAAAGAAAAGCGTCGCGGTCACTCGCGTCGCACCTTCGTCCCAAATCGGACGCGCGCAGCAAAATGGTCCAGAAGCAGGGGCAGAACGTGGCCTGCACTTTCGCGTGAGTCTGATCTGCGATCTCTTTCATTGCCGCGCCGCTCTCCGCCCGAGCACCATCAACTTTCCTTCTTCTTCTTTGTGCAATTCTCGCGGGATATTGATACACGATAAATGGCCCAAGCGCTTGTGGCCGAGCAGATGCTCTCCGAAATGGGGCCATTTCTCCACAGGTACTCTCAATTTTCACCACGTGCTTCTCATGATGCAGAAGATTGCAAATCAGCATTTCGTTCAAAGTGTTTTAATTTCAATTCTTAATCACTGTGTTTTTTCTAGCCAATTAAAAAAAAACAATGTTTGAAAGAAATTGATATTTTTTTACAAGCATTAAAGTATGAAAGTAAATTTACAAGTACATTTAATATTTATTGAGCTTTTATTGGTAATTTTAATGTTAGAAAGGTTAAATTAGAGAAATTTAATTTTTGCTTCAACATCAAATGTTATTCACAAATTTTGAATTGTTCACCACACAAATATTTTGATATTTTTCTCATTATTTTCAGTTTAACTCTAAATATTTTATCTTTTTAATGTATTTTAGATCTATCTCTCTATTTGGGCCCAATATTTCAGAATTAAATATATTCAAGTCCAATCTTAAACTTAAAAAGAAACTATTTGGCCATTTAAATTTATCATTGAAATATTTCTTATTGAAAATTCCTCTAATTTCGGTTAAAAAATTTAGTTTGAGTGATTATAAAAGAAGAATTTTTCACGATGTTTTCTTGTGCTTTTGTTGTTGGAGCCTCCGTCAAGGTCGACCTTTTTAATTGTGACTTAACGCGCAGCATTTGACACGTTTGTGTACTTTACGAGGTGCAGCGACAAATAATCGTGAATTGTGTGTAGCACCTCGCTCCACATTTCCTCTCTCCGGGTGGTCTTTTTTCTACTCATCGCACTTAAAAGCGAAAATTGAGTTTAAAATAAATTTGTTCGTAATTGCAGCAAAGACGCGGCGCCTCTGTCCGTCCAAGTGATCAGCACCTCAAACAACCACAAAGATGAGCCCTCAAAATCTCACGGACTCTGCGGCGTGTCCTCCTTCGCCTTCAGACAGGTCAGTTTTCAATTTCTTTACTTGGAAAATTGCAATAATTTTTTGTTACTTTTTCTGACGCATAAAAAGTATGATTTTCATTAATTTACTCCAATATTAATTCTTCAACAATGGGAAAATGAGATATTAGAATTGATACATTTTGATATAAATTATGAAACTTATTTTTTGGTAGGAAAGGATATAAATTTGTTAAAATTATTAGACCTTTTGTAAAATTTTAGGGGGTTGAGGCTGAATTATTTATTTCTTTTAAGATCAAGATTTTTAATAATAAAATCAAGAATTATTAAATGTAAACATATTTGATTAATTTTAAATTATATTCGAGAAACAAAAAACAGTTTAATTAAAAAATATACTTTTTGAAAGCATTCAACAATTGAATGTAAACAATGTATTTCTAACCATGTGGACAAATAAACAACAATAATATTTATTGATATTTTAAATTACAGTTAACTTAAAAAAGAACTTTTTCTTTAGCTAGAGGCTAAATAATAATGGGGGAGATTTCCAATATATTTAAAGTTATTCCAATATATTTCAAAGTTAATTTGAGCAAATAAATCTTTTTCTTATGGCTATCAAATCAAGTATTGAACCAGTGGCTGGCTACGGCTGCCGGCTGCCAAAAGTGCAACTGCAATGAACATTGTGCAGCTCATTTGAACAAATGTGTCTTGCCAAAGGATATAGCTAAGGACCCCGGCCGGCATAAAATAATGATAATAATGATCATTACGATCATAACAATCACAGCGATCATAACGACCAAAGCGATCATAACGATCATTGCGATCATAGTGATCATATATAGCGATCATAATGATCATAACTATCATAACGATCACAGCCATCATAACGATCACAGCGATCATAACGATCATAGCGATCATAACGATCACAACGATCATAACGATCACAACGATCATAACAATCACAGCGATCATAACAATCATAGGAATCATAGCAATCATTACGATCATAGCGATCATAACGATCATTGCGATCATAGTGATCAATACGATCATAACGATCACAGCGATCATTACGATCATAGCGATCATAGTGATCATAGCGATCATAACAATCATAGCGATCATAACAATCACAGCGATCATTACGGTCACAGCGATCATAAGATCATAACGATCATTGCGAACATAGTGATCATTACGATCATAGCGATCATAACGATCATTGCGATCATAGTGATCAATACGATCATAACGATCACAGCGATCATTACGATCATAGCGATCATAGTGATCATAGCGATCTTAACGATCATAGCGATCATTACGATCATTGCGATCATAGTGATCATAGCGATCATAACGATCATTGTGATCATAGCGATCATAACGATCATTGCGATCATAACGATCATAACGATCATTGCGATCATAACGATCATAGCGATCTTAACGATCATAGCGATCATAACAATCACAACGATCAGACCGATCATAACAATCACAGCGATCATAACAATCATAGCGATCATAACAATCACAGCGATCATTACGGTCACAGCGATCATAAGATCATAACGATAATTGCGATCATAGTGATCATAACGATCATAACAATCACAGCGATCATAACAATCATAGCAATCATAGCGATCATAACGATCATTGCGATCATAGTGATCATAGCGATCTTAACGATCATAGCGATCATAACGATCATTGCGAACATAGTGATCATTACGATCATAGCGATCATAACGATCATTGCGATCATAGTGATCATAGCGATCTTAACGATCACAGCGATCATAAGATCATAACGATAATTGCGATCATAGTGATCATAACGATCATAACGATCACAGCGATCATAACGATCACAACGATCATGACGAACATAACAATCACAGCTAAAAATGAGCTGCTCATATGAGCACCTGAAATGAGCACCTCATATGAGCACCTCAAAAGAGCACTTCGTCGTTTTTTAGTCGTTTTGTAGTCAACTTGGAGTCGTTTTCGACTCCCAAATGACACTAAACCATTACCAATTGACTCCCAATCAACTCCCCAAACGACTCCCATAATGCGCTAAAACACGCAAAGCTCGTTCTCTCTTTATATTTATATACCACCTCGCTTAAACATCCCAACAATTTTACCATCAATAAGCCATCAACTATTTCGACTGTTGAACCAGCTGACCTTGCTGTCAATTTTGAAACAAAAAGGTCAGCCGCTAGTAATAAAAAAAAATAAAATCAAGTCAAAACTTTTCTTCTTGCTAATTTAAGTTATCTACAAATAAAAAAAGAAGCTTGAGAATTTTAATTTTTCAGAGTTGAGAAATTTTACGTACAAAAAATTTCAAAAGAAAAAATCCTTGCATAATTTCGCTTTGATGAAGAGGTCTTTAGAAAGTTCTGAGCAAAATAAATAAGCAATTTTAAATTAAGTTCGATACAGATTTTTGTGTAAGCTTTGGATTTCAATTTTGCCCTCATTTCCATGATCCTCACAAAATTCTGATTTGAAAAAGTTTTCTGTTCATTGCAATTGGCCAAAATCTAAAAAGTTTGCGAACATGTTGACGATCTTTTAATTACCAGCTCATTTGATTTTAGCGCGGGTTAAAAATTTATCCCGTTGAGGGCGCTAAGAAAAGATATCCCTCAATGACTTGGGGACAAAAAATTGAAGGCGGGACAAAAAATATTTTACCCGGGACAGTGGTCTAAATTTTATCCCTTTGTATTTATCCCGGGATATCTTTTATCCCGGGAGAGCTAAGTCTATTGGATCTCCCCAAATAATTTTATTTTTTTAGTTATTGGCGGTTTTTCATATTCAAGTTCTTACATCTTTTGGAATCACTTTTTTCAGTTCAATTGTAATATAATTTGTAATTAAGCGCTACTTGTTTATATGTTTGGGCCAAGACAAATTTTGATATTTAGCAATGAGAAATGATGCAAAGGACAAATAATAATGTTATTATTCGCCTTGGCCACTCAAAACACATGTCAATTTGTCGGCGCGCGACAACTCCATTAAGAAAACCGTGGGCGGTTTTTCTCATCTCATTTCTAAATCCAACGCAGAGAGTAAAAAGTGACAGGTGCGTGCAAATAGATCAAATCCTCGGTCGTCCCATTTCGCGTGTAATTCGCTGAGCTATTTCTGGCCGCCATTCTAATAAGTCCTCTCTTAAAAGCGCGAAAAATTGTGTTCGTCGCCAGGTACACATGAGTAATCAGAGAAATTGTACTGAATTAGAAACGGCCCACGGCGTGTAAAAATAGAACTCGCGGTCTGGACACAAGTTCATTCAATCAAATCCAAAAATCTTCAAATAATTAATTCATATTTAAAGAGAAAAAGAAATTCATTTACTTTGATATGCAGTGATTAATTAATCTGGCCTTAATTGCGTCAATTAATCTAAAATTAATTTGATGCCTTCAAAATTAAAAAAATGTGACGAGACGGTCACGTTTTGCGGCACAGCCAATTTAGTCTGGCGTTTTAATTCGCCTCCGCGCTTTGCCGAAAATAAAAATTGTGCGTGACAAACAGGCTTTGGCCGCCTCTGGACCCGTGGTGGCCACCATCGGCTCCGGAATGACCTCAGGCTTCTCGGCCGTGCTGCTGCCCCAACTGCGCGCCAGCGACTCCGACCTGCCCATCTCCGAGGATGACACTTCCTGGATTGGTAAAAAATAAAAAACAATTTAATTTCCCTGAAATTCAAAAAAATTATAATAAATTGAAAAGGAACAAGATTTAAAATTAAAAAACAAACAAAGATTTGAATTAATTGCAATTCTTCTGATCTGAAGCGAGTATGGCCGCCCTCCCGATGGCCCTGGGCTGTCTGGCCGGCGGCTTCAGCATGGAGAGGCTCGGCCGAAAACGGACCAACCAACTCCTGTGCGTGCCCTTCATCGCAGGGTGGCTTCTGCTGGCCGTCGCGCAAAACGTCACCGCCCTGCTCGTCGCCAGATTCCTCACTGGTATTATAACATTTTTTGTACAATTTTAAAGAAAGTCTTGAGCAGAAATATTAAATTTCTCCCAAATTGTAAAAATTTTTCTAAAAAACTATAAATTCTCATAAATTCATTTCATAAATTCACTCTTGATATGGTAAAAAGTAAAAACTTAACAAAATTTCCTGAATCAAATGATCGACGACATCAGAATCTATCCTTTTAATATTATTATTATTTTATCCATGACAGTAATGATTAAATAAATTGCACCACATTTGTCACTTCCAGCAAACAAAAATACATTATTATTATTTAAACAAAACAAAAAGATAAAAATTTGCAGAAATTCCCACACAGCACTGAGACTTGTGAGTTTTATTAAAATTAATGATTTTTTTATAGGACTAGCTGTGGGAATCCTGGGGCCGGTTGGGCTCATCTACATCGGCGAAACGTCGGCGCCGCAGTACAGGGGGGTGCTTCTGGCCGCGATTTCACTTGCGGTCTCCACAGGCATTCTGCTCTCTCACCTCTTCGGCGCTCTCCTCCACTGGCGACTCGCCGCCGCTCTCTGCGCCCTTGCACCCCTCATTGCCCTGGTAATGAACCTATATTTTCTAACAACTTTCAAATTTTTCTCTTTTATTTGACCACAAATTTTGTTCTTGCTAATTTTAAATTTTAAAATGTACCCTTCAATTGAAGAAATATCAAAATTTACTGTTTTCTTCTAAAACTACAATACCTACTTTGAGTTTTTCAAATTTAATTCTATTTAATTTAAAAAATAACCAAAATATTTGATTAAAATTACAATATTTGACAGTGGAATTTTATAAAAGTGAAGTTAAACTTATCCGAAAAATATTTTTTCCATTCTATTATTAAACGATATTCCTTCTGTATGAATTTGTGTAATTTCCAGATTCTAGTTTTGGTGTCGCCCGAGTCTCCGGCGTGGCTGGTGGCGCAGGGTCGACCTTCGGACGCCCAGGACGCGTTCCGGTGGCTGCGCGGCTCCGACCCTGAGGCGTCCGCCGAGCTGCAGAGCCTGCTGCACAAGCGCCCTGACGCGGCTGCTGCAGCGGCCGCCGACGAAGGTTGGCGCTCCCGCCTCGCGCGTCCCTCCTTCGTCAAGCCGTTCCTGCTGATGAACGTCTTCTTCGTCATCCAGCAGTTCAGCGGCGTCAACGCGGTCGCCTTCTACACCGTCGCCATCTTCCAGCAGACCCTGGGCGACGGCGTGGACGAGTACCTGGCGATGGCCGTGCTGGACGTGGCGCGGCTCGTCATGTCGCTGGTCACGTGCGTGCTGCTGCGGCGCCTGGGGCGCCGCCCTCTGGCGCTGACCTCGGCCGCCGGCACCGGCCTCTGCCTCCTCCTGCTGGCCGCCTTCCTGCGCTTCAGGGACGCCACCTGGGCGGCCTTCGAGTGGACGCCCGTGGCCCTCCTCGTCGGCTACATGGGCTTCGTGTCGGTCGGGCTGGTGCCCCTGCCCTGGGTCATGACCGGCGAGGTCTTCCCGGCCGCCGTCAGGGGCGTCGGCAGCGGCGCCACCTCCTGCCTCGGCTTCCTCGTCTTCTTCGTCGTCGTCAAATCAGGCCCGGCCATGTTCGCCTCCATGGGCAGCGACGGCACCTTCCTGCTCTACGGCCTGGTCGCCACCTTCGGAGGCGTCTTCCTCTACTTCTTCTGCCCTGAGACCAAGAACCGCACTCTGCAGGAAATCGAGGACGCCTTCGAAAACAAAACTGCCGCCACATCCACCAAAGTGTGAAATTTTTTGTACAAATTTCTATTTCAAATATTTTCCAATTTCAATTCATCAAAATTGGGAATTTCAAAAAAAAATAGCCATTGAATGACATTTTATGATTTGTAATTTATGTTCAAAATTAATTTTACAATCATTTGACGCTACTCAATACCGTGACAGTTTTCATTTGAACCTTAAATATTGATTTTAGTGTTAATATTTATTTGCTCTGCAAAAATACTCTTTATAATTTAAGTTGAGAGTTGTGATTTTCATAACAATTTTATATTTGCATTGATCATTTTATTATTTTTGCGACTCATATTTATTCACGCATATTCCGCTTTTTATACAATTGTGTTTGTAGTTCATAACTGTAAGATTCATTCATCTCTTCATGTGCAATAAAACAAAGCCAGAAAGTGTGTCTGTCTGTATAGAGAGTGTTTGACCGGCTTTCTCTCTCATTACCATTCTTCCCTTTCAATCCGATTGGAAATCAAACGCAAGCGTTCTGAAAGGTAGCAATTAATTGCGCGGTTTATTTTTCATTCATAATCATTACAATCAACATGTCCACGCGGGCGATACACTTAAAATCACAGAGAGCACATAACATGATTCATTTTAATAATAAAAACTACATAAATCTTGCTTACAAATATATTAAGAGAGAGAGAGGAGTGATTTAAGTAAGCTCTGTGCGGTTTTCGAGTATTTGAATAATTCCAAAAAGTATTTTAAAATATTGCGCGTAACAGTTTGGTTTTCATATGTATTAAAATTCAAAGCAATAAGATTTTAAAATGCTCTTTTCAGAGCGCATCGTAAAATTTAAAATTGGTCCTTGGGTGCGATTAATCTAGTGCTTTACAACATAATTTTAGTAATACCATGTCTATTGTTCGATTTCCAGAAATATACAAAAAAAAAAAAATTAGAGTTATTTATAGTTTATCTTTGATTATAAATTAAAATATTATTTTATGCAATAAGAAAGATTTTGGAAAGATTGACTAATGAAGACAAATTTTTGGTTTGAAGCTCTGGCAGATACGCTTTGATCTTGTGCTTGAGGCAATTGGGGAAAAGTGCACAAAGTGCGGATTACATGACAAGACCATTTCCAATAATAATTTTTGTATTTGAATTTAAAAAAGGCCAAAATTTCATGCAAAGTTCAAAATCAACAAATTCCCACCAAAACTTTTTAAAATTCAATCTTTTGAGGAATCTATTGAGAAAAACTGATGCAGATTTTACCAACATTTCTTTCTAGAAATTTTGCCCATTTTTATACTCGACGATAAAAATTATTACTAGAAATGCCCAACAATATTGAGCCTTTAATTCACTTTTTCAAAGGTGTTTTTACACAGGGTCAGGACATCAGTAAAAAACACAAATCGCGTTTATAACATCAAAACTTTTGTGTTTTACAAAGGATTAGGCTGTTGACTTGTGCAAGCGAGAGGAATGTCGTGTGTTATTTTTGGTGTCCTTAACTGCACTTGTTGCTTACATGCCGCCCTCGTCCAGGGCCTTGTTGAGGTCGCGGACGACCCTGCCGAGGGCGTCGCGGTGCGGCGACTCCTTGCGGAAGACTGCGTCCAGGAACTTGGCGTCCTTGAAGAAGTTGAAGACCGAGTCGAGACGCGCCACCGACTTGGGCGTCAGGTGCGGCGTCACCACCGAGCGCAGGCCCTGGTGGCACTCGTCGAAGGCCGCCACCAGGAAGGCGCGGTCGTAGCTGAAGTCCACCTCGAAGAAACTGACCACGGCCATCGCCGTCGAGTGGAACTTGTGCTTGAACTTGTCCGCGCGCGCCAACTCGTCCGCGGACAACTGCTCGTTCCGGTACAGCAGACCGAGCTTGATCACGATCTTGATGATGTTCTTCACCAACTTCTCAGACTCCTTCTTGTCAGAAGTCTGAAATTTAAGAAGGAATTCAATTAAAATTGTTAAAAACAAAAAATTTGGCAAATAAATTTCAAATAAAAAGCTTTTGAAACTACTGTGTAGTAATATTTTAAATTAAATTAAATTAAATAATATTTTTAGAACATTAAATTAAAAAATCTTAATTTGTGAGAAACTATGTCAAATTTGGGCCATAAATTTAAAATTTAATCTAAGAAATTACCGTTAATTATTATTTTACATTTTAAAATGATTTTAAACATCATTTCAAATAAATTTTACCTAAATTTTGCTTAAAATCGCTGCAATTTTTCTCATTAAATTTTTCTACATCTTCTTAAATTAATTTTATTTTATTAACAATTGATTTGAAAGATATAATGCGGAAAATTTGCAATATTTAAGAAAACATAATGGAAAAAAACAACTGTAACTGTAACGGATATTTCTCAAAATTGACCTTTGCACTGACTTAAAAGTATGGAATTTTCATCGTCAAAACAAAATGTTTAGTAATTTTTATTTTCTTGTATTCTTTCGTTTTCTCCAATTCAAACAATTTGAAATTCATCTCTATATAATTGGTTTAAAAATTCTCACGTAAGACTTGGCCAGTTTGTAGACGTCGTCGAGCAGGCTGCCGGTGGTGTCGTCGATGAAAACCTTGGCCACACTCTTGTTGGCCATGCGGCTCAGGATCTTCTTCTGCGCCCGCAGTCCGATGTCGCGCGCCTTGAAGCCGCCCTCGCCGGCCATCACTGCGGACCAAAAAGCCGTTTTCAAATTTGCACTTTGAAACTTTTGAATGATCAAAGCCACACGGTCAACAAAAGTTTCATTCTCGGCGTGTGGCGTTGCTGCTGAATGATAAATTAATACTAAAACCGCCGAGTCGCGAGATTGATAGGCGCAGCAGCTCTTCCTGTTGCGGCTTGACTAACTTCCTTTCACTCCAGAATTTATCGTAAATCTACTCGAGAATAACTCTAGGATTTTCCGTTTTTTCTCTCTCCAAAAATCTAATCAATTTAATTATATTTTTATACTTATTGTCGCAAGTAATAAAATTGCTAAGGCCACAACGGAACCAATTTCCACCTTTATTGCTTATTTGATGGGCTCGTCCTTCGGCAAAAACAAGAATGACCTAGAAAATTCGCGGATCGATTGGCCACAAAATCGATTAATTATAGCACCAAAGTTCTTCTTCTTTTATTTTGCTTTTTGGCCTGACGTTTGCATGTTTTTAATTGAATAACATTTTTTGTTCTTATTTTTGGTGATTTGCAAACAAACGCGATTTCAATCCGGCTCTTCTGTGCATACAAAGAGAGCCAACAATAAGCGGATCGATGGGAAATTCTCTCACCGCCTCTATAGAAGTTTTTGTGCTCCAGAAAATTCATTAACCACTCCGCAAACAATGAGAGAGATTTCAGTCTGATTTTGTTTGCATGTTAATGAAATAAAATAATGTGAACATTTTAAAACCGCAATGCTCCACATTAACGTCCGGAAATGTTGAATTAAATTTTTTTAATCCTTCTTATCAATTTTTAATTCATACGGTTGGGTTTTTGTTTCATTTAATATAATATTTAAAAGACAAAAATTCATTAATCTATAATTTTATGAGTTACTTATTATTTTTTAAATTGAAAATTATAAAATTTATAAACATTGTAATTCTTAATTTATGCCCCTTCGTTAAAACAAAATTATTGCAGACGAGAAATTTATTCATTTATATATTTATTTATTAATATTTAAAAATAGTGACAGAAAATTTTTGCTGTCCTGAGTTCAATAAATGTATGCGCTGGATTGCTCTGCTTTTTCGTAAACTGCCATCATAGCGATTTAAATGTGTATAAATAGGCAGTGACGCAACCGCCATTTATCCTAACGCCCGAAATTTTGATGGCCTTTTATTTTCACGCGTCGCTTGCGTTCGATAAAACGTGACGTTAGACAATCTAAAATTCATATTGGAACACATAATATTATTTTGATTTGCATTTTTTTTTTATTCAATTGACGTCAATTGCAGAACTCGATTGTCGGAAATTCCACTACACAAGTTACTAAACAGCGATTGTGAAAAAATACAATTTCCTTTTTAGATAAAACCAAATTTAAAATAAAAAAAAAAACTCACCAGTAGCCATTATAGGGGCGTGCGTTGGTTTCAGGAATGGGAAACAAAAACGGTCCAAAATCAAAAGGTGCTTCAACTAAACAAGTCTAAAACGATCACATAAGGAGGGAGTTGAAATAAAAACAATTAGATTTACATTTACAAGGAAACGCTTGAAAACTTCAGAAATTGATTTTGATCAAATTTATTTATTTTTCAAACTTGAAATCAATCAAAATTTAAATTAATACTTGCAAAATTAGGGCACTCTTGATTAATGTCTTTTATTTTAATAATTATGCATAATTTTGTAAATTCCATAATTATAACATAAAAATGATTTTGAGGGTTGAAAATTATAATTTACGATTTATAATATAAATTTTTGGAACAATTTCCAAATAAATGAGTTTTTCAAACAAAAATCAATGTTTCATAATTTTTTCGCATTGCAAATTTGGTTCAAATTTAAAATCGATCTGAAGTTTTCATTTTGTTTCTTGTAGTTTTTTTCGGTTTGCACGCACGGTCGGGGGGCTCGTAGGTGTTGGAGACCCATCCGAAGAGGAGCCAGCCGCCCAGGTCTTCGATCAGGGGGCTGCAGGCCTGCACAATCGCCGACGCCGCCACGCTGTTGCCTCTCTATTGCGACTCGATCTGCAAAAATAGTACAAATGCGTGTGTCAGTCACCCGGAGAAATTGATTCGAACAAATCCGAGACCGGTTTGTCGGCTCGTGTGGGTTTGCAAAGTGTGGAAATAAAAGAAGAAGTTGAAATGGAATCGTCAACATTCTCTTGGGAAAAAGAGAGACATTTTATATTCCTGGGCGCGCAGGACAGTTTTGTTCTGATCTCACGAAAAAATTCAATACATGAAAGAATTATGCTTTGGGCGAAATGAAAGGGAGCCTTAGAATTGATCAAACAGATTTTTTTAGAAATTTTATTTCGATTCTAATAATTATGCAAATAAACTGTTATTTAAAAGACATCATTATTAAAATTTTAGTAAAATTTCATTAAAAATAAGCGTTTGTTAGTTCCATCATTACAAAAACGTTCAGTTAAATTATAGTCAAAGTAAATTTGATAAATTATATTTTGATCTGAATTTACAGACAAAATAGTAATTATTATTTTAAACAAATTCAATTGACTTTGAAAATTATGCTTCAAAATAACTTTAAATCTCTGAAAAAGTTAAGATATCCTTGCCATGAAAGTTGATTTAAACTGAAAAAAATTTTTAAAAAGGCCAAAAATTGCATAATGTCATAATGTGTCTTTTGAAAACGTCAAGGGATTTTTATTACCGGCCCAAAAAATTCATGGGCCACAAAACAACATAATTAAAAATTGTGTCTGCAAAAGTTTTTTTTTTAAGAAATTCCAACAGTACAATTTTGAAAAGCCTTAATAGTTTGAAGGTTTAAATGTCAGTTATTCACAATCTTTTTATATAAAAGCGCATCCTTGTTTTGCTCAGGCACTTAAAACGGCAATCAGCCTCCCATTCACGCAGCTCGTCCTTAATCCTGGCCTAGAGATCTTGAAAAATATATAACGTGTCTGAATAGCGTCTGCAAATAATCTCCAGCAGTGAGATCATCCTACAAAGAAACCAGAGCAAGGATTCATAGAATAAAAAGTCTAAATTGAAATTTGAAGCTTTTAAGTTGTTCCTAACAAGAGCAGAATTAGGAATATGGAAAATTATCGTGTTTAAATTTAAAATGCTGAAGAGACAAAAAGGAAATTTTATTACATTGACACTTCCTTGTACAAAAAATTAATGATGTTCCTTTTTGTCTAATAAAATGCAATAAACAAATTTTTGTTGATTTAAATTTGCAATCGAATTTCTTGTTCACTCTTTTCGTCCTCGAATTAATTCTGCCCCCGCGGGTTTTGAGGTCAAACGCGTGTGGGGAAAACAGGTGGCGAACCCCGGCCGGCCTGGCTGCTGCCGCGACTTGACCCACATCCCCGCCAGCTATTCTCGCTTTCTTTCTTTCTTTGCGCGCGGACCATGAATATGCATCCACGTAATGCAGCGGCAAAATGAGTAGGACAATTAAATTGTGCGCGAATTGAATGGACGTGCTGGATCGCGGCCGGCGAAAGCGCCCATCACATGTGCTCGCCAGGCACATGTGCGCGCGTGTTAATTACAAAACACGATACGACACCCCCACCCACCCACCCACCCACCCAGATACACCCTTGACACCGAAATCGACCCACCCTTCAACTCTCACAACCAAATGATCACAGCTCTCATTAATCTGTCCATTTTTACCACAGTGTATTTTTTACCGCAGGAAAAATGAAGCAAAACATTTGAGACGTGAAAAAGAGAAAAAAGTGTTTCATTTTTTTCCATAAAAAAAAGCATTTCTCTTCAAACAATATTTATTTTATAACTGAAACTTCATTTCAAATTTATACTAAATTCGTTTTGTTGGTTTACTTAAAGAAAAAATTGGCTGCACAAATTAACTTTTTGCCACCCTGAACGAAGTAAAAATTATTTTCTCAATTATTAGTATTATTTTTGGTTTGGTGAAATGAATATTTATTTGGTTAGAAAACTAAATAATTACATACATTTTGAAGAAATTTATTTTAAAATTATGTAATTTGTCTTAAAATATCTTCTGAAATTGACGATCTTTTTCGTTTGTGTCAATTCCCATTTTAGTTTTTAATTTGCAGACTTTTTCAGGTTTAATGTCCAATATAATTAGAACAGTTTGTCACCTGTTCCTCGTAATAAGGACCTAATTAAAAATTTCTGATTCAAATTTATTTTCCTTTGAACTTGTCGCTCCACATGAATAGTGATAAAAGAAAGCTCATCGGTAAACCGACCTGCATTTGCAAATATAAAAATGCAAGTCGCGATTGAGGTGATGCGGGTGGACGGGCGTGCCGTGCTTTGCGCAATTAATTTTTAATCAGTAAATAATTTCACACTTTTTTCCTCCAGAAGTTACTTCTTTTTTGGTTTTGTTTACGACACGAGAGAGGAAAGAACCGAAATAAATAAAAACAAACGCGCGTTGCGTGCAGACGGAGGAAATTGATTTTTGCCCAAGAGGTTCGTGCGAGCGTGAGAGGAAAAAGCCGGAAAACGTGCGCGACTGTCTGTTTCGACCGCGAGTGTGGCGCAGTCCTAAAATTCAAGCCCGATGGCGGAATTTTCTACATTCTTGAAGATGAAATGAGAAAAAGAGCAACAGTGAAAATATAATTAGACAGAAATATAAACAAACTGACTTTACTTTATTAATAAATCTATTTATTAGAACTCTTTTAGCAATTTATTATTTTTTTTTTAATTAATTTAGACAATTTAGAAATTAGAAAATAATAAACCTTAGCAGTTCAAATATAAGAACCAAGATTATGTTCTGCTTGTTTTGTTTTCAATTTTCTACCGCTGAATCAAACCCTATTGGAAATGTTTTTGACAGACGTCAGAATCCCCTTTATTTCAGTATTTTTTATCCTGTTGAAGAAAAATATATTGAAAAATGAAGACTTTTTTTAAAATAAAGTTTCTAAGTTATTTTTGAAATTGGAAATAATCATTTTAGTTAATCATTTTTTTCTTTTCGAAAGATATGCACATCAGAAATAAGATTTGCAAACAATTTCTCAGAATGTACTTTCAAGTATTGCTTTTATTGCGTCTCTTCCGGAGAAGTCACGAAGTAGCAAATGTGTAATTTGGCACGTACTTGCGAGAGTAGTTTTTATTTCGCCTCCCTTTTTCTTCTCTCGTCTTGATTTTCACGTTGGACAAAGAAAGTGCAGCCGAGCGACTGCGATTGCACACGTGACGGAAAATCGGCTGACAATGGGAATTGGAGAGCACTGGAGACTCGTACACTTGATTGCACATCGGTAATTGTCAATGCTCACTGCAATTAAATCCGCCGTCTCCAATTTCTCATTAGAGAGATTCTACAGTTTGAATAGAATGCGACCGTCAGCGTGAGAGACTCTCTATTCATTTAAAACTTATGTCCCCTGATAGAGCCAATGTGCAACAAAATGAATTTTCATAAATCCTTGAGTAATAAATATCAATTTTTAAAAACAAAATCACAAATATATGAATTATTATTAGGGTTGTGAAACTTAGACGATCGACTATTTTTTTCTGGGCTTTGGTTTGGCCTGAATTCATCAAATGTGCACGAATCATGAAATTTCAAGACGATTGACACCCACTTAAAATCGTCTAAAACCGTCTAAAACGCCCAAAACCGTCTAAAAGCGTCTAAAAATCGACTAAAACAGTCTAAAAGTGTCTAAAACTCACCATTTCGTCTCCTGGTACACAAAATATTCTAAAGTGAAGATTTTCGTTTACCGCGCATTCTCTTGAAAAAAAATTCATGGTTTCTGGCGACCATCTACAAATCTCGGACAGGTCATTCTGAGCATTTCTAGCTAGTTTTGGTGAACAGTGATTTTTACCCCCTCACCCCTAGATCCACCCTCGGCGACTTCTTCTTACAAGCCAAATTTTCAACCTTGGAAAAACAGTCTAAAACCGTCTAAATTGGATAAAAACCGTCTAAAAACCGTCTTTTTCTATGCAAAAAGTGTCTAAAAAAAGTCGACTATTTTAGGCAAAAAAAGCGTCTAAGTTTCACAACCCTAATTATTATTATTAATTAATAAAAGAAAAGTAAAAAACAATAACGACCAAATGAATAGATAAAAAATATTGATTAATTATTACATATTTTGTAAAGAAAGATGGGAAAAATTTTGATTTGATTTAAATTAAGCAATTATAAATTTTTGTATAATAATTAGTGAAACTTTGAAGTCCAGTGTGTCTCGTTTCTTAATTCTCGGTCGGCGCTTGGCAAAGAGAGGTGAGTGAGCCGAGCCCTGGCATATTGATTGCTGCATAGAGAGGGTGTCCGTCTCTCAAAGTACATGCATAGGCAACCGGCAGCGCACACCTCACGCTATGCCCCAAGGGCGAAACATGCGCCGCCGATAAATAATCATATCCGAAATCGAAAACATTGATTGATTCCGACTTCCAACGTTGGACAAAAACCAAAAATAAAAATATTTCATGGAATACTACACGTATAATTTAATTAAAAATTGTTTTCAACGATTGAATAAACCCAATGTGGATAAATAAACAACAATATTAATAAAAAGAATTTTAAATTTTGAGAAATTGGGTTTCTTGTATTATTAATGGGTTTTTTTAAAATTAATTTTAACTATTTTAACAGAATACTTTTATAATTCATTAACTGTTATAATTAAATTTTTTTGTGAAAGCAAAAACTTTTTCTTAAGGGTTTGTAAGTTGGAAAAGGTTTAGGATTCCTTATGGATGCTTGTGGGCTCTCGAATGGTAAGTCAGTTTTTACTCTCGAGAGCCGGGCGCTGCATAGAAATAAGAAATAACAGAGTGAGCCGCTGGCGAATTCTTTCTTTTTCTTCCTCCATGAATATTTCATCAGCAACCACAAAAATTTCTCAGCATTCCACCGTGAGATCGGGCGAAATTCGGCAAAGAACCGCAAATAAAAAGCAGGGATTTTGCTATTGTAATCGAATGAAACCCGTCAATTTGGGCACTTCCGCCGCGGCCTAATTCAATTTGCTCTTTTCTTTCCGTCGTAAAAGATTCATCTTTGTAATTGCGTTTCGCGAAAAGTGGTGACAAAAAAGGGACGATAAAAGGAGAAGGGTTTACGGTCGAAATAATAAGTTTTGGGCGCGGTCTCTTATTTCTTTCTTTCTTTATATTCCAAAGTTGCGCAAACGGAGAACACCTTTTCGCAGTTAATTTTTTGCACTCTGAATCTTCCTCATGAATAAAAGATGCTGAACAATGCCAATTTTTTTCTCTCTCACGTGAGCGAAATAATTTGCACAACGCGCAGTTTTGATCTGAATTGCAAATCGAATCGAAATTTATTCGGACTGCGCGTCAAAAGGTATTCCTGCGTGTCGGCGCGGCGCACAAATAAATATTGAATTGCGCCGCGAGACGTCTGCGTGTGTCACTGATATCGTAACTGAATCCGCGCGCCTTGTTTGCTGCGCCCGTCTCAATCGCATCGATGCATGCCTCCGACGTCACCACGGTTTCAATAAAACGCTCTTGTAATAGTTGTTTGTCATTAAAGCGCCGTTACATTCATAATTTTCATTTTATTCTCAGTAAAATTTTTCATAAAAATTAAGATTTTTTCTTTTATCATTTTTGCATAACATTTTGTAAACCGTTGTGCAAAAATAACGCACATCCTCTGTCTGGTCTAAAAGCGTCTGGAGCGATGAAAATACATACACGATGGGTTTCCTGAATAATGAAGCGGGGTCGATTGAATGAAAACGCGTTCAGAGGAAAAGGGTCGCGCGCGTCGGGAGGGAAGCGCAGGTGTGCGGCTCGGGATCGACTCACAAAAACCTGCACGTTGGAGAAGCAACAAGCAAAATAACCATCAGGTGCTGACGACGTGAAAACGCAAATTACTTTCAACAGTCAAAATTTAGTAAATTTCCGTACTTTCCTTATTAATTTTAACTTTTGTAACCTATTTTGGTTTAAATTTTTTAAATTTATTTACGATGGTGTTTTGGTCCTGTTAAAAATTATTAAATTAAAGACATTAAACTTAATTTCTTTTTCAATAAAAACAATTATACTAAATATTAAAATTAATAGGTGCTCTTTTAAATAATTAAAAGTAAGTCCTTGTCAAAAGAGAAATCTCACCTGCAAAAATTGCATGCAAAGTTGAAGGCCAATTGGTTTTGTTCTCTTCTTTGTCTTTGTTTACGAGCAAAACCAGTTCGTTCTTCTTCTCTCGCCGGCTGGAAAGAAACTGAACTAACAGCAACAGCGGGAATCCGGAGCAGCTCTTTATACTTCGGCTAGGGTGCCGCGAGGCGCCGCCACCTCATCACCTGCCAGTCACTTGTCAAAGTCACTGATTTTTTTTAATACCATGATACGATACAGTATGCAAAGAATTTAAATTTTGATGCCTGAAAATTTGAAGAAAAATAATTGAGATCGCTGCAATAATTTTTTTTAATTGGAAAAAACTTTCATAAATTATAATTTAAAAAAAATATGCAGATGATGGTTTTACGTTCCAAAATAAAACATTCAAATATTTTCTGCTTAAATAATTATATTTAATTAAAAAAAGTTTCTCCAGAAACCTCCTATAAAAACACATTTTCTTGATTTCGGAAACAATTCAAATTTCTTGCAGTTGAAAACAATCAAGTTAATAATTAAGACACAATCTCAAGTTTAAAAATAAACAATCACTGCTGTTTCTGAATAAAAATTGCAGGTCTGGTGGGGGCGCCTGTCAAAATTGTCTGGCCCGCGGTACGGATGAATGTCGGAGTGCTGGCCGAGGTGCTCGGGCCTGGGTCGCCACTCGGCTTGATGTTGGTGACCATTTGCTGCAGTTTCCGCGTCACGAGGGTTCGCAACTCCTGCTGCTTTTTGCGCCACGCCAGCCACTTGGCAACCTCTGGGTCCGACTTGTCCCCGATCGTCTCCAGTTTACTTTCGTAAGTGCTGCGCAAAATTCTGAAGCTGACCACGTTCGAGAAGGGTAGTTTGACCACCGGGTCAAAGTAACGGGCAGGTTGTCTAAAAAAAATTTTAAGAAAAAAATTCATAATAAAACTTTTTGTACCTCGAGAAAGGACAAAGCTTGACCGGTTTCAGCGCTGGCTTTTCTTGCGGGAAATACTTCTTGAGCGATTTTTCGTCCGGGAACGTGATAAAGGTGCGCTCACACTTCTTGTCATTGGAAACAATTTCTTGTTCCTTGATCTCCTCTGAGGAAATTAAATTGAAGAAAACATAGCAAAAGTAGATTTGTCTTTGCGTACCGACTGTGATCAAAGAGTCGTCAACGTCGATGGTTTGGTTTTCACTGCTGGGCAGTTCTTCAATCAGGGGAGCGGCAAAAGAGTGGTACCTGATCATGGGTCCCTTGTAAATCTTCTTCACAGGCCTGATTTTTTTCTTTTCCAACTCCATCAATTGAAATTGCTCTGTAAAAACATTTAAATAAATTGAGGTTTAAAAAAATAAAAGTTTATGAATTTACCGAGAGATTCCAGATTTTCCCTCTCAGTAATTTTTGCCTCTTCCAAAAGCTCCTCTTGCGTCATGGGCTTGTCTGGCTTTTCCTTCAACTTCATCCGTTTTCTCCTTCGCTGATATTCCTCATCTCTTTGCTTCACCCGTTTTCGTAGCTCTGCAGACTTTGCTGCAGTTGATCTTCGGCAAGACTTTCTCTCTGAATTTTTCAAATGATTAAAATTTTCTTGAATGAAATCTGCCGAAATTTACCTGATCTCGAGGGCGTAAATGAGGATTTCTTAACAACAGGCTTTTTAACCGGAGTCACGTTTGATGGGCCGGCTTGATCCTCGGGAATGTTGAATGGGAAAGGCTTGTCGGTCACATCAACCTCCTTCTTGGTTACTTTTTTCGGCTCCTGAATTTTAAAATTTTATTTTATAGATCAGTATCATCAGTAATTTATCAAAGTTATTTACCCTGTATGCTTTTGTTACTAATCTCTTGGCACGTTTCGGTTTGTCGTCTTCGTGGTCTGAAATAACGTCGTCGTTTTCATCAATGCTAAAGTCGGAGTCTACATCGTCGTCCCCCGAATCCTCAGATCTACGGTCAAGAGAGATTTGAAAACACCACAAATTCAACAACCAATATAGAATGGTTTACTTGTATTCCTGGTCGTTTTCGGCTTCTTCGAAACCTCCGTACGTGGTTTTGTAAAATTCGTCCTCCTCCTCCTCATCAAGAAGTTTGGACATTCGTGTGCCGGCATTGTTACGCCTCTCCCTTGTCGCAGCCATTTCCGCTATTTTAATAGACAAATGAATATATTTATTCTTTAATTACTTTATCAAAATCTTACCAATATATTTTTATGTTCCTGCCGCGCCCAACCAAAGTCTTTTTGTTAGTAAAGAGCTCAAATTCGCTGCAATCTGAAGACTTGTTTACATTTTCTTCTACATTTTCTCTGAGAATTTGCAAGTGGCGCCACCATAAGCAAATAAGCCGCAAAGCTTAGAAACCAAACAAAAAATTTCATATTATGCATTTGCTCTAATATTTATAAAGCTTTGTAAAAAATTGTGTTTTAAAAGAAAATTATCAAAAAATCATTATTAATTGAAAAAATTTAAGAATTTTAAATGAAAAAAAAAAATTATTCAAAAAAATTATTGTCATCTGTCACGTTGGTACAACCGGCAGACGACAATCAGAGGATTTTTGAGGATTTGAGAAGTGGAGCAGCTCGAGCGAGTAAAAATAGCCTGCCTCACATGGTAAGTGTCCCGTAATTGTCGTGGAAATGTCAAAATTTTGAAAGAAAACTTAATTTGCGCAGGCGGTGCTAGGGGCGCAGTTGGTGATCACGATGGCCGTGGCCTCGGTTCTGCAGAAACTGGGGCCTCACTACTCCCTGGGCCGGTGGCTTCTCTGCAACACTGGTCTCGTCCGCTTCCTGTACCCCACCGACCAGGAGCTGCGTGGGCTGGCTGGGGTGCCCAAGAAGAAGAAGGGCGACGCCGACACCTTCCACGTGCCCCGCAACCTCGACCTGCAGCTGGAGAAGGCGCCCGTCTCGTCTCTGGACGTGGTGCACCTGCGCTTCTACACCGAGTACCAGTGGCTCTTTGACTTTGCCGTCCACGCTGGTTTTGTGGTCATCCTGTCCGAGATCTGTCAGTTGATCACAGGACCGCAGGACGAGGCCCGTCTATCAGTTCTCTGGTGCCTCCTGGTCGTCGGATTCGCATTTAAGGTTGAATTTTCATAATTCTCCATTTCGATGAAAATAATTTAATTAAAATTTGTTTTGCCTAGATTCTGGCCCAGCTTGCTCTGCAGTACTTCAAGGGCGAGGAGAGCCTTGGAGAAAGGTCGATCTGCATAGTGGCCGCCTCGGCCTATCTCCTGATCGCTATGGTCGTGCTCATCATGGATGAGAAGAGGATCGAATTGGGTCTGGAGCAGGCGTACGCCTCCTTTCAAAGTGGTGCTTCTCAGTGGCTCAGCTACCAGGGCGTTGATTCACAGTAACAATTCATTAAAATGCTTCATTAACTTATTAAAATTAATTTCATTTCCAGGGGACCTGCCTCGAAACTAATTCTGAAGCTCTGTTTAGCAGTTTGGTGCTCAGTGATTGGTGCTTTGTACATTTTCCCAGGGCTGCGAATGGCCAAGATGCACAAAGACTCGCTCAAGTAATGGTTTTTCATTACTTTAAATTGCATAATTTTTAATTTCAAACTTTGTTTAAAATAGGTACTGTGAGGACAGACCTTTGTTGCGTGCCTTAATGAACCTGAGTTTTGTTTCGCCTTTCCTTCTGGTGATCCTGTGGATCCGTCCCCTGTGCCGAGACGTTCTGGTGCCCAAACAGTGCGTATTTTGCATTTTGATCAAATTTTCAAAACTTTTTAAACTAATAATCTGTGCAGTTTCACAGAGGCCGGATTCGAGTCGCTCCGCCTGTGGTTCATCCTCGTCTCGATCTTCGTTCGCATTGCCCTGATGCCCGTGTACCTGCAGGCCTACCTCAACATGGCGCACCTGCGGCTGGAGGAGCAGAAAAAGGAGGCGGGCAGGATCACCAACAAGGAGCTGCAGCAGAAGGTGGCCGCCGTCTTCTACTACCTGTGTGTGGTGGCCCTGCAGTACCTGGCGCCTCTGCTCCTCGTCCTCTACACAAGCCTAGTCTTCAAAACTTTGGGTATTTGATTGGATTTTTTTAATTATTTTGAGACTAAAGATGATTCCCAGGTGGTCTTTCGTGGACTGGAGTTGACCCGGAGTGTCCCATATCAGGAGGAGGGAGCGAGGGGTTGAGCATGATTTTCACCACTGACGTCTTCAAGGGTCTTTTTGGATTTGCCACTTGGTGGTGCACCTTCACCTGGTTCTCGTCAACGTGCTTAGGTGTTGCTTACCAGTCCTACTTTGGACGGACATAGACTGACTCGTATCTCAATTTTAGTCACGTTGTGTTTTAATAAATAACTGAAAACAAGTAACTTCTGTACATTTTAAGCAGAGAAATCCCTGCTAATCAACAATTTATTATAATTTTTAATTTCTAGGTAAAACAATCAACTTAACATTTCATTATTTACACAAATCAAGAAACGCTCCCTAGACGTTCTGCTCAGGTCGAGCCAGCAACCAAAGCACTCACTTAACCCTTCTCTTCTCATCAACCCTGTCCCACTTGTTTTCACTCCATATGCCGATGTAGCCAGCAGTTATAAAGAATGATAACGCGACTAAAACCATGAAGCTGATGGACTGCGAGGAACCTGTGTTGCTTGTATTAACGTTCATCTGCAAAAAGTAAAATTATTCCAGCCCTCTGCGACTATTTCTAATAGTATACTCTTGAATGGTATTGAGCTTTGGCCTTTTCTCTCCTGGCAAAGGTTTTTCCGTAGTGTTCCCGAGACCACTCGTCAAAGTCGTAAATCGGCGTTTTGCCCGAGTAAGTCATCCCTCTTGATTTGTAGAATTTCGATACTGCCGCTTGCTCTTGCGTCTCCTGCGTGTCAACAACAGTATCGTACATGCCTCCCTTGTCGTAAATCCTTCGCCTTTGGACGTTCCCAACGGTCTGGAAATTATATTCGTAAAGACAAAACAAACTTTTATCAAAAGAAAGAAAATACCTCGTAAGCTTCGGTGATTTTCCTAAAATTTTCTGCCGCATCTTGACAGCCCTTGTTCCGATCGGGGTGGTAAATTTTCGACAGCTTGTAGTAGGCGGCCTTGATCTCGCCCTGCGTAGCAGACGCGCTGACTCCTAGCGAGTCATAGTACGTTTTCTGACCGGGTCGCAAAGAAATGGATCTGTGCGATGTGACCCGAACTCTGCTGCCCTTCAAAATGCACTGCTGGCAGCTCCATTCCAGAAGCGATTTGACGTTACTCTGCATTTCGTCTGTCTGAAAATATACATATATTTCAAAATATTTTAATAATAACTTTTCTGAGGTTTAATAAAACCAAGGTTCATTACATATGTGTAAATTGGGTTATGTAATAAAAGCGGCCAGCATGGATCATACCTGAGGGTTTTGAGTTTTCAGACAATTTTATCACATGGCAATAGATAATCTCTTGTTTAAATTTGTTTCACATAACGGCTGATTAATTAATTTTAAGCTAAAACGATCAGATTTTGCCTCAAAAGGCTCAAAAAGGAATCTTGATCCTTTTCTTGTCAGCTGGGCTTGTTTACCATTGAAAGTGGGGTTATGATTAAGGAGCTTGACACTCAACAAGCTTTTTATGTAATTTTTATGGCAATAATTGGCAAGAATCAGTTGGAAAGCTACGTAAATAATACAAATTTGTTACTTTTAAACATTATACCACATATTATTCCATTTTCTAATCCAAATTCTTAATAATCTGTATTAGTACCAAACCATCAATTTGACTCCTGTACGCACTACCCATGCTTCAACAGAAAACACGACAAAAGACTGAAAACTGAAATCAACAGAAATCAAGGTGAAGGTCTGATGTAAGCTAGGTCCTGATTTTGCGTATTCGTACAGTTCTGTCACGAAAAATAGTCGGAAAAATTCCGGGAAAATCAATAATACATATTTTTCAATCGTCCTGTGTTCTCAACATTAAACTCCTCACATATAAACATCTCTACTTTCAACAAGCATGTCTCAAGAAAACAGTAAAAATTTGAAAAAGGTATCACTTGTTTTTAAATTACGGCGTTGATTTCTGAATTAAAAAATTTGTTTTAAGTGGGTGGTACCGTCCTTTGGAGGATGCTCAATCGACGACGTTGCTCCCAAGTCGGCGAAAAAGCGGCCGAATCGTCCCACAGGCCGCAGTGGAATTTGTAAATTTTCGACAGAAATCAGCTGGGTGGAAAAGCACAGTCCCTGCTCCGTTAGTGAACTTGCTGTGCACAAGAAAAAGGTCGACAGTGTCTACGACTGGCTTAAGTCAGCAACTTCTGGGGTATGTAATAATTTTGAACTTGATATGATTTCAAATTATTTATAAAATTATTTTATTTCAACAGCAGTCAAAGGCAAAGTTTTGCTGGTTGAAGGGCCCTTCTGGCAGTGGAAAAAGCACAACGGTCAAAGTGGCCGCCCAGGAGTTGGGAATCGACGTCAAGGAATGGATCACCCCCAGCAGTAATTTCTTCTACACAGAAAATGATGACGGTATATTTCATTGAAATGTTAATTAGTTTTTGTAATAAGAAAGGTGATTTTTTAGGAGGCAGAAACTACGAAGACTACAGAAGTGACACAGATTTGGTACGGGAGTTTGTCATCAAGGGAAGCCGCTTCCCCAGCTTGTTTGCTCCGAACCTTTCCAAGTGGATTGTCATGGTCGAAGACTGGCCGCTGGTCCTTCTGCAAAACCCAACAAAGTGGCACAATATTTTGGAGTGGGTTTGAGTCAAAGTTTTAAACTTTGATTTTAATTTTAAATTGCACAGAGAATTTGCAGAAATCGGAAAGTGCCCTCTAATTATGGTGACAGGAGAGGAGCAGGTTTACTCCAAACTTGTCCCCGATTTCTTCGTCCAATCATTCGGAATCCAAACATTCTCGTAATTTTCAACAATTTAACCATAAGCTTTATTATTAATAATAAAAAAATTCAGATTCAATCCTTTGGCGCCAACTTTGCTGAAGAAAATTCTGACCGAGGTGGCCCAGAAGGAGGCGCCGTCGAATGTCTCTGTCAAGGACGTCGTTGAAAATATTTGTCAGTCAAGCTGTGGTGACCTCAGGTCTGCCATCAACACTCTGCAATTTGCTTGCTCGAAAGATTTTGGCAACACGGGCAAAGTGCACAAAATGCCAGAAACAAAGAGGCGGAAAACTGAGGCACTGGCTAAGCAGGGAAGTGAGAAATTGGCCAAGATCGGAGGACGAGACGCCCCTGACGACTTTTTCCACACCATCAGCAGGACTTTGTATGCCAAAAGTGAGATTATGATTTTATTTATTGAATTTATTTAAAATTTTATTCAATTCAGGGCTGGACGATGGAAATTTCAAAACCTCACCAGACGAAATAGTTGCGAATGTTTCTGATCGAACCGATATGTTCACCGGCTTCATGCAAGAAAACTATTTGGACTTTATGCCAGACATTCAATCTGCTGCCAAATGTGCTGAAAACTTTGAGCTGGTTTCCCGTCTCTTCAGAAATTCAGTAATTAAATTTCATGTTTTATATTTTTGTAATTAAATTCTTGCTTGATTAGTTCGATAAGCCGGTTCTGCAAGGCATGGGTTTGGATGTGGTTACGAGAGCGGTCATGTCGGCAAAAAGGGTCAAAAGTCAGACTTCGTCATTCAAAAGCCACCGCAAACCAAAATACATCCAAGTTGAGAAAAATCTCCACCAATTGTGAGTGCTTTGTGACGTATTTACGAACTCGTTTTTAAAATTTGTGTTTTTAGAAATATGGATTGTAGGAGTTCATTTTCACTCTACAACACTTCAAGCCAAGCACTTCTGACTGAAATTTTGCCTTACATGACTGTCATTCAGCCTCCTCGCCTTAGCTCTGGTATGTAAATTTAAAAAAAAAAATTAAATAATTTTTTACAATTCTGTATAGGACAAACTGCTCTTGTGATGAAGATGGCGTTAGAAAGGCCCGTGTTTCTTAAGTAAGTTTTTAGTCTTGGCTTGATTCAAAAAATTAAATTCAAAAATTTAGGCCCTCAGTTCCTGTTTGTGGAAATGCTCAAAATGGATCAGAGTAAGTAAAGAAGCTCTTTTTTAAACAACTTGAAAAATAATATTTTGTGAACTTGAAGGAATGACCCTGAAATGAAGATTGAAGAGGTTGATAGTGATTAATTTCCCATCAAAATGTAAATCCAAAGATAAAAAATTATTTATTAACAAATCCGTAATCAGTCATTTCAACTAAAAATAAAAAATGTAAAACTAATTTGGTTTTAGAACAGCATTTGGTTAGCTGACTTTTAGAGTGCGCCTTTCAATAGGAGAAGTAAATGAGAAAGAAGCTATGATTGACTAAATCATACTGAGTATCAACAAGTTTCAATGTGACAATCAGTACCAATAATCCCAAATGCAGTTAGCTCCAATTTAATTTATTGAACCAAACAAATCGCGTGGCGCTGCTCGAATTGAAACTTAAACGTCGGCAGCTTCGTGCAGTCTCGCCAATTACGTTTCCCACGCATTCACGCGCCCCACACCAACACAGCATTATAATAATGTGCCACCATGAAAAAGTTGCATCTTGATATATATGTAGAGAGGGTGAAAAGTGAGAAAGAAAGTTTTTGTGGTCAGTATCGTCAAAAGCTTGAACCCGCATTGCGCAACACACGGAGCGAGGGGCGCGCCACGTGCCCCCCATGCCGCTCTCTCGCTCGCAGGGGTGGCGCGTCTCACCCCCGACCGACCGCACGCGCGCCCTCATAAGGGTGCATTACGCGATCATTTTAGAGCACCCTAATTATATGTATATGCGCACTAGAGGTGGAATCCAGGAATGGGGGCTACAAAAATTGTTGCGTCGAAAAAATAAAATTCATTGCGTTTATTTTTTGTGCTTGAGTAACTTGTTTGCTTGAAAATGTAATTACTTTTGCCGACGATATCAGTTGATATTTGAGAGATTTTGTTTTGAGTAATTAATTTTTAAACTTTTAAACAATTTATCAAAAAATTGTGCGTTTGCTCTAAATTTTATCATCATTTTGTGCAAAAAATGTGAAATTTTGAGATTGGTCGTGTTGGTTTCTTTACGTTTTCTGGAGTATCTTTAACAGTTTTGCTGTTGACATTTAAGAGCACGGCAAAGGCTATGGATACTTTTCTGTAAACCTCTGATGTTGAAGTCAATTATGATAATTATTTATTATTTTCCTAACAATTAAAAGCAAAAGAAGAGAAACATTTATCGATCAATTAAGAACCGCTAAATTATTATTTAAAAAAAGTTATTTCAAGTTATTTTCATATATTTCATCTTTTTGCTCCTGATGTCTTGATGATCATTAAATATTTTTTTAACATGTATTTTTCACGCCACCCTCATGCTGCGCACACACGGTCGAAGAAGAAGTGCACTCGGCGGCAGAAGTGGACGTGCACGTTTCCTTATTATAAATAATGTGTACCAGCACTTTTGGCTGTGCTGCCACGCGGATCGCCACACGCGCCAGATGCTCAAATATAATTACACGTTCAATATGTTGGATTTTCCTCATTTATTTTACCGTTGCATTGAAATTTGAGTTTCTCACTAAATTGGCAAAATCGGTTTTTCGTTTTGGATCTTTGAGGCGTTGAACGCACTTTTTGCTTCGGGAGTTGCACAAGTGATAAGTGGCGGCGTTCGCCTTGGGAGGAAAAGCGGCAACGCAGATGTCCAATTGGACTAAATTGAGTTCAATTGGAGTCAATTGAAGCGACGACCCTAATGCCTGCGCGGTCGTTTGCTTGCTTGCGTCTGTCCAAGTGGAGCGAGAGGAGACGACGAAAGTTTTTGCTTTGGAAAGAGAAGAGGCGACTTTTCATAATCATATATCTGACAATGGGTGGAACGTAAAACATAATACACATTTTTATAGCTGCACACCCTGCTAAAGAAGAGTGCTTCAGACGCTTCCTTCCTACGCTCAGACGCAATTTGAGCTTGCATGCTTAAAATGTTTCTTTTTTTTTCAATCAATTATGAAATTTTCGAAGGTTTCTTTTAGATATTTTGTTTGTTTGAAATGAAGTAAATTTTTACAAACTTAAGCACTATGTGGAAATTAGAAATAATTAACATTTTTTTATACTTTAAGACGTTGTTTAGTGGCACCATTTTGATGGAAATGAAAATCAATTGAAAGCTGGAATTTACCACCTATAAAAACAATTTTTAATATATAATAGATTGCACAAGAATGATCTCTTTCGAAATAATATTTCAACAAATTGAATTCCTATTTGTTTTTGCTAAATTAAAACAATAATTATTAGGAGTTTAATTTTTGTCTGGTAATTGAAGCTTTTCAATTTCATTTTATTAATTCGTGGAAGTTTTAATTTGATTTTAAAACCGTTTTATTTTAAAATTTTCCATAATTATATAGTAAAAGGCAAATATCTGCAGATTTTACAATAAATTTATATGCAAAATTTACATCAAATCGCGCATTCATTAGATTATAAGATTAATGAAAATTAAAAATTAAGTAAATTTCAACAAATATCAATCGCAAATACGCATTTAAAAAAGCATAAAATCGTTTTCATGCTTTCAGGAGAGATTAAAATTTGTTTATAATAAGAAAATTAATACTTTTTGGTTGATATATTTAAAAAAAAAAATGAATTAAAATTAGAAAATAGCAATATTGCATTGTAAAATAATTAATAACAATTTTAAATGGAAAGAAAAACTGTGAAGAAAAGTGCAAAAAAGTGGTACGGCCGTTGTTGGTCCAGAGGGGCGCCGCGTCCGGAGGAGGAAGAGCAATTTGGTGTGGGGCGAGCGAATCAGACGGCGTGGTTGGTGCTCTGCGCACTGGCGGCCGAGTTGGACGTCGGCGGAGGCGGCGGCTCGGCCGGAGGCGGAGCCGCGGCGTTAATAAATTGGATGCAGGATGGAATCTATTTCCAGTTATTAACCTGAATTTAAGTGCTAATAGAGCGGCGAGTTTGGTCGCATCAATTTTGATTACGCGCGCGTTGATTTAATTGAGCTTGTTTTAAATTGGCCGCGGCGGACGGACGCGGACGAGCCGGCCTCGTCGAATTAATTCCCGACAAGTACAAAGAAGGCCTTGCGCGCACTGCACTAATCACGCGATTCAGCCAATTTAGCCTCGCGCCATGGAAGCCGGCCCGTTTGACGACTTCCCGGACTTCGCGCCCATCGCGGCCGGAGGCGGCGGCGGCGGCTCCTGCGGCGTCGGGGGCGGCCTCAAGGCCGACGGCAGGGCGGCCAACTTCCACTCCATTCAGGTCATGCTCGGCCTCCAGCACGCCGACATGTTCAAACTGGAGCCCCCGCCGCCTCCGAACGACCACCCCGACCTCAAGTCCAAATCCCAGGCCAACGCCAGCCCCAGGATCGAAAACCCGAGCAACTCAGGTTAGTTCAAAATGTGAAGCAAAAACTCTTAAATTCTAGTTTTATTCAAAAGTGGATCAAATAAAAATAAAAATTTATTCTTATTAATTTAAAATTCAACAAATAAAGTGATTTCCGAATTTTAAATCTTGAGACTCTTAAGAGATAGAAGCGCCTGCAATCACGGCTCGCAACCTGTTGCGCGCAGGTGTCGAGCGCGTTGCATAACCGCTCACCTGTGCAGGCGTCAGATCAATTTCATTTTAATAAAAATCTCCTTTACTTTTGCTTGCAGAGAAAATGCCCTACTCTTGCGGAAATGAGGTTCCCAGCAAGAAGTCCGAATCCAAAAGCAAGAAGAACATGGACTCGAACGGCGTCAAAAAGAAAAAGACGAGGTATTCATAAATAAGAAAGTTAAGTTGTGCGGAAAATAAGCATTGAATTTTTGGTCTAGAACGACCTTCACAGCGTATCAGCTGGAGGAGTTGGAAAGGGCGTTCGAGAGGGCGCCGTACCCTGACGTTTTCGCCAGGGAGGAGTTGGCCCTCAAGCTGAACCTGAGCGAGTCGCGTGTGCAAGTTTGGTTCCAGAACAGACGCGCCAAGTGGCGCAAGAGGGAGCCGCCTCGGAAGACGCAGTATCTCAACAGCACGAGTAAGTTGGCGAATTTTGTTAACAGCAATTTTTAGTTAAATTCAAGAAAAGAAATATGAACAATAAAAAAAGGAGGAAATCAGTCGTTTGAAGAGAGTGCTATGAAAATTTTTGAAAATCTTGGTTAAAAAATTCAGTCAATCTGTTGAGTCTTGAAATTTAAAAAAAAAATCGTTACTTTGAAAACTTAAACAACAAAAAATCAGCTTCAATTTCTTGTAACGTTGAATATGAATAAATTTAAAATACACTTTTTTATTTTCAATGATTATGTCATTTATAATAAGAAATTTATGTATTTTTTTTTTTTTAAATATGAGACTATTTTTCAATCAAAAATTTTATTTCCATAGATAGAGATTTTTTAAACAAAATTTCATTATTTTCTGACCTAAATCATTTAAAATTTCAACTACTTAAAACCTTCTTTTGACACTTATTAAATTGAAATTTCAGCTCCGACGAGCGGCTCGATTTTGGCGCCAAACTTTGGCGCGTTCAACGCGACGCCGTCCGTGCCGGACACGTGGTCGTACAGCAGCGGCGGCGCGTCCGTGTCGTCAACGAGCGCGCCGAGCTACGAACCCAGTCCCCCGAGCAACCAGTCGTACACGTTCAACTTCGGGGGCGGCGCCGGAGGCGGCGGGGGCGGCTACTCGGCGCCGTACCCGATGCTGCAGCCGCACGACACCTTCCTGATTTCGGCGGCGCTGCCAAGCATGCGCGGCGGCGCCGGCGCCGAGTACGCGTTGGCGCCGAACGGCGGCGCCGACTACGGCCAGACCAACTCGCAGGAGGCGGTCGAGTACGGCCAGGACGAGTTGATGCAGCACGACGAGCGCGCCGAGTTCGACGCCACCGACGACTCGCTGCACAACGACAAGGGCGACCCCAAGGGCGACGCCTCCGACAGCCCCTTCGTCAGCCTGCCCCCTTTTCTCAATTGATGGACTCGCTGCACATCCAAAAGTGCGAATAACAAAAGTACGACCGGCGAAAATTAATTAACACGGTCTGTCGACGGCAGAGCAAAGTGCGCGAGAATCTCGACGGTTGAAATCTCCAACTTAATGAAAAACAAGTGTTTTGTTGGCAATTATCTTAAAACGGGGGTTTCAACTGGGCTTGGGAAAATAGGGGATGAGAAATTATACTTCCACAAATTCATAAAGTGCGATTGTTTTCTAATATTTGGCTCAATTTTGTTTTCTTTAAATTTTAAATTGCTTTAATTTTCCCAAGCCAAATCAGAACTTACAGGCCCACATTATGTCAGAAATTATAAAAATTTTTAGTTATAAATATCAGAAAATTTATTACAAATTTCTTTACAAAATTCAATTTTGATTGATACATTTTACTTTCATTTTAATTTTTATTCTGAAACTACTTAATTTTCCTAAAATTTGGGCATTATGTGGTGACCTGAAGTAAGGACAGTCGATTTTCTGCACAAAACGCTGCCAGAAACGTTAGGCGAGGAAAATTTTGTAAATTAACGTGCACACACCACATGTAGAGCGTAGCAATTTGAAATTCATAGAGTGCGTTTTTATATTTTTCCCTTTACTTAACCTTCGCGCAACTGTACATTCAATAAAGAGTTGTGATGTTTGAAAAGAATATTATACTTTGTTTATAATTTGCACAATACCAGCAGAAAATCAATTATTTGCTTAACTTTAATTTTGATTTCAACAGCGTCCATGATAAAAATAACTCACTTAAAAATTACCTGTACTTATCACCAAAGAGAGTCTTCGATTTAGATCACAAAAGCAGCTTCGAACCACTTTAAACTTCAAGGCTGGCTCAAAATAGCGTCCGAGATGGCAGTTTTGGGAATAGTTCCGTTCAGGGCACAGATCTTGTCCAAAAATGTAATGCAATTGGTGATTTCAAAAGGAACTGATCCAGTTTTTAAATTATTCCTGTTTAAAAATTTCTTTTAATTCATGACAAGAAAAATTAAAAAAAAAAACCTTACTGTAAATTGGCACTGAAGTAGGAATTGACGGCTTGGCTGAAGTAGGTCGTGAACTGGTCGTGCACGTTTGAGTGAAAGTGGTGCAGGATGGTGTGCACCCCCAGGGTGAGGATGTGGCCGTCGAGACCTGCGCTCACCAAAAGGGTGTCGCCGTTTTTGGGAAAGTTTATTTTGGTGATTTGTGAGATGCAGAGGAGGAACATCAGCAGTGACAAGTAAGGGATGCTCCTGGAGGCGTGGTAAATTTTCAAACTCGGCTCGGACTCTCCGACCCACTCCAGGTAAGTGGTCAACTCAGGAAGAAGGTCTCCGTTTTCTTTGGGGTGGACCGCGCTCTTTGGATCGTTGAAATGCGCCTTGATTTCAGTCAACAAGCAACTGGAATTTTAATGTAATTAAAAATTTTGAATTTATTTCAGGCGGCGAAAACTCACTTATTGAAGGATTTCAAAACTGAAGTCAGGTGACGGGCACTGTATTGACTTGAAATCCGCAACTGCCTCACAATGCCTTTCTTGATCATCTGCATCTGCCCAATTTTCAATGCGGACTCGGTCAAGGTGGGCAGCGTTTTCAGCAGGCGCGCCGCCAGTTGAGGATAAGCACTGGTAGGATTAACTAAAAAATTCAATTCATCGATTAAATTATAGTATTTATTTAAGCAAAAAATATACCTATCAGTTCTGATGAATAGAGAGTCTTTGAGATTTTACCAAACAGTTCGAGATTGGTTCGGTCCTGCAGAAGCTCGTTGTAGGTTGTGTGGAGGAAAAAGTTGAGTTCAGCAGCAATCATGTGGCCCAAAACTTTGTCCACACTTGACAAGCCCCAGACTGCGATTGAATTGTAAATGGCCTGGAACGTTTTTGGGTTCAAGACTTCAGCCTTTGTTTTCAAATCACACCACGCGTCTTTTTCTTCGGAGTAAAAGGTCGCTCTGCAAAAATAAAAATTAGGATGAAAATGTATAATATGGGTTTTGCATACTTTGGATCTGAAACTCTGATGATTTCTCTGGTCAGTCTGCCTATGAAGTTGACAGAATTTGGGGATATTGTCTTAGGGGACAAGGACGAGTTAATTTCGGCACACTCTTGTTCCAAGCTGTAAGCAAAGAGCTTCGACATCTCCTCCTGCCATATTTGCACACCGTTCATGCGAACGTAGTCTTGCATGTAGCCCAGAGACCGCTGATAACCGTCCATGGCCTTGCCAAGAGCCTCAAGTTTTGTGATCAGATCGCCCTAAATTAGTAATTTATCATAATAAATTAATTTAATGTAAATTCTTTAGATTTTTCTCAGCAGTTTTGATAAAATTTAATTGAGGGATAGTTTCTTAAATTTCCTACATCACAGATTGCACTCACTTTAGATTTTGGATTGAAAACCAAGAGTTGGTCCAGGGTGTCAGCTACATGGGTAACAAGTTCTCGTCTGATTCCCTCCTCAAAAATCTGCTTGGGATCGACTCGTAAAATGCCCATGAGTGTGCTTTTCATGGTTAAAATTCCCTCTGCAAATTCGCTCACAGAATTTGTCAACTGAGCAACCTGAACAAAAATATTATTGAAAAATTAACAAATGCACACAATTCAAGGTTTCTACTTCAAATCTAGTGTTGAGCTGGGAGAATGTCTTGAGCGCATCTTTGTCCAGTCGAGTGGGCAGTTCGACGAGGGTGTTTGTTTGCAGATCAATAATCCTAGCCATCAGAGTAAAAGTCATTTGGGGGATGACGTGAAGGACTCTGCCGACGTACGCAACAAGCAGGCCAGAATAGAATTGAGAAACTGGCAGCAAGTACTGACTTCCAGCTTCGTTGATTCTGATCAAAGGCGTTTCCATTGCTGACGAAAGCTGAGAAATTTTGATGTGTAAACATTTGTAATTTACTTCTGTTTTAAACTTACTTTGATAAAAATAGCTCTGAGCTTTCCGACAAGCAGTGGGTCTTCCTTAATTCCATTCTGCATCATGTTGGTGTAGCTGCCGATGTTGACCCAGGCGTAATTGAAGTCACCAATGATTTGCAAAGCCACCAACCAGTCTTCCTTTACCGTCGAAAGTCTCAGCATGGTCTTGAGGAGGTTTCGAGTGTCCTCCAAACACTGACGAACCTCAACAGTACTGTCCAGCTGGTGGAAAACTAAAAAAAAAAATAGTTTGCTTGAACATTTTATTTCATTATTATATATACCTTGGACTTCTTCAAGCGCCTGGACTAAATGGAAGATTTTGTTTTTGGCAGTTTGGTCTTCGATGTCTAAGGAGCCAACAGTGGAAGCCGTTTCAGCAAACCAGGTTTGGAGACTCTCTAAGAAAAAATTAGACAATTTTGATAGGCAAACAGTGAAATCCTCTACCGTTTTGAATAACTTTAGGTAGAGCTTTAGTTCCAGAGAACAAAGCAGACAATTCTTGCAGCTTTTCCTGGGAGTCTTGCCTGTGCGCCAACCACTTTTGTGTTTTCTCACTCAGCAGCTAAAGCCAGCAATGCAACCTTTTATTAAATATTTACAAGAGTTAAATCTACCTGTTTGAAAAACTCCTTGATCTTCAATTCTAATTGAGAGGTGTTGAGGAGCAGTTGGAAAATGTCCTTTGAGCTGAATTTTGACTCGAGCAGCATCAGGTCTTGGGCGTGTTTGCTCCTCTTGATGTTTTCTGCAGAGGTGTTCAGCGCCGCCGAGTGCAACATGTACCACCGCAGAGTGATGTTGCATTCTCTCAGCAGAGCAATCACGTTTGTCACATGACTCAGGACAAACTCTTCATTCAAGTAGCCCTCCAGCAGCATTTGCTTGCTCTGATTCAATATTTTCTAAATAATCAAAATTTTTATAAATCAAATGAGGTTGAAAATGAAACTTTATTACTTGAAGTTTAACATGGCGTCGTCCAGAGTAGTCTCTCAAGTTTGACTGGTCCAAAGTGTTGTTCAGGGCGGCTATGGCTGCCTTGAAAGGGTCCCACGCCTCTGCCAAATTTGCAGTCAGACCCATGTAGACATTAATTACCTTAAATAAATTATTATTTCAAATTTACAAAACAAAAAAATTGAAAGTAGATACCCAATTGTCGGGATAGTATTTATCAACGATTTCTCTCATTTTTGGCACTTGGTTGTGCAGAACGGAGGGACAAAAGTAGAGGCACACGTACAACATGGCAGCCTGTGTGGCCAGGGCAGCACTTCGGTGTTGAGGCAGAGGGTAGGCAACCACTTGGTGGTAAATGTCGTCCGTCCGGAGGCAGTCGAGCACCTGCTCCACATAGTCTTCGTTCAGAGGAACTCTCCTGATTAATTTTAGTTTGAATTAAATGAGTTTAATCCAAAATGGTTTATTACAAAAAGAGGTCTTCGTGGTAGTGGACAGTGGAGTTGCAGGAGCGCATCAGTTTGTAGACGTCGTCGAGGGAAGTGCCGGAGGACTTGGCGTTTTGGGCGTTGTACCTGTAGCAACTGACCAGCAGCCTCTCTCTGATGAAGCCAGGTAGGTGCGTTTCACACACAATCAGCATCACCCCGTACAAATAAAGAGCCTCGCACTAACAAAGGTTTTTAAGTAAATGATCATGTTGATTCTTTTAAATATTCCCACCATTAATTGCTTGCTCTCGTTTCCAGTCATCATTGACTCTAAACTCTGCTGAAGGAACTTGCCACCTTCCAGGTCAGCAATTAATTGGTTCAGGTCAATGGCAAACTTGTGGATTTCCTCAAGCACAAAGTAACAACTCTGCAAAATGTCTGTGTACTTCTCCCGAAGTTGGGCGTCCAGTTCTTGTAAACGCTGAAAAAATGTAAAATTAAGAAGAGGAATTTTAAAAAGTTCATAAATGAAAATGTACAGCATTATTTTCAATCTTCTTTTCAATATCGTCGGAATTTTTGAAATAGCTGAAGTCGAATATAACATCAGAGAAGCTCTGTGATTGCTTTTTTCTGGGGACAGTTCTGCAAAAATTGTAAATCTTACTGAAACAGAACACTTTATTTTTTGCTAAATTTATTATACATACTTGAATTCGGCAGGAATCGTTTCTTTGATGCGCAGAAGCTCGGCGATTATGTAGTTTCCTCTCGAAACCAAATTCAACACGAACCGCTCACATGGGTTGTTGCCAGACAAAAACTCAGTCATTTTGCTAGAGGAAGTAGCCTTTGATAAATTAATCCATCCTGTAAACAGAGAGAACAATATATTAAATTCATATTTACATTTTTACCGATATGTATAAAATACATACGCGAATTCTGGTTCAAATTGAAAAAAGTAATTAAGCACTTACACTGAATAAATTTTAATCGTGTTTACAGCGTGCATATATGTATTTTTTACAACACAAAAAAAGTTAAATTTATTGGGAGCTGGGAATCCAAAATTTGACTTGACAGACACTGGTCACATGTTTAGCAACAACAATCGTTGTGACCAACCTTTCAAAAATCAAAATTGTTTGATAAGACAACATTTTATTATTTTATAGAACCGTTGTTATTAAGAGCAAAATATAATTTTTCAATTAATTAATATTAAAATTTAATGCCATAATGTATGCATTTGGTTTTAATTATTGAATTCCTTCTATTGATTAGCAATATTAGCATGAAAACTTTTGTTATGTTGGTTGTACTGAGCACGACTTGCCTTGTTGCGGAGAATTCGTCAGAAAATCTGCTGCTACATCAACGAGATCCAGTGCCGCGTGTCTTATCTACCAAAATTAGACCGCAATGCCTGTAGAAAAAGGTCTGCAAGACATGTCAATAGGTAAAAAATGCAAACTTCTCATCTGAAAATAGGTTGAAGTTGTTTTATTTTCACATTAACGCAGCCGAAATCTTCACATCGGACAAGACGGGCAACGACGACACCGGCGATGGATCCGAGGCAAAGCCTTTCAAAACCGTGCTGCGGGCAATGCGACATGCCGGAAAAGAACCTTTCCCGACCATCTACGTCGACGCAAAAGACGCTTCAAAGGTATTTAAAAAAAAAAACATATTTTTCCATGTTTTCATACCAATTTATTTGCAGCAATACGAGCCAGCAGCAAAGTCGCAGTTAAAAAAAGTCCACAAGATTTGGGTTCGGGAGCAACACAAGAATGAAGACAAGGCCAAGAGGGAAGGGGAGGACGCTGAGAAGCGGGCCAAAAATCTGGAGGAGGCCAAGGCCATCACCATCAAGGAAGACTCAAGCCTGCCCAAGGCTGTGCAAACCAAAATTTACACATGTGAAAAATACAGAGGCTCCAGAATCAGGGTTTACGGGTGGGTCCATCGCCTCAGACGCCAAGGTTTGGCCGAAAAATTTTATAAAAAAAAATCTTTTATTCTAATGTATTGAACAGGCAAGGCTCTGATGTTTGTCACTTTGAGAGACGGCACCGGCTACTTGCAGTGTGTACTTAACGACCTGCTCTGCCAAACCTACGAAGCCGTCTTGCTCTCCACCGAAGCAGCAGTCCTCCTTTACGGAACCCTGCAGGCAGTTCCCGAAGGCAAAAATGTAATTTTGTTTCAATTGGTGCAATAAGATGTTTTTGTTTCATCATCAATTTTGTCACTTGCAGGCTCCAGGCGGTCATGAACTGCAAGTTGATTACTGGCAACTTGTTGGCCCCTCCCCGCCGGGTGGAGCTGACGCAATTCTGAACGAAGATGCAAACCCTGATGTGCAGCTTGATAACAGGCATATCATGATTAGAGGAGAAAATGTAAGCCTAGGCAATTTTAATATTGACATGAAACATTTACTCGACAAATTACATTTTCTGCCTTTTTAAATAAATTTAAATTCAAAAAATATTTGTTGCAAATTGAATTAATAAGGTAACACACCATAAATAATTATTTAAAAATAAGGCAAAAGAAAAGTGAAAACGGAGAAAATTATGCTCTTGAATAAATTTATGTATTTTTCATTTTACAGACATCAATGATTTTGAAGATGCGTTCTGTAGTGATGCAAGCTTTCCGCTCTCACTACTTTGACCGTGGGTACTTTGAGGTGACGCCTCCAACCCTGGTGCAGACCCAGGTCGAAGGTGGCTCCACCCTGTTTAAACTGAACTACTTTGGGTAATTTATTATTTTGAGTGTATAAGATGTAAAAAAATTAATTTTTCCCCTTTAGTGAGGAAGCGTACCTGACCCAAAGCTCACAGCTCTATCTGGAAACCTGCATTCCTGCGATGGGCGACGTCTTCTGCATCGCCGAGAGCTACCGCGCTGAGCAAAGCCGCACAAGACGTCACCTTGCTGAGTAAAAACTTAAATATCAAATGAATTTGGATATTAATTTTAAGAAAAAAATGCAGGTACACCCATATCGAGGGCGAGTGTCCTTTTATAACTTTTGAGGAATTGCTGGACCGCCTGGAGGATTTGGTTTGTGATGTTGTCCAAAGAGTGCTCGACTCTCCTTTTGGCTACATGGTGAAGGAGCTGAACCCGGACTTCAAGCCGCCCAAGAAACCCTTCCGCCGCATGAACTACTCCGAGGCCATCGAGTACCTCAAGGCCAACAACATCACAAAGGACGACGGAACTTTTTACGAGTTCGGAGAGGTAATCTTTAGACATATTTTGAAATAAATGAAAAAAACCTTTTTAATTAGGACATTCCTGAAATGCCTGAGCGTAAAATGACAGACAAGATCAACGAGCCAATCATGTTGTGCAGATTCCCGGCGGAAATCAAATCATTCTACATGGCGAAGTGCCCGGAGGACAAACGTCTTACGGAATCAGTAATTACTCCTCGATAATTTTTGGGTTTAAAATGCGTTACATAAAAAATCTTAGGTTGATGTGCTCCTTCCTGGAGTTGGAGAAATTGTGGGAGGCTCCATGCGTTCGTGGGACATGCAGGAGCTGCTCGATGGCTACAAGCGGGAGGGAATCGACCCCACCCCCTACTATTGGTACATTGACCAGGTAATTAAAATCATTCCAAGCCAAAGGCAGTTTTAAGGGTGGATTAATTTTGCAGAGGAAGTTTGGCTCCTGCCCCCACGGTGGCTACGGCCTTGGCCTTGAAAGGTTTTTGTGCTGGTTGCTGAACAGGTACCACATCCGAGAGGTCTGTCTGTACCCCCGCTTCTTGGAACGCTGCAAACCATAAGGATGCCTATTTATTAAAAAAACTTACATTTCCTGCTGTTTTGCAAATTCGATTTGCATATGTTGTTTTGTAAAAGTTTGAGAAAAAATAACCCCTTTTTCATCTTATTTTGCATCGGAGCTCTCCTTGGAGGAAAATAAAAATACATTTTCATTTGGAATGGTTGTTTTTAATTTAAGTGATGCAATTTATTTATTTATCATGGGAGCATAATTATATAATTGTTTATCACATTAGACACAGACATTATTTGAATTATATTTTGTAAAGGAGATGAAAACTATTTGAATCTGGAGCGATTTCGTCTGCTCGGGATGCCTTGGGTGGCGATTTGCACCTCTTCAATAAAAGCAGACGAATTCAGAATTGTGGTGCCGCCCAAAATAATACGCACTCCAGGAAAGTCTTTGTTCATTTGATTGACAATGTACGCCTCTTCATAAGTTGCACCGCCAACCACAAAAACTATCACATTCTGAGGCCTGTAAATAGTTAAAAAATGAATTAAACAAACAATTTGAAAAATATAGAACTTACTTCCGCATTGTGCTGCTGCCAAGATAAGGGAATAGATTATCTTTAAGTCTTCCCTTAATCAGCTCTTCAAGGGTATCTTTCAAGAGAGGGCTGTGCTGAGTGAAAACATTATCTACCCCTTTCAGACCCTATTAAAAAAAAAATTAAACATTAAGCTTTCGAAGAGAGGAGCATTTTACCTTCAGCTTTTTAGTGACTATATTTTTAACATTGTTGACATCTGTGACGTCAACCTGGGTGCCAAAAAGGTCACATTGCCTTGCATGTTGCCCTCCGTACTCCAGCATGCTGTAAACCATCTGCAGTCAAAGAAATAATTAATCTATTGAACATAATTAATAATGTAAAATCAATCACCTTGCACCTCTGCTCGTCAATTCCTCGCTTTTTCAAAGCGTCCATTAAATTAACAAGAGCATTGTTGCTCTGCTTTTCGTACTTGAGAGCGTACAACATGACCAGTCGTAGTGCATCCTCGTCTCGAACCGCACTGTCCGCCAAAATCTGCTTCAAACTCTGAGCAAAAATATTAAAAGAATTAAGATCTACATAAATGTAATCTTCTCACAGTGAGCTGTTGGGCATGGTCGTTTCTGCAGGCAATTTCCTGCTCTGCGACGGAAACATTCATCAGCCGGTGCTTTCCAACTTTTGAGGATAGTTCTCCAACAACTGTTACGTGTTTGGCTACAGTGCCTGACATTTTCTGATAAAAAAATTTACTGTAAGATTGAACCTGGTGGGAAAAAAACTTCTCACTTTAAACTGGGGGTAGTTTTCTACAAACGCTTTCATGTCAGAAATGCTTTCGACTTTCTGTGTGCTTTTGGCCTTTTTTTGAAACTCGTCCATCAAAGTTTTTATTTTCTGTGCTGTGTCACCAAAGTTGCTGTAGAGGTTCTGAAAAAATAAAATATACTTAGATCAAGAACTTTAAATCAAAGAATTAGCAAACTTGGGCATAGAATTCATCATTTTCAGCAGACAAAACAACTTCCTTCAATTCATCGGACACTCCTGGTACGTCTGCCAAACTGACCCGGTTGTTGGTGATGGTCAGCAATTCATGCACCATGGCTTGATACGTCCACTGAAGAGGATTTAATTGAAATTTATATTATTGAGATCATTTTAAGACAGGCACCTGAAAAAGAAGAGGGGTGACAGCATCATCTCGACGATCCAAAACGAGCAGAATTGTGGCCGAATCCGTTTCGTTTCTGAACTCAAACAGGGACGATTCTTTGGACAGAATTTCTCTGACTTTGTCGGCCAGCCTCCTACAGAGGTCTGAATTTGCTTGGAACCTGATGAAAGGGTTTCTCTTTAGCGAGAGCAGCAGGGCTGTGATTCCTTGGGCGGTCCTCAAGAGGTTGTACGAACGCCACTGCAGACCTTTTATTCAAAGTTTAAGGTTTCTGTTGTTGCTGGGAATTTAAATCAACTTACCTTCAGCGTATCCTTTGATACTAATGGAAAACAAGCTGGGCGACAGCGGAATGAAGTCTGCGTAAAACTCCTGCACCTCTCGAACAGACTCCATCACATCGGACTCTGCCAGTTTCTTCAAATCAGCCTTTGATAAAATATTACTAAAATCTAAGAGAATATTTTATTTTTTAACTGTTGGAATTTTCTTTTTTCAATACATACATAAATAATAAACTCCGTATTTTGGCTCCTGCAGTTCTTTTGCAAGATAGGCGACGTTTTCGCTGGTGGGTCGCACAAAAGCTATGCACTTCAGGTGCTTCATTTGTTCCTGGTTGCTGGCTACGTCGATTCGCTCGAACAGGAAAACTTCCTTTTGTAGAATTTCTGACTGACTGTATGCCATGCTCACAATGCCAGTCTAAATTTAAATTTTTTTTAAATAAATCTTTATTTATATAGGTGCAGAAACAATAATAATATAATTACAGTGTCTTTGTCCATCAAGAGTAACTTCATGCCTGGACCAGACTCCTCGCACATCTTTGCGATGTACAAACGGACCGCTTGTAAAACGTTCATGGTTATTTTATCTGTGAGTTCTCTCAATATATATGAAGTAAAAAATATTTTCGCTGACTTCAAATAACCATTTTATCCAGCAACCTTCAAAATCTGATGGAAACAAACAAAATCTATGTAAAATTTTGCCCTGTGTCTTTGAGTTCCACGCCCACCGCCCACCAACAACCACACCCCTCTAAAAAATGTGAATGTTGTGGATTTTGGAAAGGAGCTGCAAAGATGAACTCGTATCGGTGCTCTCATTGGAGTATGGATTTGAATTCCAGGTAATCAAAAATGGCTGCCAAAACTCCTTTGTTTAACCCAGATAATTTACTCCACCAACGAGAAACGAGAGAAAAAGAAATAATAATTTTTAAGTCGCAACTCGCAACAGCGTTTTACGAGTCACCAACCACGAGCGAGTTTGTGAAATATGGCTTAGTTTGCGAATAGTTTTGCTTTTTGTAAGAAAAGTGCTGAGATTCGAGTTTTTGGCTCCGATATGGGTATTTTGGATGTTTGATGAGAGAACTGAAGTTGATGATGGCCGAGGCAATCTCGGACGGCGACTTGGGTGCGGACAGCGCTGAGGAGGGCGAAATTCGCGACTCGGACGAAGAGAAAGCGTTGAGAAAGAGCGAGCCTGAGCAACGAAGGCATGAAATCTGATGACCTTTGCGTCATATTAATTTGTAAAATTAACCTGGAAAATTTTATAGGGTTCGACCAACGCGGTCACCACCGCGTTCGACACATCGCAGCAGAGTGGACAAACGGCGGCCAAAGGCACCACCACCTCCGCCTAGACGTCGCAAAAGACGACGAGAGGAAGAGAAAGAAGATGACGAAGACGACGTTGATGCTCAAATTGCCAAGACGCGTCGCCGTCGGCAACTTGTTGAGGCCACTCTGCCTCTGCACGTGGAAAAGCAGCCTGACGTTCCTGCAGAAGACGAGGTTTTTTTTTATTTAATTGGGCAATTTTTCTGAAAATTATTTAAATAAAAATGTGCAGATTGAAGAGGTTCCAGTGCCTCCAAAAACCTTTGAATTAGTACAAATAGATGATGAGGACGCTCTTCCACCAGTTACCAATGGGGGGAGGGTGGAGGAGGACAACGAGAGGGAGAACGAGCTTCTTCAGCTAAGACTTGTTGCCCTGAAAAGCAGCCTGGAGGCAAAGTGGGGCCACAAGAAGCGGGCCAGCCGGATCGACGAGCCCTACAGTCCCACTGGGCCTCTGGAGCCCGTGGAGGGTGTTGAAGAACTTGATTCGCCCGCTCCTAGTCCTCCTCAGAGTCCCTCTTCACTCTCCGGCCGCGAGTCTGAGGAGGATGAAGAGACTCTTCGACTGACGCTGCTTCAGCAGATAAATAAAAATTCTGCGGAAGCTTCGGAGGACAAAGAAAACGACGATTGCCATGTCGAGAGTTCAAATGTCGAGGGCGCCACAATGGGCCCTCCACTTCCTAAGTCTGACAATTCCATTTCTCAAGGTTTAAAATCAGTTTAACCAAAATTTTAATATTTAACTAAGAAATTATTTTAAGGTGCTGTGAATAACTCGAGCAACACTCCAAATGGTGGAAGGTTCATAATATCCATAGGTCCAGATTCGAGTGACTCTGAGTCTGAAAGGTAGGTTGATGAAGAATTTAAAAAACTTAAAATATTTTGTTTGTATTTTAGTGATAGAGATTCGGCTCAAACTTCGGGGTCAGATATAGACGAGATGTTGAAAAAGTTGAGACAAACTGTAGAGCAGCCTAAGACTAAAGCAACGCCCTCGCCAAGAAGTCGCACAAACGGAAATCTTAGGAAGTCGCCTGCCAGGCAAATGACTCCCATAACCAAAAATAATCCATTAGTGAGATTTAATAAGATTTCTTTTGTTTAATTGATTTTACAATTTGTAACTTGTCAGTCTGCGCTTCCGAAGAGTCGCCAGGCAGAGTACTTGAGGTTGAAGGCGTTGCTGAAGAAAAAGGAAGAGTTGCGACGGCAGCGAATACAAAAAGCAGCAGACAAAAAGGAGGCGGCCAAAAATGAGCCAAGTTTGCCCTCCTTGAGTGCCCTGAGCCAGGCTCTTCCCCTGCTCTCCGAAGAGCAAAGATTTGCAAGTCTGCAAACTTTGGAAGCCGACTACGAAAGCCAACGGTTGGTTATTATATATAGAGAACAAAATAAATTTATTCATTTACAAATTTAGAGAGCGGAGTAAAGAGCAAAATGAGCGTCTGGCTGCTATGGTTGAGCGGCTGGACAGCAACAAAAGTGCGCAGCAGGAGGCGACGGCGGAGGCCGAGGCAGCTGAGACTCAGCAGCGGGAGCAGGAGGCCAGAATTGCCCTCCTGCGCCGCCAGCTGGCCGAGGCTGAGGCGGCCGCCGCGGCCACTGCTGAACAGATCAACGCGGTCTCTGCTAAACAGAAGCAGCTCAAGCTCGAGGCAAGTAAAGTTCGGGAGAGGGGTTGATAAATCTTAAAAAAATCCCCTCTCCCTTGCACAAGTGACAAAGTGTTCTTTTAATCTCAACTTATATCTAGAAGTAGAGGACCTTTTCAGGGCTTATTTCAAAAATAAAAATTTTAGAATCTCGAAATTTTTTATTATGTTAAATATTCATTCATATAAAGCAATGAATTAATTTTTTTTTTTTAATTGCAAAATTGCTCTTCTAACAAATGACTCTTTTTTTTATTGAGACTTGGAAGGTCTGCTGGAACTTATTTTTTAGTGAAGCTCGTCTTTTTGGAAGTTAAGGGCCTGTCGCCTTTGAGCAGAAATGTCTGATTCCGATAAACAAATCCACAGGAGGCGGCGCTGGAGGCATCGGTGGGTGCTGCCCGCGTGGAGGCGGCGCGCCTCAGGGCGGGCTGCGCCCTGCTGCGCGAGGCGTGTGCCCAGGCGCGCGGGGACAACGAAGTGAGGGTGCTGGAGCAGCAGCTGGACGTGCTGGGCGCCATGACCAGCGGCCCCCTGTCCTACCAAAGTCCCCTCGACCACATCAGGCACGCCTTCCCTCCTTCCCCATCCCCTAATAACAATCAGTCACCCTTCGATTTCAGGGTCGCTTCTGCGGGCGCCCTCGACCCTCACCGAGAGGTGTGTCCGGACTTCCTCAGCGGCACCTGTTCCCGCGGCAACTTCTGCGCTTTGCAGCATCCTTGAGAGAAAAAGAGTAAGTATGCTCAGTCCTTTTCCAGGTCAATATATTTCAGTGCCTTCCTGCTCAAGCCTTCGATATATTGTGTAACGACGAGAATTCATTTTGTATTACTTTTTAATGTCATTTTGTGCTAAATAATGTGATGCCAAATAAAGACAAGCCAGAGATATAGTTTGAAAATGCGGATTTTATTTTAAATCGTGCCTGTATGATATAAAAAAATGGAGAAAATTACATCATCTAAGTCATTCTCTTTCTTTGCGTTTTTTGTGTTCTCTTTTAGAACTGCCACTATTGGAACTTTTTTCACTTCTTTGTCTGTGGTTAGAGTGATTCGGTTCTTTTCTGTCTCTGGATTTGGGCCCCAAACTTTCCGTCCTCCGTTTCTTGTTCTCCGGGGACCGAGATCTTCTCCTTTTGTAGTCTGAATGTTGACGACGATTGGAATTATTGTGTTGAGCAAGTGTGTTGACCAGAAAGCGTTTGTTGGTCTTCAAGAGGGGACCTTTCTTCCACCCTGAAGGTCCGACTTCTGACGCTCTCACCGCACCCTTGGCGGCCTCTCGAAGGATTTCTTCTACGGCACGTCTGAGAAATTGAAATTTTAAAACAATTAAGGAGACAAGATCAGTAAAATTGTACTTTTCCAACTCGTCGTCCTTGTCTGTCGACGCCATACTCGCGAAAACAAGTTTCAAAAAGGGAGTTTTCTAAAATTTACGAACGATTAAAATTTGGAGTTTGTTTCGAATACAAGATCTTGAAGATCTTTGTATGTCAAAAACAAATTGAAGGAAATTTCCCGAAAATTTTCTCTTGTTTACGTGTTTATTTTGATAAAATTAGTGCAGCCAACTGAACGCGGGTAAAATGTTGGTACTCCTGCAGCAAAAGCTCTTTGGTCGGTCGGCCATGTTTTGCGAGTCGTAAAAAAAGCTCTTGGCGTTCTCTTCTCTTCTCTCTTGCAACGACCACGTGTCGGCAGAGTCGCTTTCAAGAAAATGGCTCCTAAGAAGACAGCCCCAAAACCCGCGGCCGCGGGCTCCAGCAAGGCCGAAGAGAAAAAGAAACCGGCCGCTCCTAAGGAGAAGGCGACCAAGGAAGGAAAGGTCGAAAAGAAAACAGCAAAACCCGCCGCGAAACCGGCGGCCAAGCCCGCCAAGCCGGTGGTCAAAAAGGTCGACAAGGCAAAGAAAGATGCTGCCAAGACCAAGTCCAAATCGGCCACCAAGAAGGCCGCTATCACCAAGGCTAAGAAAGTGCAGACCAAGGTTTGAGTTTTTTTTTTCAATTCTTGAGAGGACGGGGCATTAATTTTTTGCAAATCCAGGTGATCAAGGGCGCATTTGGCACGAGAGTGAGGAAAATCAGGACCTCCGTCAAATTCCACCGGCCGCACACATTCCGGCCTCCGCGCAATCCCAAATATCCTAGGAAATCGGTGCCTAGGAGAGACAGGTGAGAGTTTATTTTATAAATTAATCCGTTTTGAAAGTTCCTGTGATGAATTTTTGTGTGGGAATCTCTTTGATTTTACGAAATGAAAACAAACATTTGACACTTTCTGAGGCATGGCGGCCATTAGTGTCACATATTGCACCCAGTTTGTCCACATTGTTTACACCTTTGTCTTTATTTTTCCTTCAGAATGGATGCCTTCAATGTCATCAAGTACCCCCTGACCACTGAAGCTGCAATGAAGAAGATTGAGGACTCGAATACTTTGGTGTTCTTGGTACACACGAAGGCAAACAAGCACCACATCAAGAGTGCGGTCAAGAAGTTGTACAAGATCAACGTTGCCAAGGTCAATACCCTGATCAGGCCGGACGGCAAGAAGAAGGCCTACGTCAAACTGGCGCGTGACTACGACGCCCTTGACGAGGCCAACAAGATCGGCATCATCTAAATTCTGATTTGTCCCCTTCTGCTAAATATAAACCCTTCTTTCACAAAATAACAATTTAATTTTGTGCTTTCCAAAGTTGAATTCTTTTTTTTATTATAATTTTGGCTTAACAAATACAATGTTTCGGCATCTTTTAATTTCAAGGAGTTTATCAAGTTTATAATATTGAAACAATATGCTTATTCATTTAAAAAGGTTTTATTACAAAGTGAAAAAGTAATGCCTTATTTATAATGCTACTTGGAGCCACTAATGTGGAAATTCATGCAATAACCCGACCTATTTATATGAGGGTTCTTCCTTCCAAAGGCCGAGGTCAAGCCCTGGCAGGGAGGCGCAGTTGACCAACTTGTTCCTGCAAGGAATAGCAAATCAAATTCTCAAGTAAATCAGAAAATGCGCCAAAATTACTTTTCCGTAATGAGGTGCAGGGCATCGGGTTGAATCTCCTCGATGTAGTCCGAGTTGACGCAGACCAACTTGGCCAGGGTGACCTTCTTGATGGAGGCGATTTGGTCTGCAAGAGGACAAAATTGATCAGAAAAATCAGGGTCAGTGGAATATTGTGGGGTCGAACCTTCGGAGAAGGAGTGGGGCATGCCCTTATGCTCGAAGAAGTACTTGTCGCCGACCCTGCTGCGGTAGAACTGCTCGCCTGCGATGCACCTCAGGGTGGGGCCAAACAGCGCGTCCTTGACGTGCGTCTCGAGGAAGGCGACGGTCAGGTCGAGGTCGTCCACGTGCTTGTACATGTAGGCCAGTTTTTCGATGAACTCGGGCGCGATCAAGTCGGCGAGGTCGTCAAAGTACTTGGCCCTCGGCAGGCCGCACATGGCCCGGTAGTCGTTGTAGCCGCGCAGTCCGTGGTCACGTGACCGCTGAATGTCGAAGCTCTCCAGGTCCAGACCCCAGGGTTTGCCGTCGCGGAACAGGAACCACGTGATCTAAATTTCACCGATGACAACAGAGATAATTAATTAAAGTTTAGAGTCTTATAAAAAAGCATTATTTTAATCCAAAACGTAATCTGGAAGTTTTTTTTAAATATAGTAATCTTAATTCTTTCGCATATTTCATTACCACATTTAACTACATCAAATTTTATTAATTTTTTTATAATTCAAATTTTTTTAATTGTTCTAGAATATTTTCATTTTCTATGAAATTGAAATTCACCTCATGAGAGTAGAACTTATCGGCCTTTTGCATGGGCGACGTGCACATTCCTCTGATGTAGTAGTCCAAGAGTGGACCCTGTTCAAGAATAGCCGGACATTCAAAGTGGTCGCTCATGCGAGTGGAGCCGTTGTAATAGTGGCCAGGGCCGTAAAGTCTGGAATTTTGATCAAAATTAATAGATGGTTTATTTTTTATTTTTACAATCAACAGTATTATATCAATAAAAAATACCATTCTGGGAATATCATTTCAATTAAAAATCAACAGCAATTTAGATTTTTTTATATCCAAATGGAAAAACCATCATTTCCAGTTATTTTTTTAATCCTTTTGTTATTATTTCACGATGGGAACGGAAAACGAGGAATGCAAAATGCAAATATTGGAAAATTGTTAGAGGGGGCCACGCAGGTTGCATAGCTCGCTTCGCTGCAGGCGCTTGTACTAGTGATAAAAATTTCGCCGCCAAACTTGGCCGATCCCTTTGCTTATTTTTCCTTAATTTTTTAATTTATTTGAAGAAACTCACTCGCTGAAACTGTGGATGGTCGAGTGCTGGTAGCGGAAGGCGGCCGTGGCGTGTTCGTTGAGCACGTTGGGACTGACATAGGCGTCGTAGCCGCTCTTCGCGTTGTACCCTTCCTTGCCGTTGACAATGTTGTGTGCCGCCACGAAGTCCTCGCCTGCGCATATTCAAAACAAATTAAATTGTTTATGCTACGGAGTCAGAGAAAGGAAAGGAGAAAACAATGGTTCCTCGTTAGCAAAATCCAGCCACTTTTTGCATGAGAGAAAGAAAAATGAAAGAGAGAACTTTAAGGAGAAGCGAGATTTTTTAGTTTTTTAGGCCAGCTAGGATAAATTTGAAAAAATAGTCACCATTTTATTGGCTCGAAAGGAGTCATTTTCATGTATAAATTAATGTTGATTGTGTTTTTATTTTAGTTTTCATTGAAAATAAAAAAATTTAAATTAACAAAATGAAAAATTGTAAATTTAGGGCTAAAAATTAATTCCATCAAAGAAATCATTAAGAATATTTAAACGAATAAGAAATGGAATTGAAAAATTAATTTAAAAAAGTGAAAATCAGGAAAAAGAGATAGAAAAAACCTGAAAGATCATAAATAGAAGCTCAATTTTCATTTTAGTAGCAAATTTTGTGTGTAAATTTAATTGAAATGGCGTTTTATTTTTTTTAATCAACATTAATTGTACAAGCCTCATTTGACCAAACTTGATTTTTATAATTTTGTTGTTCAATGGTTTATGAATGTGGAAATTAATAAAAAAAAAATTTGCAGAAATTTGTGATTATTATTTTTTTTTTACAAAACTTTTGATACTATTTTGGCGTAAAATTTGAAGTTTTGGGTTTAACTATTGGTTTTTTTTTAGGGACAAATTTTTCACTTTTTAACCCTAAGAAATTTCGCGCATCTCCCTTCTACATCTGTGACAGGGAAATAACAAACTCTTAAGCAAACAAACAAGTAAAGTAAAAACTGTTTGTATATGCGAGACTTTTTGATTTCTTCTTTTGTATAAAATTTTGATCTCACCGAGGGCGATGGGGAGGTACTCGTCGTAGACGATGTGCTGGTAGACGGCGACGAGGATGCGGCGCGTCTCGTGGAAGAGCCGCTCGTCGTCCCAGTGGCCGTTGATCTTGTACAGCTCGGACGCGATCCGGTTGTGGTCCCTGAGGAAGAGGATGTGCAGCAAGGCGAGACCCGGGTTCTGGTTGATGCGGGCGTCGCCGCCCTTGTAGCACGCCGAGGCCGGACAATCCTTGTTGCAGGCCGTCTTCATGGTGGTGTGCGTGGGCAGGACCACGCGGCCGTCGCGATACGTGTACGCCAACAGGCCGCCCTTGCCCAGCCGCAGCGAGTTCGCCTCCTGCTCGCTGTTGCCGTACACGTGCGACAGGTCGATGAAGTGGCTCACCGTGTTCATCTACATAAAAAGTTTAATTAAATTGCTAAAATAAATTTCAGAAAAAAATTAAATATGGAGCAAATCTGCACAAATAAAAAAAATGAATAATTATGCGTTTCTCCCTCTCTAGATTAGATTTTCACACTAATTTTATTTCCAATTTCTACAATTTTGATTTGAATAGGAAGAAAATCTGCATCTATATAAATAAAATAAAATATTTAAAATTAAATTCACTCCTCTAGAGTAGATTTTTTTAGTCGTTCAAACGCTATTTTAAAATCAATGTGATTTTTTAAACATCGTGCTTTTTTAAAAGTTCTGAAATTTTGAATTCTGATATAAAAAGACATGCTGAATCTTTTGGTGATCTTGGAATTCTTGGACTTTTTTCAGGTTGCAATTGCGAAAAAAAATTATTAAAAAAAAATTATTAGCCGAGTCTAATAAAATCAAAGTTTGAACAAGTTTTAAATAAATCTCAAAAGTTATAAATTTTATCTAAAAAAACTGATTTTTTTTAGTGCTTTGTGTAATTTTCCAACCTGTTCAGCTGGGCCGAGCCTGCAGTCGGGGTGGGCGACCGTCATCGAGCGGACGAAATTCATGCACCTCTGCCCGAAGTAGGAGAAGAAGGGGTCGTCGTGCGGGATCAGAATGGGGTAGCACGCGTGGTGCATCATTTCGGGCGGCAGAGCTCCGGAGTTGTCTGGCGTGCAGCACTGCACACCTTGGTCGCCTACATTTTTCCAATTATTAATTTAAAATTTAAATAAATTGCGGTTTCTACCGTAGTGAGGTTTGGAGGACATGGACATGTCGTGCGAGATGAACTGACCGAACTGCATGAACATGACTGTCCATAAGTCGTCAGGGGCGAACTTGTCGTCAAACAGGACGGCGCTGATTTTACGCGCCGACGGCAGGTAACCTCCGTAGACGCTTCGGCGTGGGTAGGAAACGCCTGAAATAATCATAATTTCTTATTTAACTAACTTTTTGAGTCCTTCCTGAGACAATTCTAAATGGTCCACAGGAACAAAAATTTTGGATCGAAATATAATTTTATAGAATAAAATTTGTATTTTGTAAAGATGCAGAGATAAAAAAACAATGAAAGATTTAAATTATTTCAAATTTTAGCATTAGCGCATTTTTTTTCAGATATTGTGAGCATTCAAATATATTTGAACTCGGCTTTCCTTACATCTTTTGAATTGAAACTTATTGAAGGAAGAAAAAGAGCTGCGCCACAAGAAATGATATTCAGTTTCCTTCCTTATTTTTATTTAGTCGAAGTTTCAATTTCAGATTCATTTGTGAAGTTTTAAATTTCAAAGTTTGGTATCGGATAAAATAATGGAAATTTTTTGAATTTGGAGTGGAATTAGGAGTATTAAGTATGAAATCTGACCATCAGAGTAAGCGGGGGCGAGGAGTCGGTTGAAGGCGGTCTTGGCCTGGCCCCAGCGCGGGTACTTGGGGTTGTTGCAGGAGCCGTCGAAGGTTCGGAACTTGGTGGCGTAGCCGCTGGGGCAGTAGACGGGCGGCGCGCACACCTTGTACGGGCCGGGCATGTAGCCCTGACTCAGCAGGTACTCCGTGAACGTGTTCGGCGTTTTGCCGTTCCTAAAACAATCCTGATGACTAATTGCAATTTCAGCGAAATCAGCGCAAAATGCACTGACACGTCTCAAGAGCTCAACGACTTTTTGCAAAACTGCCAAAAATTATTCTTAAAAAAAAAAAAAAAAAAAATGATTTAATTTTCTATTCATTCCTGTAAAATAAAAAGAGCGGAATTTAATTTAAATTTTTTTATTTTATTTTAATTTTATATATTTTAACTTCTCACGCGTATCCGCCGTAGCTGCCGTATCCCATGCTGTTCCTGTAGGCGGCGGTGGCCTCGAGGACTCCGAGCGACAGGTGGTAAAGCTGCAGCTTGTCGTCGCCCTGTTGGTACGGCGCTCTTTTCGCCACAACCCCCGATTCCTTGGCGCCCCCGTTCTCCCGCTTCTGCAGCGGCTCGCAACCCTTCCCTGCACATTCTGCAAAAAAATCACAAAAATGATGAAAAAAAGCTAAAGAAAAACTTCAAGATTAGTTTTGATGATAGTTTTTGTCTGCATTAGCATTGCTTTTTATATGTAATTTCCAAAAAGGAATCGTAAGAAAAAATTTAATTTATTTGGACAACTCAAATTTTGAAAATCAATATTTCCTGTATGGGAATTTTCTGAACCAATTTTTTCCCTCAAATTTGGCTGAATTGATCTAAATTAAATAACGTAATCAATCTCAACATCAAAATTTACATGATAAAATAAATTAAAAAAAAAATGAACAAATTAATTACCTGGTTTTTCCCGTTTGTGCTTTTCAGTGGCGTTTGTGTGGGCGTCGAGCGGCCGAATCGTCTCTTGGGCGCCGCTCAGCACCGCCAGGCACAAAAGCAGCAACGCGCTTAAGTCCATTTCGTCGACTGACCTGCTCGCCCTCGGGCCACCGGCGACGGCGACCGCTCTCTGCTGACGACGCCCTTTTGCAGACTCGTTGCTCAACCTTTCGCGTGCCTCGCGGCTGAGTCAATCCGAAAACTGTTTCACCAAAGTTTTGGCAACAAATTTTGTTTTACGTTCGATTTAATTGCGAAATTGCATAACGTACGTGTGGCCAATGTGTCGTTTCAAAGTCCACATTGCAGATTGATCTAATTTATTTTAAAATTTTATTTTATGTCCTCCCCGTATTCACGTAATATCACTTAATTTCACACAAAAAGAGTCCAGCAAGCTATTTTTTTTTAAAGGGATTAAAAATTTAAAAAAAGTAATAGTTGCAAAATGTCTTTATAGGCTTATCTTTAAATAATTGCTGCCCAGAATTAATAAAATTAGTTTTCATTTTAAGGTAAATATCTAATTGTATTCAATCTAATTCTTTAGAAATTAAAACAAAATTTGTGGCGTATTATAACTTTTATTTAAAATTTACAGCTTATAAATTTGATAACTCTATTTATTAAAATGATTCTCCAAATTTAATTTAAAAATATCAGTTCTTAATTAATTACATTCTAGCAAAGATCCTCTTTTCGATAATGGAAATTCGAGCAAATTAAGAAATGTTAATTTTGCCTGTCTGTAAATTAAGTATTTTTCAAATAAATATTCATTTTTAATTTAAACGCCAAGCTCGTTTTTATATAAATGAGATAATAAATTCATTATGAATCGGAATGATCTGCTTTGGAATTATATTTTCGATTCATAAACATTGAATGTTATTTTCTGCCTGCTGAACAAAGCACATTTTTCCGCACAGATCAAAGTTCGCCCAAGCACTTACACTTTCTCCCCTTCTTCAATTAAGAAAGAATCTTTTCTCTACAAATATAACTCGTCGGGCGGAAACAATTGCGAGAGAGGAAAAATAATTCCGAGGCGTTTGTGACGAGATCCAAATTGATTGCGACGCAGCGACATAATTCCGCACTCGGCGAAAATGACAGATGGCGGGTTAATTAGAAGAGTTTATATATCTAACCCTTTCAGCATTTGTGCCGGCGAAAAGTGTTCCAACATGCATATGCGCCTCTCTCTCTCTCTAATATTAATTTGCCTTTGATTAGCATGCAGCGCCAATTAATCAATTATGCGGCGCCGCGAGAGACGAATCATAATTAATTATGAATCGACGACCTCTTCCCTTTATCTTTTGACTGGGAGTTGCGACAGGTGCTTTGATTTTATTACAAACAAGGGTTTTATCTCACTTTGATTATTATTTCGGCCCCTCTAGTGTAACCAACACATTGGTCAACATTTGTGATTAGAAAATTGATGATTCATGATGCGTACGTCCTTTTAAACCTATTTTAATTTGCTTAAAATTTCAATTTATCAACAGGTCATTACCAATCTAATTATAATCAAAATTGTGCGTCAGAATAACGAATTTTTCAATTTTTCTGTTTACAGATTTTTATAATTTTAATAGTATTTTAGTTTTTTAAATTAACTTCAAAATTTTTCAATACTTTTTTTCACATTAATTACTTTTTTGTCCATTTAAGTAAAAATCTGGTAAAAATTGCTGGATATTGAAAATGATTTAAAAACTTTGAGCAATTAAAGTCAAAAGTCAAACTAAATTGTAAAATAAAAATGTACAAAAACCCTTTTTTTTAATTTTATCGGTTGGGGATTAAAATAATTTCAACATACCGTTTATTGAAAATTTGGACCTTACAATTTTTACATCTTCACACAAAACGTTCCATAATTTCTTTTCCAACTTTTTCTTTTGAACATCTTTTTCTCTCCTGTTGCATGAGAATTGTGTCTGATCCCTCGCTTAAAAAAGGCAAACATGTTATATTCCTGCAGCGTGCGAAAATAAATAACTCAATTCGAACTAGTTATAAAAAGAAAGGTCAGCCGCAAAGGAAGAAACGCCTGCGCGCACGTTTTGCCACCCGATCTGTAACTTATTGGTGTGGCGGTTGAAACGTTATCACCCTTGTTATTCGCAGTCTATTTCCAGAATTTTAAGCAAACACAATCCTTTGTGCCCCGTTCGTTACGTGACCGCGTTTGTTTCCTCTCATTGTTCTTTTTTTTCATCTGAAAAAACATTTTATCTGCAAATTCCGCGGAGAAACGACCCTTTCATGCTGCAGCACCGTTTTATCCAGCACAACACAAAAGCAAACACTCGCGGCTAATAATTAATATTTGCTCGCGGTCTTGTTAAGTCAATGCAACCCTTTTCCTCTTCAAATGCAAATTTGGTCTGGATTTTAACAAAAAAGAACTCACTGAAGTGCATTGATTGTTTGTTAAATAACGTCAAAAGGGTTGAACTTTTTGAACTGGAACAAAATCGATGAAAAAACGTGCCTTTCTTTAATAAGGAAAGAGTTTTTTTTTCATCAAAATTGTGGGTCATTTAAAATTTCATTTAGAGAAATCCACCATTCATTTATCATGGTTTTATTGAGAGTATAATTTAAAACTTCAGGCTTTCATTCTTTGAAATTAATTTAATTCAAACAAAAAATTATTTATATATGCAGATAAATTTCAATATCTGAGTATTTACAATTGAATTTGGCGAGATGATACAAGTTTGTGAGTTTTCTTCGCTTTAAATATGTAAATTAGGCTAAATTTTATTATGTTTAATTATAATAGCATTAAATATTAAATTTTAGAATATTACACAATTTTCCTTTTAAAATTATTTAAAAAAAGACATTTCTTAAAGTCTATATTAGACTTATTTGGCTCAGAAAGATTTTCACCTGAGCTTGTTTTAGAGTTAAATTCAAGCAAAAAGTGATTGTTGAGAAGTTGATGTTAAATCGTATTTAATCTAGAGCAAGAATTTTCATCATTCTAATTATTCGCATGATTGAATTTTGCTTTAATAAATATTTCCCTAACATTTAAAATTAATTTGTTCCTTTCGACTGGAAGTATTTTTTGCAATCCAGGAATTAAACGGGAACAAAGATTAATTTCTCCCTCCCGATCACGACTGACAATGACGAAAACAAGGGAAATTTTTCGCTTGAGCAAATTGATTAAGCTGCTCTTTGGACACGACCCACGTTTTTTTGCCAGGCCGGCACGCGCTTAATTGAATTTGAATCTGGGAGGGCTTTTTTATGCAAATAAAGAACAAGAGTCAGAAATTAAAACGGCGTCATGATTTTTGCTCGGGGATTAGAGGCGCCGCAACACACACGCCGGGGAGCGATTTCGAAACTGCCCCCGCACGCCTTGTTCGCCGAGTCGCCTTCAATTAATCTTTTGCGCGATCCGCAGGCGGCATTGATGCTAATTCAATTATTTATAAACAACTCACCTTTGACGCTGATCAGTCGCAACGTCGACACACGAATCGATTCAAAATAAACACCACAAATGCGATCAAAAGCTTGGAAGCTGAAAGTTTTAAAAAGCTGTTTATTTGACAAACCTTTGTGGATTCATTATTAAATTCATTTGATTTTGAAAAATTCAGCCATGCAAAAGTCTTTTTTACGCGTAACTGTGTTTTTCTTTTAAATCTACATAAAAAATCGTATTTCTATTTAGCAAAAGCAAATAAATAAACACAATTTTATTATTTTTCCACATCCAAAGTTCAAACAAAAAAACTATTTTTTGAATATGAGATCAAAAATTCATATTAATTATTCATCATCTTTTTATAACAGGTGTCATAGTTGGTGGAGTTTCTCAATTTCAGAAAAATCAGAAGTAGCCAAAACATCGAGCTTTTTTTTTTAATTTATGCCAGATTTATGCGATTTATTTTCTTATAGAAATTAAATAAAGTCAACCTTTCCGTTTTGTGCACAATATGAAAAATATAATATTTTTTGTATGGTAAACCAGGAAGCTTTTCTTTTTTTCAGAGCCAAATCTATAATATGAATAAATATAAGGATTTTCCAAATTCTTTTTTTTCTACCCACGTCACAAATTCCACGGCGCACTTTGGTCAATCAGCTTCGGATTTGGTTGCACGCAAATAAATCTCTGTTGCAATCCAGCTGGAGCGTCGGCTTGAGCGCGGAAAAGCCTAACCGCAGAAAGGTGAATCTGCAAACGACAAAACAATGTATAATATTATTGTGTGTTCGCCACCCTTGTTTGTAACAAAAGCGGCGGTCACTGTGACGGAAAAAAGTGAAAAATGAAAATAAAAACGTTATTGAGGGCACGCCGTGATATTGATCAGTTTTGTTCTCCACCTTCATTTAACAATTAAGCAGATTTAGTTCCGGGTAGTGGACAATGAGGCTGACAATTCGCATTGTGCATTTCAACACAAACAAATACACAAATTATTCTGCATCATTTACAGCGACATACACAAAAATTAACAATTGATTTATACAAAATAAAACGATTATATTTTCATTCACAAAACCATGACTGATTTAAATTTTGAATTTTGGAGCTAATTGGAAAATTCATTACAAAATTTGATCAATTTTAGTTTGAGTACTTTAAGTTTTAGTATTTAATTTTAATTAATTCGTGAGGTGGAAAGTGAGTGAAAATTTATTAGGTAAATGGAGCGTTAAAATGTTGATGGAAGATGAAATGAAAAAAGTTCATGATTTTTTTGTTTTTTCCAACAATAATAGTCCAACCAAATTTATTATCGCTAATGGAGGTAGCTTTTTTAATTTTTTTAAAAAAAGTGGATCTTAAAATTTGCACAGAAATAATATTTTGATAACGAATAGTTAGAAAATACATAATTTTGACTTAAAATTTAAGAATGCGTGTACTTCAGAAGATGAAATAATATGTAAAAAAAAAAAGTTCGAAGGGATTAAAATTTGTTACTTGGTATTGTCAGAAAACACGTACCTGCAACAAGTAGAGCACAGTTTAAAATTCTATTTCATCTTATATGGATTTAAATTTTAAATATTTATTCTCCTTTTATTTGAATTTATTCCAAAAATACAATGTTAATAAATAAATAATGGAAAATAATAAAATAAAATAAAAAAACCGTAGCAACAACTTAATATCATTAAAAATATCAAATATCAAATAATTTACAAACAAATCTTGAAATAATGAAAGAATGTGCCAATCATGAGCAGTGTTTGCAAAAATAAGAAACACTCAAAAAGTATCTCATATAAAAAAAGTATGAAATAATGATAAATTCGATTCAATTGGAATTGAAGTGTTGAGTGGGCGAAGTGCACTTTTCATTGTGTTTTGCACTGAAAGGGTAGAGAGGGTGAGCGGTGGTCGGGGGCGGCGCGATGTCATGCGCCCGGGGGCGGCGGAGGCGGCTTTTAAGGCGGCGTCGGCGGGCCGACGGCCTCACTCGCTCCGATGGCTTCCACCAGCTGCCTCGTCGCTCGCGTCCTCCTCGTGCTGGCGGCCGTGGCCGCCCTGGCCGCCGCCAAAAGTGAGTAATTTCCTTTTTCTTTCGCGCGCGAATCCTTTGCTTGGGGCAGAGACAATTTCCGCTTTCGCCGTAAAACGCGCTGATCCACTTTGCGGAAGTCGCTCAATTAGCAAAGTGTGTATATTGGCTTTATCCGTTTCCAGAAGCAGGTGACCGACTTTTTTGCACGCGGATTGAGACAAGAAAATGAAGGAAAACCGCACATAATTTACTATCAAAATGAGAAAATTCAATTTCAAGTCAATTTTTTTGGGACTTTTTATTTTCAAACTGAACTAGAATTGAAAAGCACAAAAGTGAAGATTGACCATTTTTTTATAGTTTTACCTAATTTTCAATGCTCTTGACATAAAAAAGATTTCAAGGGCTGAATTTAGTAAAATTAGATTGTGAAAAGAAAATTAGTTTTTCCAATAAATTATACTATTTTTTGAATAAATGAATTAAGGTTTAGGTATTTAACGTTAATAAATTAAGTGTTAGGAATAAATGTTTTATTGTTGGCTTACTAAAAATTCTTTAAATTTAAATAATACATATTTTATCAACAATTGACAGCTTCATTTTATAATTGAAGCTTGATGAAGGATGAGGATTATTTCTTATAAATAGAAAAAAGGCTAAAAAAAATGGATTTCATTGATAAAATTTACTCAAAATCAAGTAATTTATTGCTCCCTTTATTACAATCCGCAAACATAAAAGAAATAATAGTTGACATGAAAAAATTTTAATATTAATAATTATAAATTTAAATAACATAAAAGGTTTAAATATAAAAGTTTTCTTTTTCTATTTTTACGCTTGAAAGTTACAAAACAAATGTAATGAGATGATTATATTTTAATTAAATGCACTTGTCGAGTGTAAGAGATGAGAAGTTGCATAATCCTTCAGAGGATTAATCCACGCGTCTTGTCACACCCATTCAAATACGCGAGCGGAAAAGCAAAAAGTCTATTTCATTGCGCGTCTGCCGCGAATTCTAATGAACAATTTTGTAGCAGAAATTCAAGATCGAGGGTTGATTCATGACGCTGAAATATTTACAGCTGGAAAAATCAATAAATATTTAAAAAAAGTTGCAAGTTTAAAGTCATTTAATGATGAAGTTAAGTTTCCGTCTCTTCTCGATTCAAAAGTGAAAAATTGAATGTTTCGCTTGAGTGTATATTTGAAACAAATTTGCAAGTGGAATTTTGTCAGAACTACTTGGCTCGTCGTTAATTCACTTTATGACGCACTCGTCGCTTATCAAAACTAACCCAATTTGAATTAGGAAAATTTATAAACTCGCGTGTTTGCATTGAGGGGGCCGCGCGTGTTTTCACTTGGAAATAGATCAAACAAAGTCGAAACAAAGTGTGTTGATTTTGAGGCTCATCTTGCCAAAGTGCCGCTTCGAAAGCAAAATGTGCGCGATTTCTTAATGACGCCGCAAAACACTCTAATCGGTTTGACAAATGTGCGTGTGTCGTTTTGAATAAGCTGCAAAGCGTTCTCATGTGTCGTCCCGCGGTGGTGATATTTGTAGCAATATTGATTTATTCAGGCACTATTTAATCGCAAAATGCGTGCATCAGTTGATGAATTTGAAATTTTGCTCTATGGCTTGCGTTAATCTGCATAGTTAATTAAAACGCTCTTCAACTGATTGACTAGGGAACGAAAGAAAGTAAGTTTTTATTCATACCGTGTCATTTTTATAATTTTATGTTTAAATAATTTTAGTATCAAAAATATTAAATTATGAATAAAAAATCATTTAACTTTTAAAATCTAATATTATTTTCCTAAATTTCGTATATGAACACCAATAAAATGTTGGGAAAAAGGCAAAATAATTTTGATTAATATAAAAATTTTTTATATGAAAATGATGTGATGAAATTTATAAATCATTTTATCACATTTTATAAAATTATTAACTAAAAATATTTTTCTCTATTGTAAAATGAGGAAAAGCAAGCTTTCAAAACTATCAGATTTTCTATATATGAAATTTAAATAAAAGTTTTCCTTTCATGAGTGTTCTGTTAAAAAGAGCGATTGGAAAAAAATTGTATAAAATGATTTAGAAATTCCCTTTCCTTCCCTTTTGGTTTTGCGCAGTGAAATTTTCCGCAAGTTGGAAAAAGTGACGGCGAGTGTGTGTGTTTTGTGCCGAGTGGGTTGCGTTTGAAAGAGACACGGGCCAAACAGGTGGCAGGTACCATTTGTTGAATTGACTCATTTCATAAATTGCGCGCGCCAAATGACAGGCCCGGCGGCGAAACAAAAAAAGCAGCCCCTGCCCTTTCCTTTTCACGAACCAAAAGATAAAATGCACACGCCAATTCAAACAATCGCCTCTCGCCTGCCGCTATAAATCTCTCCCTCTCAATTCCGCTGAACAACCCTTAAAAATTTTTACATTTTTTCGCCCCGAGTGGAGAAAAAAGTGGATTTTTGTGTTGCTGGATAAAAAAGGAAGCGAGACGGAAACGAAGAGAGCGGAGAAAGCAGCCAATCATTCAAGAGGAGGGAATTGCAGTCGGTCCAGAATATTAATTTTGTATATTTCTTCTGCGCTTGCATTGCGACCCACACACGTGATTGGAAATGTATGCGCGAGCAGGCGAGCGTGCAAAAAGGCAAACGGACAAAAGTGCTTTCAAATCAGCTTTTGCTGTTTATTCTTCCGCTCTGTATTAATATTATTTTACTCAAAGTCACGTATAATAAATCAATAATATATGTAAATATATTGTATAAACAAAAAAATAAGTAAGTAAAAAAGAAATAAGAAACATAATCAATGTATTTAAAAAAAAAAACTTTCAAATACCAAAGAATCTGAATTTTAAAACCAACCTTTTGAGCTGCTTTTTAGGATTTTTTGTAGAGTAAAAGTAAATGGGAATTTACAATTAACATAGATTATTGAGATATTTCATTCAGTTGAAAAATATACTTAAAAGTTTATTTCAATGGCAGTTCAATAATAGTTTTTTTTCTACAAAATTGAAGGAAATGCTAATTCCATTACCAGATAATTCCAATTTTTCTCATTTTCTGCAAAAAAATCACTCAAACTGACTGATTTTGAACCAAAGCAAGCTGAGGTGTGTTTCGTTGCTTCTTTTGCGATACCTGCATCTCATTTTGTGTTACACTTCAAAGGGCTGCTTTAATGGATCGAGTTTTGCAGTAAAAAAAAAAAACGAGCGCCGATTTTCCGTTTTTCCATTAGGCCTCTCTCTTCTGGGCAAAGACAAATCTGCCGAGTGCAACGCAAATAATACGCTTTGTCCATAAAAGTCAAATGCTGGGAAAATGTTTGGTAAAAATCAAATGGAGCGGTTGTCGGGCGTCGTTAAACGAGAGAGCTCCATTTGTGCAAAATTGAATGGTAATTGAATCGCGGCGACGGCTCTAGTTTATGGCGCAAAGTTATTATTGTTTTGGCGCGACCGGGTTTAATTTGCTTTGTCGCGCCCACGCCGCTCATTAGGCGCACTACACATTCGAGCAAACACACAAGTCGATCGGCTGTCGCCTCCCGGTTTAGATAGATTTAGGGTGTCTTGTATTTATTATCTTAAAAGAGAGAGTGCTGGGGAGTTGGTTGGCCGCAGACGTAAACACGGCTGTGCACCTTGACAGTCTAGTGAATAGCTATTGTTAACTAGTGGGGAGAGTATTTGAAAGGAAATTTAGGGGATGAAAACTAGGTGGCGCAACGATTCACTTTAAATTCAGGAAAATAAGACACCTTGCTCTATTCCAGACCAAATGGAGACGTGAGTTGCAAATAACTAATTCGAAGCGAGCAACTCAATTGGAAGTCTGGAATCGTTTTAGTTATTAAAATTTCCAGAGGTCAAGATTTAATAAGAGACTTCCAATACAATAGTGCTTCTTAAGATGCCAGTTTATTTTAAGTAAAATAAACAAAATTTAATTCTTAAGAAAATAATCTCAACTGGTATTTATTTTAAATTAAAGAGAGAGAACTCCTTTTTAAAGGGGATTTTATTTGTAGCAAACCAAATGGAAAAATACACCGATATAATTCGAGAAGAATAAAAGATTGACAAACAGTTTCCTAGCACGGATAAATTTCAGACTGCTCACTTACAAAATTAGGAGACCAAGCATCTGGTACGAGTAACAAGGGTGCAGAGCCTATGGCAGGGTGCGGATGGACAGAGTAAGGATGGGCCAGGAGAGCGGGTTAAGCAGGAGAGAGGCAGCAAGGCGGCGTCGCAAAACTGAGTGTACTTTTGCTGTTTCGCGCAGCTCTATTTATATGAATTTGCAAGGATTCGGGGGAGGAACCAGGTGCAAGGCAGGTGTGCGCCAGGTGTGCGCCAGGTGCGAATGTTTGCGGGGTGAATTTGCACCCCTTGACATTGTGATAATAAATGGGTTTCTTTGTTTTCCCGTTAGATTTTTGTGAGCAGTCTTTCGCGAACTAAACTTAATTTCTAATCGGCACATTTGACTTAAATTTAACATGCGTTACATTATAATTAGGAACTTTTCTTTCAGGAACATTCGTGTTTAACATTTTATTTATTATTCAACATCAAGTAGAAATGTTTCACATTTAATTCCATAATTTTCTGGCAGTGGACTTATTAAACTTGCTAAGTTACATTCTAGATTTTTCAATTCTCCTTTATTTTATTCTTGATGTAATTAATTCAGTTGCATTCTTAAATTCTAAGATGTAATTATTTCTTCTGTTGCTTATTAGTAATAATTTAATTGATTAATATAATTTATTTTATAATTGAACTTATGTCAGTGAGTGTTGTTTGAGAAGTCTTGTGTGTGTGTGTGTGTTGTGAGAGTGTGTGTGTGTATGTAGGTCACAAAACATTTAAAGGGGGAAGGAATTTAAGAGACACTCGAGCAGGTCTTATTCTTAAGACGAAGCGCCAGCCTCAGCCATTGCAGGGGCTGATATTTGCTTGGGCCGCGCAGCATGCAGGTGTGCAAAGAGACGCCACACT